ATTTAATGTGTCAAGAGTTATTTTCAGAATGTGTCAAATAATGGAGATTCATTCAACTTCTTGCTCTTTAAATTTATCTCATTTTATATATATGTGGTCGCCGGAAACAAGTAATCAATCATCATCGAGAGAGTAATGAAGAATTATACAAAATTTTAGGTATAAACACCAAACAAATTTCAAATGTATCTAATAGCCCGCATTTTTGTTATCAAATATATATAATTTGATTGAAACGAAATAATCGAATCCAATTTTAAAAAGAAATATTGACACCACTAATAAATGGATTTAATGTGTACATCGCCATTTCCTACATTTTACTTTTCCACTTTTTTCGAATACTAAAACAGAAAGCATAAAAAATTTAACTAAAGACAGAAAAGAATTTTATTTTGAAAAAAACCTGGAGATCGAAAAAAATATATCTTGAACTTGATCACGTGTATGAATAAGATTTCTAGATATGGCTAGGTAAACCTATAACGGAGTTTGAAGTCTATTCGTTAAGACTTGCTATGCATACCAAATAAATGACGTTCTTTGAATCGTGAAAATTGATGTTTAAACAATTCAAACGAAGTGATATTTAGTGTTAACTCAAAAAAAAAAAATTCTTTGCTGGTGTTTTTTTTATTAACTATAATTATGTTTAACTTTTTCTTTAATTTTTCAACCTTTTTCCTATTTGTATAAAAAAAACATATTTTGAGTTTTAACCTTTTTTTTTCTTTAATACTTGAAAGCGCATATAAACATTTCTTCAAAATTGTCATAATTCAAGAGTTTTTAAAAGTCAAGTTCCACATCTGAAAACAGTTCAGGGTTATAAATATAAAAGGGGTTTTAAAAGCTAAACTATTCTAAATTACTTTACAACATGCCTCCAGATGTGTTATTTTTACCTGATATTACTGTGTTGAAAAAAAAAACATTGAGCCACGTAAACATTTTTTTTTCATTTTCATTTATTTTTTGAAGCTTTCTAAAATTATTATCTAATTTTTTTTTTTTTAATTTTTACTTTACACTTAAGCTCGAAATTGTTCATATATATATTACGAGACAAGACATGTAATGTTTGATTTATGCGAACGACTGTTAACAATAGAGAATAAAGACTATTCTTTAATACCAATAATAGAGTAGGATTATGTTTTGCATTTCTATACTCGACAAGCTTTTCTTATTTGAATAATTAAATATTTGCTTTGTATTTTAAAAAACATATACACACGTACGTGTGTTTATCACACACACATATATATGACGTCAAAAAATTACTTTTACATAAACCATTTTTTTTACACCAACAAATTTATAAATGCTTACGTGACTTTGTCCAGGAACTCAATAATAAAATAAATCAAAAATAATATAATAAAATAATTTTCTATATGGAGAAAATAAAGATAAATATAGGTAAATAATAATTATTATTAAATTCGAAAGGTAAAAATATAAATAAACATTAATTTAATAAATTATTCAATTTTTTCGAGACAAAGTGAAGAATCTGTTTCAATTATAAGAAAAGAAGGAAGTTTAAAGTATCAACTTTTTTTTTTTGAAGAATAGCCTTTATTGTTTTAGGCTCAAGAGTAAAGTAATATCTATTCCGCAGAATTTTTTAAATGCGGGTAGTCCTTGTCTCTTGCCCCTATCTATATATTTCACAGGCCCACATAAATAAGAATCTCAATATGCCACTGAAAAATTTAAAAAGATTTTTCCAATCAAAATATTTATTTACCAAACCATTATACTTTTCAATAAAAGCCAAAGTAAGGAAAAATCACTTTTTAATTGAAGAAACGAGAATGAAACATAAGAAATACTAAATCAAAACTAAAGAAAAATAAATAAAAATTAATCAAAACTAAATCAAAACTAATCATAACTAATCAGAACTAATAGAAACTAACTGAAAAAATAAGAACTAAAATAATAAAAAATTTTCCCCTCAACATGGACAATTAACGAAGCAAATAAATAGTTGTAAAACTCGACTTCAACAATGGTCCTCGACATGAACAAGAAGATGAGGGGGAGGGGGAAAGTAGCAAAATAAAGAAGAAAAAAAAGAAGTTTGCGATTGAGAACTTTAGTGGTGATTTTATTGTCCCTTCGACTTTTCTCCTATAAAGCACAAAAGATCAAAGCAATATGCCGTTTCGGATGCATACGCTGAATTCGAGCAAAAGAGAAGAACTTTGAAGACATCGCCTTGAATTATTACGAGCATTGGTCCCGCTGTCCTACTACAGATTCTGTCTTTTTTCCATACAGCATCACTTCTCTCTCTCTCTCTCCTTCATTTCATAGTCCTCCTTCGCCAGGAGCGGATTTTGACGTTCAAAATCTATATTAAATTTAGCTTCAAATATGATACATTCCATGTTAAACTAATCAATAAGTTCAGAATTCTACACAATATAATAAAAAGCAACGAGAAACGAGTCAAAAGGTCCAATAAGAAAAGGAAAAAATTACAAAATACATTTAGACATTTTTCAAGATAAAATAAAAAAAAAGATAAAAAATATTAACAGAGGACATTTAAACGAATTTCTAAAGATATTCGAAATAATTGGACTGTTTTTTTTTCAGTGATAAAAATTTTTCATAATTTTTCCCAGGCTATAATTTTTGTTGAGAGAGACAGTGCGCAAGGTGGATTTTGTATTGAGAAGAAGAGTGGTTCTTTTGAATTAGTCATATTCGTTTTGTTAGTGCGTCTTTCAACAAAGGTAGATTGAATTTTTTTTTCGACAGAGAATGAAGAAAAGAGAGAGAGAGAGAGGCGTTTCTCGTGTAAAAACCGGCTTGATGATTTTTTTAAAGCCGTTTGGCTTTGGGCTTTTTAGATTTTAGGCCTTAAAGCATTTTTAAGAATCAATGCGCCCCTGGGTCTTTTTCTCTCCCGTGGATGATCATTCGTCCCTCTCTTCTTTTTCGAGTTTAGCCTCTCCGCACCAGTCAACTCTCCCTTTTGGTCTTTCTCTCTCTCTCTTTTTTTTCTCTCTCTTTCTCTCTTCTGAACTCTCTTCTTGAAATCTTCAAGTCGTTCGACTTTGCTACAAAACCATCAGGCAACTCTATCCAGAGCAAAGCCCCGCAGCGTTGCCATGCCGGGGTTCGAGATCCAAGAAACTGTACAAAAACCACCAGGGCCCACCAACACGAAGAACATCTTCCTTCTCTTTTAGTTTCTTTTCTTATTTATTTTTTTTTCTTTTTTCTAATTGCAAAGACGCTACATGCCTTGCACTTTGTAAAACGTGCGCAAAATTACGTTGAAATCCAATTGAAGAAGAACCCTTCTTTATTCTCAGAAATCAGACACTAATAAATTCGATACTAAACCAACTGATATAAAAATATCAACTTTAAAATAAAAATTCAAAAGAATATTTTCAAAATTAACCTCAATAAATAAATAAAAAAAAAAGACCAACCTCCTACTTAATTTTAATTTAAAGAAACAACAAAATTTTGACCAAATAACTTAGAACTTAAGAAACTTAAAAAGAGCCTAATTAAAAAGCCAATCATGAAAAGTAAAGTTAAATATACATTCTATTTTACGAAATATTCTTCTATTTAAAACCGGTTATTTTTTTCAAAGTTTAGAAATCAAAGTTTCTATTTTCTAGAAAAAAGTTCAATCTAAAATAAAAACTAAATGAAATATATCAATAATGATGATTTCAACACAGTGTACTTGACCAATTTACTTGGAAAAAAAATATCACGAGAGAGAGAGATGAAATTAAATTGAACTCTCCGTCTGAGCGACCCATCATATTCATCTCCCACAAATAAACCATTTTTTTCACACGGCCTTAACGAATTAAATCGCTCTGCATGAAAACTACTTTTGCTTTAATAAACATTGTTTTAATGTTAATTTTTTGCTTTTCTTTAATAAAACTCCAAAAAAATGATCCAATTAAACACCAAAACAAAGTAATCATTGACAAAGGCCGGCCGAGTCATATATATGCATATAATAAAAGAAGCGCAAAATTCACAAGAATATATGAGTCACAACTATTAATTATGATATTCCAATCCTCGGTGGTAACCTCCGTGGAAAACGAAAATAAATACAAACCCCGTGATGCGTGGGTGTTTAGAGCGTTTTGTCACTAGTTTCGCAATGAAATTACTTGTTATTTGCGTAAAAGAGACACAATTGCAAAATCGAGAAATAAAGAAAAAAAAACCGTTCAACTCCCGCGCACAAATTGAATTTTATTCAGGGATACTTAGGTTATGTATCATATATGTCTATATGTATATATGAAGATCTAAATACCTGTAGCTTCACGTGAAGCGTCACGAGGCGCCAAGTTTTTTTTCCAAAGTTCACCAAAAAACAAAAAAAAGACACCAAAAAAAAAAAAATAACACACAAAAAACACAAACTAAACACCCAAAAAAATAACAAATATCACGTGGAATTCGTATTTGATGTCCACGCACATCCAGCAGCACTATACACGGCGAATCCGTACACAATACAGATTACAAATTAAATATTATGGCTGCACCGACGTTCATGAATGAAACTGAGAACAGGTCCTGCCTCCCCCGAGATTCCAACAACCGGCCAATTGCCCAGAGAACTTCAGTTCTTTACATCGCGACACAACGCCGATTGGATTTCTTCCCCTAGAACCCATAGCTAACAACGCGTGGGTGGGGGGGAATACTCTGATTGGTTACAATTTTTTACAACCGGCAACATAAGAAAATATCAAAAATTTATCTATTTTACATATTAATAAAAATACTTTCCTAAACTAACAATGGAAATAAAGAGATTAAAACTATTAGTTAAAAATTGTATGCAAAAATCACTCAAAAATTTGCACACACAAGTTATCTCACACGAACATAACCATAAAATGTATGACGCAATTATAATCAAAAATTGGGAGAAAAATACAAAGTATCATGCAAAAATTTATTGATAAATTGATTCACTTACCATTATTTCAATCAACTTGAGATGAGAATAGAACTATTACTGGAAAACACATCACTTAAACTTAATTTTTGTCGGAGCACATCAGAGCACATCACACAAAGGCGCGAAAACTTTCTATGAATTGACGTGAATGTAGCAACAATTGGCAATCCTGAAAAATTTAAAAACACAACGTGACTCATTGAATGTTTAAATTACTCGTAATTTATTTAAATTAAATTATTTTATTCTTCAATAATTTGTTAAAGTATTTAAAAATAATTATTCTGTTACTAATATTTAAAAATTAGATTAAATTATTAAATTTAATTCTGGCTTTGAATCACGTTGTCACAGTCGGCCATATTCATTTGCAGCAGCTGATTTGTCAGTGATTTTTATCCAATAAAAAGTAAGTTTTTTAAAAATTAAATTGTTCAAATAATTAAATAATAATAATTTTTAATAATTTACATTTCTCATATTTTAATATTTTTTCAAAATATTTTTCAATTGAGTATTTATGTGAATATTTAATGATTTCTTAACAATTTATAACCTAAAAATTTTCTTAAAACATTACATAATTAAAAGCTTAAGTTTAATTTATTTTTCAGATTTAATTTATCAGTTCTTTTTATTTCTAAAGCTTCTATTATTCTAAATATTGAATTTTTGTTTACAAAAGATTACTTTCAATCTAACCTCTTTTTTTTAGATTAAAAAAATGCTGTCCCGAAGAATTACGGTGACAATTCCAAAAATTATAAAGAGAAATATTGGAATTACTGCTCCAGCTTTGCAAACAGCGACTGATCCAATTCAGAAATTATTTGTTGACAAAATTAAAGAATACAAATCAAAGAGCTCGTAAGTTAAATTTAATGTTATCTAAAAACCGGGTATTTAACTATATAAAATAAGTAATTTTTAAATTTACAAAATTAGCAAGTTAATAATTATTTTTTTAATTTTTAAAATAAAGGGGCGGTAAACTAGTTGATGCATCGCCAGAATTAGAGCGGGAAAGAAAACAAGAATTAGAAAAAATTGCTAAACAATACGGTGGAGATGGTCAAACCGATATGACTCAATTCCCTCAATTCAAATTCACAGGTTTGTAAATTTTTATCTCTAAAACATTATTTTAAAAAAATGTTACTTTCTAACATGTAATATTTATCATTCATAAAAATAATGAAATACTTCTTATTTTAATTTTCTACTTTCTATTTTTCAGAACCGAAAGTAGACGTTGGTAGCTCAAATTGAATGTAGGAATGAATACCAGGAAGTAGAAAATGGGAAAAATTTGAATCCTCTAGATTCATGTGGATTCGCAAAAAAATGATCGGAATCTTTCTCTACGTGTACAGTTCCTTTTTTCAATCAATCATTTAATTTCATTTTTGTTTAACTTAATTATACTGTCTCAATTAACCGTTGTATAATGATTTTTTTTTGTCTCAAAAATATATAAATATTGAAAAATTGAGATTTATTTGTAATTATTTAAATTATAAACGTACTTACTTAAAATTTATCACAGTTCACAGAACTGATATCATTCTTTAAAAAAATATATTCTTCTTTTCACTCCACTGGTTCTGTAGATTCGAGGAGATTTGTATTTTCCAAGGCTTCCATTAAAATTTCCATTTGACATTTAACTGCAACTATTTTATGAACCATGGCAAATATTGTCATCTCTTTTTTGGTGATTAATGTCTTAAAATTACCACCGCATGAGCAAAGTTCTTTGATATTGTCCTTTTTCACTTCAAGACAACGGCGACATTGTAAATCTTGAAGAATATAAGCCATTGTTTTTCTATTTAATAGATCCAATAGTGCCATTTCAATTTCATCGTTTTCATAGCTCATCTCACAAACTGGACATTTCCATACTTGTCTGTAATGAATTTGCGTGATTTAAAAAAATTTTCTCTTTAAATGGAAATTAAAAAAAGTGATCTATAAAATATGTAACTTAAATTAAAAAGTAGGTACTTTTCACTATTTACCTATTATTTTCAAAGGCACGAAAATTATCTCTAGAAAGATCAATGTCTCTAGTATGATTGCAACCCTGACAAATTACTTCCGGCAGTGTAAAGGAAACGGAAGGATCTCTCCATTCAGCTTCGTCACTATATACACTAACATTAACTAATTTCAATAAATTTTCTTTTAGATTGCTAATTTCTTCTGTGACTTCTTTGTCCAGTGATAAAACCTAAAAAAATTTAATATTTTTTTTTAATATCAGAACAAAATTAATTGATGCGTCTGAATTTTTTTAATCATTTAAATACTAATATATTTTTATTAATTTATTTTTTAAATTTAAATCAAGTTTACCTCACAAACTGCTTTTGTCACTTCAACTGCCGGTTTAATTATTCGTTTTCCAGATACTATCGTTCCCAAATGAGGACATTCTTCCGGCATTAATACTTTTTCTGGTAATTTTTTGTGTATTTTCTGAACAAGTCTGAAAAAATAATTATTTACTTAAAATAAAAATTAATTAATATTAAAAAAATAAATTGTAATCAGAAATTTACGAACTGAAAGAGTTTCTGAGACATTTCGCCAGTTATTAAAGCTTTAGCGAATTGTGCAGTATTTTCTAAATCCGCTAAACCGAGACGTTGAGTGAAACTTTGACTGGAAACACTTTGACTTCTTTGTCGAGGACGTGGTGTTGCATTTCCTGGTTCATTATCACTTATATGCTGATAAATGGCATTTATATAACCCGCAATAATATTACTGAAAATAGTTTGACAAGACGCTTCTTTTGGTAGATATTCCATTAAATTCCAATTCATAATTATTTCCGGCTAGAAATTAAAATAGTTATTAAAATATTGTTTTTTAATTTCATTTAAAAATTTTTTAAATTCTTTTTTATATTTCTTACCCCTTCTTCTTCATTTTCTTCTTCCTCCTCCATATTTTGTTCTGCTTGACTTTCTTCCATAACAGACTTTGGTACTTTGCCCCGAACACCACCATGATTCGTCTGTAAATTAAGATTTGAAAAAAATATTTTTAAAAATTATTTTAAAAAATTAATTTTAACTAATTAATATCTTACCAAATCAAGCCATATCAAATATTCCCAACATTTTTCAAAACGTATGTCAATACTGTGAAATAATTCCTTTCGTCGAATTGAATGATCAATATATTCAACATATCCCAATGCATCTGGAACGGTACGTTTTTTCGTGCATAAAATAATTTTGTTAAAATTCGCAAAAACAATAACAGAGCCAAGTCTTTGAAATTCGGCAATTAATTGGAGGAATAATTTTTTCATATAACTGTGTAGTGTTCGACGAAGTGCAGGATCATAAAGTAAAGCTTGTGGAGAACGAAGCCAACGATAAAAATGAATTATTTGATAATCGGCAAACATATTTTTATAAATAGTCACATCCCTTAACCAAGCGTTCACCATATTTCGCAAAACTTTAAATGCTGCACTACACAAGGCCGTTTCATCATAGCTTGGAATTCCCAATGTTGTTGATTCACCAGCTATCATTTCCTGAAAAAACAATAATTTTATAAATTCAGAGTTATTTTTTTTATGTACATTTATTAAAATTAACAACCTGTAGTGTCGCTTGTGGAGCACTATGAAATGCAACAAACGAACTAGTTCCATCGACATCATTAACATGATGAGCCTGAAGTAATGTGTTCACCGCTAAACTGTCAATTTCAAGTTCAACACAAACACTTGAATAAGTACCAGTTTTATTGATTTCACAGCTTGAACTGTCTTCGAAGTCCGTGAGCAATCTGTTATTAAAATCATATATTTTTAATTAAATGTTTTAATTATTAAAGAATTATTTCGAAAATAATTTTTTTTTTCATCATCTCACCGATTGTCGTCATTTTCACTGCCTCCAAAATCTGGTTTCTCAGTTGGCGAACACCAAAGAACAAAATTATTCTTCTGTAAATGTCGTGCATAAAATAAATCAGCGCCAAATAATGTCGCATCCATAGGAATATTTCCAACTGGTGCATGAAAATATCGACATTGTTCCAACATTAAATGCAATGTTTTTTCACATTCCAAATAATGTCTTATCATTGCCTTGGCACCAATTTTTTGCCATTCCAATGTACTATATAAATTTTCAACATCGGCAATATGAGTTTTAATAAATGGAAATTCATTAATCATTGGCATATGATTTGTCAAATGTGAAACTTCCATTGCTGTTTGTAATACCAATATTGTTGCACCTTTCATTTCATTTTTATAATTCTTCAATGCTACTTGAATGGCTTTATAAATTTTCAATGAATCCGTCTCGACTTTCACTTCAAAATGTAATGTTTCCGGTGTACTTTTTAAATTTTCATCCTCCAATTGTTTTTCATTTGCTAAATTTCTCTCATTCACATACAAAGAACCCATATTTGGCATTTGACTCGTTTTCGCTGAATTTAACACAAAAACATGACATCTTTTACTTGGCGCTAAAAATAATCCCCAAATTGCACGCTGATGATTCGATGACCAATGATGATAAAGAAAAATGTATTTTAAAGCTCCGGTTTGTTCCAAATATGGTTGATAACCAACACTCTTGAATGTCAATTGTTCGAGATTAAAAGTATCAGCACCTTCGGCAATTTTTGAATCTAAATTTTGATCAACTGTACAAACACAACCCAATTGTAAAATCGCACGGAATTCCAATGTCATTTGCGATTCATAAATTCCTTCAATATCGGGTGTCATCAATTCATTTAATACTCCCTCCTTGTGATGACGAAATTTCGATTCATCGACAGTGTACCGATAGAGATTAAAAACAGGACGTCCACGTGGTAAAATTTTCGAACATTTTTGCCACTGTTGTTTAGATGTTGGATCGGGAAGTAAAATACGTCTGTTTACATAGAATATTCTCGGCACAATAAGTCGTAATTGATGTAATTCTTGATCGACGAGTGCCCAAAGACGAAATAAGCCAGGCTCATTGGTTTCAACTATTTGTATTATTTGCCATGGTGTGATAAGTAATTTTTCTTGAGCACGTTTTAAAAATCCACCCAAAGTGCCACTGGTTGGATTTCGCACAACTGAACGATTCACTTGATGAAAAGAATTATTCATTTGTCTTCGCGATCTTTTTGCACCAGGTTCGCGACCCTTTTGTTTCAATTGATAGGCCCATTTTTTCTTATGAAACTCAATCCAAGCGATTCGTTCATCTCTCGTCGTTCCCATTGGCGGTGGATTACCTAAAACCTCCATCCACGATTTTGTATTATTCTCAATTTCATCCTCTGATGATGACATTACTCGCTTTCGTTTTGAAACGGCTGATGTTAATGGAACTTTAAATATTGATTGTCTTGTTCCAATGTCTTCAATGTCAAGTTCACTGTCTGCTTCCATTGTCGAATCGAGATTCTCTACCACTTCCTTTGGTACAGTTTTGAAAATTTCGTTAATTTTCATTTGCGATTTTGTCTTGTTCTTCTCTGAGACCTTTTTGTACAACCAATCGGGATGTTTGACTCTTGGAACTGGATTCGCAATCTAAAAAGACATTTTAATAAATAATTTAATTCAATTACAAAATTGTTTGCATCTTTTATAGAAGAACTTACTCCTTGCATGGCTGCGGGAATTGTGATAATTTTCTGAATCGCACTTCCAAGTCTTTCAATATAATAACTCCAGTCCAAAATTTCCCGAATATTTGGCTCTTGAATACTTGGATCTTTCAACCATTTTCTCAGATAGTGCCTAGTGACACTTGGTTCTGATTGAAAAATAGCTAACGGTATGGCTCTAAAAATTTTATTTTAAAATACACGTTAAAAAACAAATTAAAACAAAATAAATAATCGTAATAATTCTTACCTTTCAGTGACAGGAGATCCTTCGGGTTTTTTGGAGATAATATATTTACATGCCAATCCCGCATCCTTAACCATTTGATCACCCAAAAATTCCGCCAATCGCTTAGCAGTCGAAATTGACGTCGACTTTTGACTTCCATAATCTTCCAATGTCCTTGACATTGATTTATTTTCCGAAATCAATTCAAATAATTCAGAATCCGGAAGATTTGACCCCTGAAAAAATAATTTTTTTTGTTAACAATAATTAAATTAAAAGTTAATTAAATTTACTATTTAAATTTCAAATCTTAAGATTTATCTTACTTTACTGAAAAGTATATCGAGCCAATAATCAGCAACTTTGGCAACTGATGCATAGCATTCTTCAAGTGTTTCGCCCTTTAAAAACGATTCAAACACCGACGATTGAAAGATTTTAATTAATTGAAGTTCACCACGTCGTTTTATTTCGAAACCCTTTAATTCAGCAAGTGATCCATCAAAATTAAAGACAGCATATCTTTTCTTTAATTTTTTTCCCTCTTCTTTAGATGCAGGCAAAACCATTGCCAAATATGGTCCGTCAACTTCGAAAAAAATGGAATTCTCACTTCGAATGTTATACGTTAAATTCTCCTTATTCACAAGATCATGATACACATCATTTGTGAATTCGTCTTTCACCATGAAATTAAGCACAGCATTCGGATAAGAAATCGTAATTTTCGATTTTTTCGGATGTGTCGTTTTCACGACAACATTATCGGGAAACGAAGCGGGCAAAATACACCAAATTCCATCAGTATCAAGTTCAAGTGGTCGGCCAACTTTTTCAACAATTTCACGAGCTTTCATAATAATATGAGCTCCCGTGTAACAAACAATTCCCCCCATTTCCATACTGAACCATCTGGATCTGTGACAATAAAAAAAATGATTAGTTTTTAAATATAATTCTCAAATTATTTATTGCTAAATAAATATTTACCCTCGTCTCATGACGTATCCGTAGAAGGAATTCAAAATACATTTGTGAGCGAGCTGAAGGGAATCGTAAAGAACTTCTCTTCCTTTCGCCAATTTAATTTCCGCAGCATCACCACTTTTCATTGCAGCGGCAACTTGTTGTTTTGCCACTTTTGTCATACCTTTATATTCATATCGTCTGTCCCTAAATGCACGAACAGTATCAACATAAAATGAATTTTCCCTCTGACAAATTGTTTGTGTTCTTTCTTCAGTCCGTGTTATTTTTGTTTTTCTATACGCCTTGCGACAAAATTCCGTTAATCGTTTCTTTTCATATTGCGCTTGTTCTTGTTTTGAAAGTTGATGAAATGCACGTCTTGCTCCACCCGGAAAAGCCGATGGAAATTTCTCCATTTCCAATTGTTGTTGTATTCTTTGATATTCGCCCAAACTTGCTGGCACTGAAAAAAGATAAAATAATAGTAATAGTTTCAATTGAAGAAATCTCTTATTTGAAAACAAAATGTTTACTCACTTGTTTCGCCTCTCCACATCCATTTCATATTACGTTGGCAAAGAGCTCCGGGTTTATTGTAATCACAAGCGGCGCAAACAGTTTCATTCACCATTGCCGATGGTTGTAAACGATTTGTCAAAATAATATTCGGATACATTGCACCAACATCCAAATGATAAATAACAGGTTTCTCCATTCTGAAAGGTTGATCTTTAAGCGCAGTGAGTTTTGTTTTAATCTCATCTAAAATTTCCCCAAAATTTGTCACTAAATCGAGAGAAATTTTTTCTTCCTCTTCAATTGCATATTTCAATGCGCCCTCAATGCCATCGATTAATTTTTCAACAGCGGTTGGAACAATTTTAAATTTATACGGAATATCAGCACGAAAAACACCTGATTCAAGTGCCTCCACATGACCGCCAACATATGTTTCTTGATCCAAAACATGTCCATCTGTTGTTAATTTATTAAATTCAGCTTCCTGTTTATTTGGATAGATAATATTTGCATGATAAGCTTCAACCATCAAAAGTGTTTCACACAATGTACCGGAACCTTTACGTAAAACTTCATCCGGTTCCATGGGAATAATTGTCGATAGAGCGAAAATAAATGGATGCACGTATTTTTGATATAAATAAAATGTGGCAACTGCATCGGACACGGAATAACTCGCAAGCACTGTTGGCTCCTCAGAAGCAAGTCGACACATTTCCTCAGGATCCAATTCAACTGGATCGTATCTTAATTTTGCTTTAGCCACGGCTTTTAAATTTTGTGAGCCCACTGGTAAATATGAGTCACGTTTTACCCAACTACAAAAAAAAAATCAAAATTATTTCACAAAGAAGGAAATTAAATAAAAGCCCGGTGAATTAATGATTAATTTAAATAAATACCATAGACAATCCATGTGCATAGCTGGTCGACTGACATAAACACCATCTTTATTTTTCGAGAATCCAATTCTCTCTTTCATGTCCATTCCGTGAATTGCAGCTCTTGTCTCAACGAACGGCCAATCGAAAAAATCTCCATTATAAGATACAAATACATGAGGTTTCACATCATTAATATGATCGAAGAATTTTTTAATTAAAGCTTTTTCATTTGGCTCGTTAAAAACTGTAAAGACACCTTCAAATTCTGGTTTTGGTGTATATTCAAAATCTTCAATATCTGCAGAAATTATCTCCCTGTTCGTTATCAAGTAACCCTTAAATACATACAAAGCGATTAACATTTTTATATTTTATTAATAAATTAATGAAATATTTAAAAAAAAAAAAATACCTGTGCATCAATCATGTAGGAAATCATCATAATTTGATCGCTATTTGCGTCGGGAAATTTTAATGGTAATTTTGTCGTTTCAATATCGTACGCCAGGACAATTGGTTCGGGTCGTTCAACAATGTCATCTCTTCGAGTAATTATTGGCGGATTTTGTGTTCCACATGTTTTTATCGAGTACCAAGCGCCAACGAAAATTTTTAAATCAATTGATACTCGAACGTGATGTGGTACATCGTGTTCTCTGTGAAAAAGAGAATTTTTTTAATTAAAACAATTCAAATATTCACTTAAATAAATATTTCTTGAAAAATGATAATAAAAACAAAATTCCAAATTCATTTTACCTAATATCAAGAATATTATCCATATGATCCACCGTTTTCTTCATTTCATGAACATTGTTAGAATTCAACGTTTTCGTCAACAATTGATCATAATATGTGTTATTTTTTTCACGTTCTTTGTTAACTCTCACTGCACTCATTATGTCTCTTTTCACTTTCATTAAATTTACTAAATTTGAGAATTTTAATTTCAAATATCTTTGTTTCAATCCAATCAAATGATTCGGCTGAAAAATTTAATGCAATTAATAAAAATTTAAAAAATCTACTTATTGGATACATGAATGAAATTTACCAAATCGAGATCTTCTTTTATTACTATTTCAATTTTTAAAATAAATCCCGAAAATTTTTTGAATAAATATGTTGAAACTTCTTGAATAGTATCTTTTCTGCATAAAACATAAAAATATGGTTCATACGGTAATGAAACTTTGAAACGAGTAAAATCCTCTTCAATAAAATAATAATCGACACCGCTAACAAGTTGCTTGTCATCTTCAACAATATCCGTCTAAAATAATAAAAATATTCTTGATTAACATAAAATAAATTAAACAAAACAATATCAAAAATATTAAAAGTAAATTTTATTATTACCGCATGCATATTTAATAAAAATCCTATTCTTTCTTTAACGTCCGTTACTCTGTGGAATCCATATAAAGCATCAATTTTAATATTTTCATTTACTTGATTTAGTCTTGCCTCTGCAGTATTTTCTCTGTAAAGAAATATTATTTTATTAAAGTAGATACTCCAAAAATTAATTTACTTTTTTGAATATTATTCGAAAATATAAAAACATTCAATGTATTTGGAGGTTAAGTTGTCTATATGAAAAATTGAGACTTAATTTATATAATTTATGGTACAGTTGCCTGGTAGTAGACATTTTTAATGTTAATTATGAAAATTAGAAGTTGTCCTGTCTTAAACAAAGCAAATACTGATCGTAAACTAAAATTAAAAAAAAAACAATACTTACCTGGGAACATTATCTCCTGAACCAAATTTCTTCTTCCATGTATCAGTCCTGTCAGGACGGTAGCGCCCGGTATTAACAGACATTTTGAGACAACGATTTTACACAGAAATATAATTATACACTTGTAATTACACTAAATATATGTACATTTGACAAACGTGATTTTTACAGTAGTTTGCTTCGCCATTGCATGTTTGTGCAAGTTTCAATGCCGTTTTCGCGCGTAAAATTTTAATCACGTGACCAATGTTCATCAGCGCCATCTTGTTGGCGGTAATTTTCAAAATTGTTATTTTAAAATTTTAATTATGTAACAATTATTTTCATACATATGTTTTTTGATAAAAATTTTACTAGTGTAAATATTTACATTAATAACTAGAAATTCATTTTAATAATTTCATAATGTAATACAATAGTTAATACACTTTTTAGATAAAATTCAATAAAAAACAAAGTGTTTGATACTTTTTAGCGTAGCAGTTGGTATAACTGATGCACCTGTTTATTTATATCGGTCAGCTGTTTTCCACGTAAATACATATTTATAAACAAATACAAATAATTACAATTGACAAAAATAGTGCGTCAAATGACAAATATTTAACTAATTTTAGACAGTGTTAGCCAAAGAACTTGACAACAAATCTCTGGATGCTTTCGATTAATAAAGATTTGTTCAAAACAAACAGGTATATTTAAATATTTAACTCTTATTATTTTTACTTAATTATTCAGTTGTAATCTTATTCACCTTTGAACTTGTAAACGCGATAATTTTAGACTAGTGTATAGATAAAATCATTAAAAATTGCATTAAATATAATTATCTAATTTACTCGCAATTTCGTAAGTTTATAACCTCATCTTATATTAAATTTTAAATTATATATTTATTTGAATTGTTTTTTGTTTTATCAGATTTACGTTATGGCCCTAGCTGCACAAGTAACGACATTATTAAATTCCTTACCTACCAGTGATCTACTTTGGGAAATAACAAATTTAGCCGTGATGAAAGAAATGAAAGTAACATTAAAAGAAACAACAAAAAGTGGTTTTCTCGTTGGAAGTATTGTGATGATATCAGGACTTTTTGGTGGACCACCAGGAATATTAATTGGTAATTTACAATATTCAAATATATCAAAAAACTAACAAGAAATTTATCTAACGGGAATTTTGAAAAAATAATCAAAATTAACTATTATTTTTGATTGATTAAGGTGGTGTTGCTGGCAGTTGCTTAGCAGCGTACTTAAGTCAAGGAAAATTTAAAACTGTAACGGAAATAGTTAATGAAGATCTCACGGAGGAACAAAAGGAAAAACTTGCAGATGAAGTAAGAAAATGTCTCACTGCACAAAATATTTTCACAATTGCTGAATTTGCCCTTCGTTTACAAAGTAATGACTTACTATTAGAAGCAGTAGTGCAAATAGTTCGACAATTTATCACTTCGGATTTAGTGATGAAAATTATGTGACTCTCAACAATTTTTAATTAGCTAAGATTTAGTTTATGAATAAAAATACAATTTTTTCTATATTCATATTCAAAATATCATTAAATGATAATGTAATAAAATTAAACTATTTTTTTAAGAATATAAATTATTAAAAAAAATTATTAAAATTCTCGATTATTTATGAAATTTACTAAAAAAAACAAAGTCTAATTTTTGAAATATAACAAAAGGAATTTTTACAATTAATGTAAAATTTAATGTTTATTGAAAACTTTAGACATTTTATTAAAGTAATTTGATTTATTATAAAATGTGTTTGTAACAACTTTTGAGAAAACAAAAAAAAAATATTCTAATTCCATGTAATTCTAAGTATATTAACTACTGTAGAAAAGTACAATTACAAATTTACACTTTATAAATGACATCACAAAAAATGCGTTTGCATTGAAAAACGATTATTCGAAGAAAAAAAATAGTATTCTTTTATACAAGTTTATCAAATTAATCACATAACTTTTTTTTATATATAATATATATATTATAAATCTTTATTCACTAACATTTGTTGCATGTGATTTGACATGCACGGGTTGAGCTTCAGAAATTTTTGAATTCACCGTTGCCAAAAGTTCAGGTGACAAATCAACAGGTGTCATATTTTGTTCGGAATTTGGATCATTTGCATTATAATCTTTACTTACCATGTAAACTTGTACGACTGTTTTTCCAGGTTCACCAGGTGATTCACGCGTTAAAATAACCAATGATCCGGGCTCAATATCTTTTATATTGGGAATGACATTTGAAATAATATCATGTGACTGTGATTCAGATTTTTCTGTTTCTTTTACATTTGTTGTTTTCGAATCTTGCGGTATAGATTCATCAACATCGGAATAATCGGATGATTCTATATTTGGTGCTTGTAATTTTCGTCTCTTTGGCAATCTTCCCGATCTCGTTGGTTTTACATTATAAATTTCCATGTCTTCCGTATCACTGCTCGATTCATTCATCTCATCAAAAACGGTCAATGAATTCATTGATTTTCGTTTACGTCTCGTTCGTCTCGATTTTTTTTGTGTCTCATCGTTTCTCGATTCACTGGAACTTAAATCACCGTCAATATCATCGTCACCAGAATTTCCAAGTTCTTCAATACTTCCAATCACAAAGCCTGTCAATTAGAAAAAAAAACAATTACATTAATAAAATAAAAAGTGGTAGTTTTTTTGGTAGTTTATTACATTTTAATTTTAATAAAAAAATATAAAGCTTACGACATTTAGAGGGACGTTTTGATCTTTGCTTTTTGGCAACTTCTGCTTTCATTTTCAAGGCCTCTGTTTCTTTTCTTTCACTTTCGTCCATAGCTTCTGCAAGAAAAGTTTTTTTTTTTTATTTAAAAGAAATTTACGAAATTTATGAAGATTTAAAAATTGGTGTCTTACCCATTTCCTCTTTTAAGGTTTCCATGTCAAAAACTTGACATTTAAGAGCCTGTTCGATTAATGTTCGATTTGTTTTCTCTTCCTTTTTAAATTTGAGTTTCAATTCTTGTCGCGTTCTTTTTGGAAAGAAACTTTGCATGAGAAGAAAATCGGTGCCAATATTACTGAGTGCTTTATAAAATCGTAACGTGTCCCATTTTGACCAGTCCTTACTTTTTTGACGTCGTTTATAGAAACCACCTCCGTTAGTTTCATCGTGAACTATTGGTCCTGATCTATTCTTTTGTTCGGTTCGCTCAATAATTAAACTCTTTTCATCGACAATTAATTGTCCATCGGGACCGACTTTCACTCGAGGTACTGGCATCGCAGTTGGTTCGTCTTCCTCCTCCTCTTCATTTTCCTGAGTTTCTTCAACGGCGTTTCTGTAAAATTTCAAATTAAATTAAATTCTCAAAAAAAGACAATTGTTTTTTAATTTTCAAAAAACTCACGAGCAAACGGACAATTTCCTGGTAGACGATGGATTTTCTAATCTTGTCATTGGATTAGTAACTGGATTATAATAAATCAAATCGTACATTGTCAATTTATTTCGATCGGGTGTTTTATTCTCGTGTTTCAACATAAATTCCCTTCGTGCATCGGCTAATTTTTTTGCCGATTCAGAAACAGTTAGTCGTCTCTTTTGTTGGCCAACTTTTATTTTTGAAATATTGTGAGCACCACTTGATACATCCTTGTTACTTTGTACAGAACAAATTGAATCGTTTCTTACTCGCATGGGAATAGAGGATTTTCTACCATCGTCTTCCGATTCACTTGCACTTGCTCCACTTCCTTGAACGCTATTTTTTCGAACTCTTCCACCACTGTCGAGACGCGGTGTTGGTCGCATAAAACAAGAACGATTTGAAATGTGTTTTGAAGAATTTACACTCGAAATTTCTTGACTTTCTTGATCACTTTGATTTTTATCCACATTATCATCTTTATTATTCGTGGGAATTTGTTTTTCGACTTCATTATTCGTATTGCTTGGAGGATTTTGTTCTTTATTAGTTTCAGTATTAATTAAATTTTCTAAATTATTTGTTTCTTTATTAATATCGACATTTCGATTTTCAACGATCTTTTCAGCAAATTCTTGTTTCACATTATTTAATTCAATTTTAATTGATACATTTTTATTTAAATTATTCTCAGTCTGTGCAATAGAATCTGTTGATTTTTCAGTCTCGTTTTGTTTTAAATCAAGGCATTTTTCTCTATTTTCATTATCAGAATTCACAATATTTAAATTAGAAATTTTTACTGATTTTTCCGTGTCAACAGTAGAATTTGAAACCTCATTTGCAGCGGAATCTGTAATTTGTTTATCATTATCTGAAGTTGAATTTGGAGGTTTTTCAGCTTCTGTTTTTATTTGTTCTTGTAATTTTCGACGAATTGGCACAGTTGCCTGTACTTTTAAACGAGCTCGTCTCATTTTCAAGTTGTTTTTATAATATTTACAAAGAAAATCTGCAAATGAAAATATTGATTAACGATTTCAATATATATATTTTTGTTTTTTATTTTAAAAAAGCAATAAAATCTAGACAAATTTTATTTTGAAAATAATTATAATCTCCTGATTAGTAATTAAAAATAAAAATTAAATGCCGATCATAAATTGTCTGTTGACAGATGGAAACGTATGATTTATCATAGAATTAATTATTGCTTTTGATTTAAACTTGTTACTAACCTTATAAATAAATATTGATTGATTATTTTATTGAATAAAGAATTCATAAAATTTCAGTAAAAAACAGAAAAAACACTGAAAAACGCACATGAAATTACATTATTCTGATTTCAACGAACACAAACGTGTATTTAATAGGTTATGTTGTCATAAACTTTCTTCTTTTCCACTAGGGAGATAACTAGGGATATTTAGTATTTTTCTCACAGAAATTTCCTTTGAGATTTTTTGGCGGAGTATTTAAAATTAGATTTTTAATATTTCTGAAAAATACAAAGTATAAATGATGAATAAATAATATATAATCAATTAAAAATAATAAAAATAATTTTTAAAACTAATTCTAAGTGAAAATTAGAATACTAAATTAAAATTTGATAAAAACTACGTAATATAAAGTAAATTGATTTATTCTGGATGTATTGTATCTGCAGTATCATAATTACATATTTATATAATAATATTAATATATTTGTGTAACATATACTGATAGTCTGTATTTCTTATTTCTTATTTTTTTTTTTATTTTTTTTTTTTTAATATTATGTCTGTAAATGCTAGGCCTCTGGACAAAACGATCCCCTCATCCTCAATTTGTATAGGTATTATCTTGCACACCATTTTGTATTAGTCGCTTATTTAACAAACATTATATAAAGTAATAACAATCATCGTAAGGTAAATATTTCTTTTTTTAAAATAAGAGGAAAGAAAGAATTAAAATCCATCCGCGGAATGTTTTGTTTTATTGTGCACTGATGAAATAGCGGTAGACAACTGTTGCTAACACTCCGAGAAATATTGGAATCAGCCAGGATCTCCAAGAACCACTATAATTTCCAATCATCACATCATCTTGCAGCAACTATATTATTTATACATGACACCCAAAAAATTGAAAAACTGATACACTCTCTACGAGAATTCTAAAATTCTATCGGATTTCATATTTTCAAACAATTTTTCTTTATGAAATCCTTTAAATAAAATAAGAATATATAAATCACCTTGAAATGTGTGAAAAGAAAACTTGAGTATGATTGTTAGTCCTGAGAAAAGATTCGTATAAATTAGATGCTTAAATATATTTGACATTCTTGAAAAGCGAAAAAAAATGTTAAGATAAAATGTTTGATTGAATTAATTAATTATTGAAAATAAATAGTAATCTGAAAGAAATTTGAAAATAAATAATGCAACAATCGTGCAAATGTTGAAACCAATGCCGATTAATTAATTAATTATAATAATTAATTATATTCTTTGTATTAAATTAAAATTTTTAATTTCAATTAATTATCATAATTAATTAGATTAATTGTCGAATGCTTTAGAAATCAGAATTATGTAGAGGTTTTCAGTTAATTCAACAAAAGTGGTGCAAAAATATAATCGTAAAGTGCAATTACGATAATATTAATTTTTTATATTAATTCAATAAACATACCTGGAATCTTCTTCTCCTACATTTTCACTAGACCAATCTTTGGCACCCTTGTTGGCTTCATCAATTTTCTCTTCCTAAAAAAATTTTTATGTTGTATTGAAGTTTTGATTTTCTTAAATTACTGAAAACTTACGTCTATAATTTCTCCAACTTTAAATGGTTCCATCATTTGTCTAGCGTCACTTGAATGTCCAACATCTTCGAAACTTTCAGTTGCATCTTTTCCTGCTAGTTCTAAAAGAACTTCCTCTCCACCAGGATGCTTTTTAAATTTTAAAAATATTATATTATTATTATAATTATTTTAAATCATGCATAGATAAATAGAAAATTCAATTTTTTTTAAAAAGAAACATTATATTTTCTTAGGAAAAACAAACACTTTAATATCTCTTTGTCAATAAATATTTTTTTCATATTTTCCTCATTAACTAATGACCTCTTAATGAGCTTGCAATTTGCAAGAAATATGGCACAAAATATGAACATTGAACTTCCATGTATATTCAGATAATAATCGAGTGAATTTCACGTAAAGACGACACGAGGAATATTTTAACTTGCATTTTAGTCATTAATGTAGATTTTTACAGTACAAAGGTCATTGAAGAATCACAATCCTAAGCTTCTTATCAAAGTAAAAGACAAGATTCTATATTTGTAATGAAATTAAGAAACTTTATTAAAAGTCAAACAATAGAATTTCCTTTATATGTTTAATTAATAAAATTATTAATGCAAATACATATATGAATAATAATAGAATAACAATAGAATTTAAAAACAATATTAAAATAACAATAGAAACAAATAAAACAAATAAAAAATAAAATTTACTCCTTAACAGAAATTTATTAATATATTCAATTTAAAAAGGAAGTGACATGGAAAATTATTTTCATCAAATAGTAAATGAATTAGAAACTAATGTGAAATATAAATAATATTAAATAATACGAAAGGAATGTCACTTTACCTCATTAAGAAATGCGGTCACGTTGTACACGTTATTGTGAATAATTAACCAAGTTTCCTTGCTATCGTTGTATTTAGCAACTTCTTCTCGTGAAAACAATTTTGTTGCCGTGCTACTAGAAGAAGTTTCATTCGGAGTCATTTTAAAACTGTAGATACTAGAAAAATATTTATTTACTTAAAACTTTAGTTCTTTTAAAAACAGGTTTCTAAAATTGAAACACAATAATAAATAAAATAATTTGTTATAAATATAATCTAAGAACGGTTTCACTTTCACTGCCTTTAAAAATGCTTGCTATTTTTAAGGTTATGGCACTAACTTGAAGTTGGTCACTTTCCGCATTACGTCGGAACCAGCTGATTGGTGACTATTACCGCGCAATTTTTAAATTAGAACAATATTCTTTTATTGTAATTTGTTTACTAAAATTAATTATTATTATTTACAATCCATATTGTAATTTTAAATTATTTACAAAATTTAAATATTTGCATTTTTAAAGCATTAGAAAATAAAAAGGAGAAAAACATTTATATGTTGGTAAAACTTGTCCGGAAATATTACCAGCCAATCAAATGACATATTTTGTCCCTAGTAAACATAACCAACAAAAATTGACAGGAAGAATAAGAAAAGAAACAAACAAAAGAAAATAAAAGTTAAAGGAAACAGTAAGTTTGCAGTAAGTTTATCTTTTTTTTTTTGAGTAAGAATATTTTTGTTTTATTTTATCTTTCCTATTTTATTTTACTATAAAATTCTTTGATTTAAGGAAAATAAATTTTTGTAGCTTTGGTTATGAGTTCAAAGGATGAAAAATCATCAAGAGGATGGACGAAAGAAGAAAAGGAAAAACTTTTAGAATTAATAAAAATTCATGGTCATACAAATTATGATAAAATAGCACTAGGACTTCCAAATAAATCGCCATTAGGAATAAAAGCGAAAATAAATAAATATCTATCATTATCAAAATCTTTAAAGCCAGGTTCCGTGGATCCTCTCGATTTTTGGTTGTATTCATTTTTTCAACAAGATGACGAATCTTTAATTTCACGTGCATTATTATATGTTCAATTATTTGAAACGCATCCCACAGTTGAGGAATCAAATGGAATTGAATTTGATACAATTTATGGATTTCTGCATCGTCTAACATCGGGGCATCCACCAAATAATATTTCACCTCAAAGTTTTGATGCATTTGACAGAGAAATGGTTAGAGCAATTGACTTTGTTTCAAATAAAAGTGAAAAAGAAGTTCTCACCTATCTCAGTACATTGAATATAAAGAAAAAACCGGCAAAAGATTATTCAAGAAAAACGTGATGTATTTTCAGTTTTATTTGTGGGATATATTTTTATTAAATTTCGAAATCTAAAGTAAGCGAAATAAATAAATATTATAATTATTTATTAAAATGTGACTGATATTTTGTATAATTGAAATTTTCAGGAATAAACTGGAAACATTCTGTTATTATAAAGGAAAGAATAAAAATAATTTACAAGAATGATATAAATTATCTATTGTCTATCCTATAAAAAAATAGAATACTGGGAATTTTGCATTTAAAAAAATGAAAAATTAGAACCTCTTTTTACGCTACTGTTAATAAAATATTTTTCCACCAATCACAAATTGAAATACTGCGCAGCAGACAAAAATACGATACTACTATATGTGTATAATGCAACACACTATCACACCTACTGACTATAGCAAGTAAGCAGCGTGTGGCACAAGTCTTGTTTTATTGAAAACACAACTCTTAAAAATCTTCAGGAAATTAATTTTTTTTCCCATCTCAGTATTTAAAAAAGAAAATCATGTCAGCTTCTCCGATCGCAAGGCAAGTCACACAAAATCAAAACATCCCTTTGACGAAGAGAGTCGTCATTGAGGATGCTAATCAGTTACCTGCTGATTATTCCTCGACACCCGGAGGTACACTTTATTCAACCACCCCAGGAGGTGAGTCATAAAAGAAAAAAATTATTTTCTAAAGATTTCAAATATTTTATAATTTAAAATTGCCTAATTTACAAGAGTGAAATATCTTGAAAGTGAATCTTATTTTTATCAATCAGCACGTGTTGAATATTTATCTCTCTTTGAGACGAATGTGTGTGTGTGTGTCTTTGTTTTTCTTTTTTTTTTCCCCTTAATCCGATGTTAATAACCTTATCAAGTGTCTGAGAGGATTTCTCATATTAAAAATTCCAACAAATTCGTGAGTGAATTTAATTTAAATATAAAAAAAAATTCTTAGAGAAATATTTTTCTTTTTTTCCTACTGCATGCGAGTGTATATATATTTTCCTTTGTGAGTAACGTGGCTTTTGTTTTGCCTTTTTGCTAGATGATAAGAGTATGACTCTTCAAGGAGTTTTAAAGGCATTATTCCTGTATAGATTATTAATAGAATTGGCTGTATTTCTATCTGAGCCAAGAATTTCTTTGATTTTATAAACACATTCCTAGATGAATATTAATTAAATTGTTGACAAAATTCTAGTATTCGTAAAATTTTTAAATTTAGAAAATTATGTAATTACCAACATGAAACATGTAAAACTAATGACGAAGGAACTTTAATTAATTACATACTTAATATGTAATAATTAGAAATTAATATTTAAGATGTGATCTTTTAATTAAATGTATTTAAAAATTATTAAAATTCTATTGTATGCTCCAAAGATATCAACAGGTGTGGATAAGAACATTATATAGCCTTGACCCGTGCCACACGTGGTATTATATGATGTAAACAACAAAAATTGATTAATTAAAAAGAAAAATTGATAAATTTTCAAAAATCGAAAAATTGAAAAAGAAAATTAATTTCTTCATTCAAAAGTCTTCAACTCGGAAAAGAAAATAACGATGAAATATTTTGTTTACCATATTCTAACGCAATAAACCGCATTCTATAAGCAATAAACTTGTTTTCTTGTTTATTCTAATGCAAAATAAGAAAAATGTTTTAAAGAAAAAAATACAATGCTTGCAAAATAAAAATTAAGCAACCTGCATTTCTTTTTTGCTATAAATTAAAAATTTCTTTATAATAAACAAAAATTAAGAAGATAAAAAGAAAAAAGAAAGAAATAAAAAAGAAAAATAAAGAAAAATTCTTTCTATTTAAATTTATAATAAAATATTTAAATTTAATTCTGCGAATTAAAAGAAAAAATTGTTCAAAATAATTATTTAAATTTAAATTTTACTAATTATTAATATAGGATAAAGTTTTTTTTTCATTGTAGACTATTTGTAAGACAAGGTCAAAGGCGATATGAGTTATTTTATTTGTTTGAACGTATTATGTAACTGATTGAAAAAAATACGCAGCGAGCGAAAGTTTAATGACCCATAAAAGTGAAAATTATTTTTATAGATACATTCTTTGTTTTAGAGAAAAAAATTACCTTTTATTTATTTATTTTCTTTTGAATGAAGAAAAACTATTTTGGAAAATATTAAAATAATATATTTTTTAAAGCAATATTTTCTAAATCTTATCTCAATACATATGTAAAATAGATTCACCTTTGCTATGAGCATTGAATCATACATTTTCCTTATAAGGATTCTTGTTATGACAAAAACAAATTTCAAAGCACAATGTTCTTTTTATGAGAAAATTTTCAATTTAAATTTAAATATTGGTAATTATTTTATCAATTTAATTGCTTTTATTTAATTATTTTTTTTGTTGTAAAGTTTTAATGTCTTAATTTTTTTTTGATTAATTGATAAAATTTTTAAAGAGACTTACTTAAATAATCTCGAGATTTTATTCTCTACAGGTACCCGTATCGTTTACGATCGTGCCTTCCTGATGACATTGAGAAATTCTCCGATTTCAAGAACTCCACCTTCAAATTTGACTAACATGCCAGCTGATATTCAAAAGAATCAACCGACAGGTGTTACAGCACCAGTGCAAACTTCTAATGGACCTGCATCTACCATTAAAGGTTGTTGATCATTTCTAAAAAGAAAAAAAATTATTAATTTTTATATTCTTTACATTAAAAAAAATATTTTCTGCTTTTTTTTACAGTGTCTCCTACGAAAAATACTGCCAAAGGTTTGTTTTTTGTCCATAATTTTCAATTAAAATTCTAATTTAAATTAATAATTTAACAATGAAAATTTATAATTATAAAGATTTGGTAATTTGTTGTTTTGTTTTATTTTTAATTGCAGAGATTCCTGTGATTGATGAGACATCTGAGCAATTTCAAATGGACATGTAAAGACATAATGCCGTGCCAACTGTGATCCAGACGATATTATTATTAATTTGTCAGTAGCCTTCAAAAATAATTATTAAATTTTTGAACGGCATTGTTTAATCTCCTGACACTGTTGGTGATATAATAAAATCATTTTTTTTTTATTTTGATGAATATACATATAATACCAACTACATTTTTGCCATATTAAGCTCAGAGTCAATAATTTTAAAATAAAAAAGAAAATAATAATCACGAAAAGAAACTACCTCAGGTAGATGTGAAATATGCCAACATAACAAAAGAGGAGTATTTTGACTATTGTTGCTATAAATGCGTTTGGATATTTGTACAAAAAAAAATCAATTCGGCTCAAATTTACCCAAAGAGACTTGTGTATTGTCTTAACGAAATTCTTGAATTGTATAACATTATTTTGTAGTTTGCTATACTTAAGGGTATTAATTAAAAAATAAAAATGTGTTTTATATAATTCATCTTCTTTTTAACTGTAGAAATAGTTTCTTTTTAATATTTCTTGGAGATACTCCATTACTTTTCTAATTATTATTTAAAATCTTTCAAAATATTCAGTTTGTTTATTGGTTAACATAACCTCAATTCCATAAATTCATTATATTGAACATTGCCTTTCTTTTAAAAAATTTATCTAAACTTTAAATTTGTCATATGTATTATAAAATTGTGATTATTAATTATTCATAATTTAAATATTAAAAAATTTCGCACCTATTTGCGCAAAGAGAAATGCGCGATTGACGTAGAACTATAACCTTCAAATTCAGTAACATTTTGAAATATAAAAAATCCGACAAACTTCTTGATTTCTCACTGTTAAACAATAAACAAATTAGTTATACAACAATTACCCGAAATTAATTATTCGATTAATCAGAATGAAAAGAAATAATTGACTAAATAACATGTTTTGACATTTGACAGTTACATACTGAATGTTGCTAATAAAACATAAAGCCTCGTTCACATTAGAATAAAGTTTGTAATTCAAAAAATAAAAATCCCCAGAAACTCTTATCACTGATTGGTTGATTTTCGAAATACATACAAGTGAACTACATTTAAAATATTTAATTAACTCACACTTTAAATTGATTTTTTTTCATAAATAAAAGATTTAAAGATGTGCTACCTGATATTTATCAGCTAACAACACATTTTCCCGAGTGTTCAATAGTTCAATAAATATGAATTTATTGTTATAGCCAATTTTGTAAATTGATAAAAAAAAACTAATATTGTTAGCTACAAGCACTAATAATTAAATTAGTTTAACAAAAAATAATAACAAATTGTATAATATCTAGTGTTTTGAAACAACAAAAAGTGACAATAATGAGCGTTATAAAAGAAAAAAATAATGAAAATGTATTAAATACCTGTGAGGAAGAAAAAGACGACAATGACAATGGGAATATTGAAAATAATTATATCACACCTGAAATGGTTCTTCGACTTCCAACAATTACTGACAGTGAGTCCTTTGATATAAAGCTGACGTGTCTTTTATAGATTCATAATTTTTTCCCACGATTTTCCTAATTTAAAAAAAAACAAATTATTTTCGAAATAAATACTTTTCTCTGTAATTTAACGATATTTCTTATTCTTTTAGAATACTTTTGTTTGCCAGAGAAAAATACTTACGAAATAGATTTTACGCGATTTCAAATTAGAGATTTGGAAACTGGAACAGTTCTCTTTGAAATCGCTAAACCACCAGTAAATGGTAAGAACAATTATTATTTTTTATATGAAGACGAGAAAAATGATATTTTAATTTTTCTAATTTTAAATAGAACATGAAACACCGCGCAAGGAACCACAACAGGACGAGGCTGGTCGTTTAGATCCAAATGCTGGACGATTTGTTCGATATCAATTTACGCCACAATTTTTAAAATTAAAAACTGTCGGTGCCACTGTCGAATTTTTAGTTGGAAATCAACCTGTTAATAATTTACGAATGATTGAACGTCATTTCTTTCGTGACAGATTGCTGAAAACATTTGATTTTGAATTTGGCTTTTGTATACCAAATAGCAAAAATACTTGCGAACATATCTACGAGTTTCCAACACTTCCCGCCGATTTGAGTAAGCATTTTATTTGTTTTTTGTATTTAGTTCTAAACAATTTTAAAAAAATAATAAAAAAATTTACCTGATAAAATTGTTTTCAAAAAAAAGTTGCAGAAATGATAGCCAATCCATTTGAAACGAGATCCGATTCCTTTTATTTCGTCGACAATCGATTGATAATGCACAACAAAGCCGATTACGCTTATAATGGAGGAATGGAAAAGAAAGACTAAAAAGATCTTCGAAAGGCTTGAAAAGAAAAAAAAACAAACTTTCGAATAGTATTATTCCTTTTAGATTTTTCAAAATGAAAATTCTTAAAAAAAATTTTCAACAATTTCACTGCAATGTTTGTACTATTTATATTTTTGAAACACTCACTTTTGTCAATTGATCACTTGAACAATTTTCCTTTTTTGTTGTTTTCTCATCGGAAATTTCCTTTTTTGTATTTTTTAATCGTGTTTTCTTTTGAGAGTGAATCCACTTTTACACAAACACTTATATAATTATATACATCTATAAATGTGATATCTGTACAAATCAAATTTGTCTCGTAATTTAATTTTACGATATTTGTGCTACTGTACATAGACTTTAAGCTTTTTAGGCTATTATGAAATTTGCACATTCTATTTCGTTTTTACTTCGATAAAAAGAAAAATATACACTGTTAATTCACCTGAACAATAAAAGTTTCAGAGTTTAATGAATTTGCATTTGTTTTTTTTCCTTTCTCCATTTTTATTTAATCATCAATAACATCGTATTTATAACATTTTCTATAAGATATTTTTTCCATTTGGGAAAATGATCTTTTTCATTTTTGGTATATTTTTTTGTTAAGAAATAACAAAAGTCAATTCCAATAAAAGTGTGTGTGTGTGTGTGCAGAAATTAACTAATTATTCGTGAATTCTTTAATAGGCGGTTCTTTGATAAAAGTGATGACATTATTTAAAAATTCAATAGGTTTATCTACATGAACCCAATGGCCTGCTTCCGCAATGTAATGAAATTCAGCCGTGGGGAAAAATTTTCTAATTTTTTCGTGATCCTTTTTTTTTAAATAATCACTTTCTTCGCCACCGATAAAAATAGTCGGTCCCGTGTAAACTCGATTTTCTAATTGTGGAAATGTCGCAATATTTGCTGCAAAATTTTGTTCTAAAATTGGCAAATTTACTCGCCATTTATAAACACCCGCCTCCGCTTCAACGAGATTCATTAGCAAAAACTGAAAACAATTTACTGATTAAAATTAAATTAATGAAAAAAAAACTATTATTAAAAATTGAAATACCTGACGAATTCTTTCCGAGGGAATGGACTGCGATAATTGTTCATCAGCCATTTTCCGTGCCTTTGATAAAGTCAGAATGCCATCGAGAGTCACTGTTTTCATAGCGTGAAATAATTTAATCATTTCCGTGAGACTTGGACTTACTCTCACTGGTGACATATCAATGACAACTAATTTTTCAATTAATTCTGGATAATTTAGCGCCACATACATCATTGTACTGCCTCCCATGCTATGTCCAATTAAAATTACTTTCTTGACATTTATATCTTTTATTAATTGTACTATATCTTCAGACATATGAGCATATGACATATCCGTCGAATGAGGCGAATCTCCATGATTTCTTGCATCTACAGTTATCACCTAAGCGTTTAATTTACATTTTTTTAAATAAATTAAATATTATTCAAATAAAAAAAAAACCAACAACTCTTGAAAACCAACAATTAGTGAACAATATTTCATTTCTTTTTTTTCAAAAATAATAAAAGTTTTCTAAATTGTACCTTCCGACCGGTTTGTTGATGAATTGTTTTTGATAATGAATTCCAATTATTTTTCGATCCAAGCAAACCGTGCATTATTATAATTGGACACAAATTTGAGGTTTGTGTCACATCTTTTATTGATTCGTAGGAAATAAAGGCTAATTTAACAGGTCGGGATCTGTAAAAAATGATTATTTAATAATAATAATTAGAAAAAAATACCATAACCTCTTTGAATAAACAAATAAGACTAAAGATATATAAATAGAAAATAATAATTATTAACAGTAATTATTAATTATTTAATAGTAATTACTATTTTAATTAAATATTGATATTACACTTACTGCACAGACAGAGATCGATAATCTTTAAACCGAAGATATTTAATTGATGTAATTGGTGAACCGAGATTCTGAATACATTGCGTGGAGAAATGTCGTAAACGAAAAATCATCTTTTTAATTATTAAAAAAATGTTACACGTTATCTGTCATTTGAGTTTTGTTTTCAATAATATAATAATAAAGAAAAACTAAAAAATCAACATTGTATATAGGTTATGTTTATGTCGTCTGCTAGCGAGAAAAAGAAAACATTCAGTGTGGCTTGAAGTTGTCTGCAAAACAAAAAAGTTTACAAATTTAATACGGTAAAAGAAAATTAATATTATTAAATAAAAAGAAAAATAGTTAATAATATCTTTCTAATTGTTAATAATGTTCTAAATTTTTTCTTTTTCTTTTTATTTCTTTTCTATTTTATTTAATTTTTGAATTTCTGTCAGAAACTCTCGATGTTATCGAATGGAACATCGATATTTACCACATGGTAACAGGCAAAATGGCGTTGACCGTTCCTTGTTTGGCTGGTAAGTGTTTTTTTAATGTTTTTTGATTAAAATAGTTCAATTTTAATTTTCTAATCATATTAAATAATTGCCTAATAATTACTCTTTTAAATGATATATAATATTTGCTCACTTGTTAATTGTTTCTTGATATTTTTTCATACAATGTGGACCCCTACTTTAGGAGTTCAATCTTTCAAGAATTATCGGGAACAATTCCTTTTTTTATGATAATTTATTAATAATTGTGATTGTTAATTTTAAATTTTTGTTTATAATTTACAGTGAATGATAATTATTCTTTATGAAAATATTTTTTCCAATGTTCATTGTCATTAAATCGATTAAATTATTTTCAATGAAGATAGCGCGCAACAGTGATTTGAGAGATGAAATTTTTTTTTTTAAATCCAATGTGTCAAATTTAAATTACTAATTAAAATTTTAATTAAAATAGTGCGTGGTTCCAATGGTCTTACCTTAGGACAAGGCCCACCGTCTTACATGACAGAGACTGCATTTTCTCGAGATGACAGTAAAGCATGTAAAACGATGCTCTTCAGCCCGGATGGCCGTTATTTTGCCTGGGCGAATGGAATTTACGTACAAATTGCTCTCTGTGAAACTTGGAAGGTCATTGCCAAAATTCCAAGGCCTAAAGTTTGCAGTATACAATTTTCACCACAGGGAAATTATATTATGACATGGGAGCCGTTTATTGGTATAATTTTATTTTTATTTTCTTTATTTGTTTTCATTAACATATATCTAACGTTGTTTATTTTTTGTCATTTCAGCCACGCCATCAAATCCTCAAGGATCTCCTAATCTTTATATCTGGAAATCGGAGAATGGTGATTTAGTGAAAAGCTTTATTCAGAGAAAGCAAATTGACTGGTAATTTATTTTATTAATAAGTAATTAGTAATTATTTTAATTATTTTCGAATTATTTTTAGGGAGCCGCAATGGTCGAGCGATGAGAAAATCTTTGGAATGCTAGTTAATAATGACGTTCTTTTGTATGAGGATGTGAATTTTGAAAAAATTGTACACAGGATAAATTTATCAAAAATAGGTAAATTTAGTATAGCACCTGGACCAGCTCCTTATCACGTACTCTGCTACATGCCAGGAAAACCTGGCCAAGCGTCAATGGGTCAACTTTTCCAGTATCCAAAATTCGAATCAACGCAAGCAATAGCGAGGAAGAGTTTTTTCCAGGTAATTATTTTTGTATAGAAAATTATTTTCAAACAATAACAAAATGTTAATTTAAATAATAAAAATAATTGGCGTTTTAATAATTTAATTTTTTTTTTACAAATTTCAGTCAGATAGAGTTGATATTTATTGGAATCAAAAAGGAACTAATGTTTTATTGATGGCAAGTACGGAAGTTGATAAAACTTCATATTATGGTAAACAAACTCTACATTATTTGGATACAAAAGGCGAAACAGCTTTAGTCAGTTTGAGTAAGTTATTTTTTAATAATTTGCAAAATATATTTCAAATTATTGTTTTTATTATTTATTAATTATATTAAAATGATTTTCAAATAGGCAAAGAAGGACCTATACATGCCGTGGAGTGGTCACCGAAAAATTCCGAATTCTGTGTTATTTACGGTTTTATGCCATCGAAAGCAACACTTTTCAATCTCAAGTGCGAATCTGTTTTCGAATTCGGTGTTAAACATCGCAACAGCATATATTACAATCCACAGGGGAACAATATCCTTTTTCTGAACAAATTAGTTTTTTACAAAGTTTATACTATTTTCTTTTTTCTCAATTGTCAATTTTAAAGTGAATTTAATTTTTTCAATATTTTTATAATTTTTAATTGATTATTAATGAGAAAAAATTGTAAAATAATTTCCTTAACCACAGTGCACTGTTGTTGTTGAGCGGATTTGGAAATTTACAAGGTAGCATTGAAGTGTGGGATATGAATAATCGAAAATTAATTGCAAGTACCGAAGCACCTGACACGACTTTACTTCAATGGTCGCCTAATGGGGAAAATTTTATGACTGCAACAACAGCGCCAAGACTTCGAGTAGGCAATGGGTATAAAATTTGGCATTACACTGGAACATTATTATACGAACGATTTTGGAATAAACAGGATGAATTATGGGAAGTTGTTTGGCAAAATTATCCGTCTTCCGTGTTTCCAGAAAAGCCGATTTGTTATAAAGCCGTTGAAGGTATAGCGCCTAGTCAACCTCAAGGTGAGTGAAAAATATTTATTTGCAAAATAAAATTTTATTTTAAGGAAGAAAAATTGAAAAATATTTTTTTTCTCATATTCAGCATCAAAGCAAGCATACAGACCACCTTCTGCAAGGGGACACACAATAACATTTAATCTTCACGATGATGATGATGATACTCCATCAAAATCAGGACACGGTAAATGTTTTATTTTTTTCCATAAATGTTTACTTATTTAATTAAAAAAAAATTTCTTAGGAAATTCCAAAGCGTATCTAAAGGCAAAGAAGAAACGAGAAGCTAAGAAAGCTAAAAAAGAACAAGAAGCATTAGTATCAAAATTAGTGGATGATGATCACGCTTCAAAAACGAATAGTGTGCCAAAAAATCAGTCTTCTGCAAAGGACTCTGATTTAACAGACGACGCGGAAAAGAACAAAAAAATTAGAAAGATTAAAAGTGTAAGGGAAAATTAATTTTTAATTATCAAATTTTTACGAATTTAATCTATTTCATTTTTTTTCCTTCGTAGAAATTGGACCAAATAACAAAATTAAAGGAACAACAATCATCAGGGAAACAATTGGAAATGAATCAATTGGACAAGATAAAAAAAGAAGCAGATTTATTGAAGGAATTACAAGATTTGTCTTTGTGATAAAATTAATTGTGAGACCCACTCGAAGTAAATATTCTCTAATTATAGACACAGCAAAACAAAGAGAGTAAAAACATTTCTTTCGAGATTTTTCAAGTATATAAAATAAAAAATAAAAATCAAACTCAGACGATTTTCAAGAAGAAATAAAAAATGAAGAAATGTTTGAAATATGTTCGCCAGGGATTTTTTGATGAATAAGATTGTAAATAAGCTATTTTTTGAAATTTTAATTTTTGCCAATCTTCATTTATTTCATGAAGAATCACCCCGACATAATTATTATTATTTCTTTTTATTAAGACTATATTTTGATCTCAATTTCTGCAACAAAAAAATCTACAAATTAACTTTTTCTACTCCTATAATATATTCAAATTACTCGAATCTATTTTTGCTGCAGTTAAAATAATAAAATGGGAATTTTTTTCTTTGTAAAATTAAAATAAAGAAAATATTTTTTCGATTCAACTCGGTGCTTTAAAAAAAATCATGTATATAATATAAAGAAAATGATATTGCACAGTAAAGGTTTTATTTTCAATGAACTTAAAATACAATAATGTGAAAGAGAGGACGGGGGGAATTCAATTTAATTGATCCTTTTCTTTTAAATGTATTTTGAATTTTTAATATTCATTTCTAAAAAATTTTATTCGAGAACAAAGCATCTTAATTTTTGAATTTAATTATTTTCCTTTGAAAAATTAATTATTTAAATAAACGAGTCTTTTAGGGAGTTGTAAATACTGCCTTTCTTCTTATCACTTTTTTTTTAATCATCTTCTTCATCATAAACTTCATGTTACTCCGATTGAAAGTTTTTAAAATGTTCTTTGTACTATTTTGTTACATGTTATGTAAAAAAAAGAATTTCGAAGTATATTCAACAACAGAAATTGTTGGAAGTTCTTCAAAATAGAAAACATTTTAATTTTTGTTGAAATGCTAACTATTGTAACAATTTTTTTTTTAAATTAAATTAAATTGTGTACAGCCAATAAAAAAATTGAGGAAATAAATTATTTGAACAACGAATTATTAGTTTATTTTCATAAACTGAATGTAAAATATATATTAAGTAATTTAATTATTATCTGAGATGTAAAAAATCGAATTGCCTTGGCCTAAGTTTCAAAAGTTTGAATTGTCAATTTTTCCCGCAAAAATTTGAAATTGTTTCCGAACGCCTCCGATTAGTGGCGCAACGATCAAGGACGCCATCTTGGTTTTAATGCAAAATTGATTCAAACACGTTCGAACGTGCAAAGTGTTTAAAGTTTGTTTGAAATTCTCTTTAATTTTCTCCTTCATTGTTTTTTTTCCTATACGTTTATTTATTTAAACAAACATAAAATTATGTCAATCATGTCAACAGAAGACTTAGGACCCAAAGAATGGTTTCGTTGTAACAAATGTTACATGTTGATGCGGGAATCGAAAGCTCCATTCTTCCTTTCGTACTGTGGTCACATTTTTTGCCCTAAATGTGTTAAAACAGGTGAGAAATTGTTTATTATTCTATTATAACAAAGATAATTGATTATTTTGAATTAATTTTGTAATTATTATTCGCAATTTGTCATGAATGAGGGAATTGTTGATTTTTTGGTTATGTTTACTTAATAATAAATTGAGCAATTGTTGTGTTATTTAGTTGCCAAAAAATGTCCGCAATGTAATGCTCAAAATCTTCGTACAATGCCTTTAGTGGAACCTTTAAGTCCTGAAGTACAACATTGCTTTGAATCAGTTGAGGAACTCAATGAAAAATTTTCACAAGCCATTACTTTCCAAACTCAACAATTGACGATAAATAGTAAACGTTTTTCTGCCATTGTAAGTATTCTTTAGACCTAAAAATTATTTCTTTTACGAAATTTACGGTATTTTTTTGAAATTTATTTTCTCTAGGATAAAAAATACGGATGCGCAAAAGTGGAATATCAACGGAGCAATAATGCTTTTAAAAGGTCTCAAAAGCGAATTAAAGAACTCGAAAGTGAATTAGAATTAATGCGAAGAAAAGTATGTGAATTTGAAAACTCACATAAAAAATTGCACTACCTTCAAAATTCTTCGTCGATTTTAACTCCACAATCTTATGTGTCGAGTGTAAATAGTCTCCGGTAAATAATTATTGTCTATAATATAAAGAAAATTTTTAACCTGTTTTTCAAAAGAATTTCTCAATAAATTTTTTTCAGTTCTGCAAGAAGCGGTAAATCTTTTAATAATTCCATATTGACGCCAATAACGCCAACAAAACTCGAACAAATGGATTTTATGAACTCTGAATTTCGCATTCCATCAATCACAAGAGTTCCTCGATCTGTTGGCAGTTCTTCAAAAAATTCCTGCAACTCTTCAATGAAAACATCATTTACAGATGAATGTTCTCCATTCGTTCGCCGAAGATAAAGCCACAATTTGGCGAGTATTTAAAAATGTTTTATTTTTGTTTAAAGAATATTTAATTTAATTATTTAAGTTAATCTTAAAGTTATTTTTCTTGAAATTGAATTTCAAGTTTATTTAATTAATAATATTAATGATCAATTTAAATCATTAATAGTTGATCTAATTTCGTTCAAGTTTCATTTTTTAATTTCAACATTTATGATAAATTTTGTTAACTACTAATTAATATTTTTATTTTAAAACTTAAATTAAAATTAAGTTTTATTAGTTTCTATTTTCTTTTTGATATCTTATTTAAAAAGACAAAATATCGAGAGACACTTTTTTTTTTTAAATTCATTTTCACAATAAAAAAAATGTGACTTTGTACAAAATTCAGTGAAGACTGAATCTCTCGACTAAAGACTGATAATTGTATAAATAGTAAATGTAGAAAAATATGTTAATATTTTTTTAATAAATTAAAAGAATTAGCTACAAATGTAAATGGAATTTTAATTATTAATGAAAATTTAAATAAATTATAAAAAGTTAACATTAACAACAATAGAAAATATTTATTTGCGATTAATTTACAAATTAATGTTAGTAAATTTTATACACATTAAACTGGTTTTTCTTTATATAAACAATGATAAAAAAATATAAAGTGAATAATAAATTAATATTATATAAAAAAGTAGAAAAAATAATTGCAAAATTAAATATTTTGAATCAAGATTTTCTTTTTTTAAAGACTTCCAATGTCATTGAATCTTTTCAATTTTTCGGGAAATGCATCCTTAAAGAGTACAGGATCAGCTCGAAACTCAACTGATTTTAAAGGCATTGAGCCATAAATTTTTGAAAATCTGTTAATGCATTGAGTCCTCTCCACCATGTGAGTTAAATCGGCTGAAAGCATTTCCGTATTCGTGCACTCGGGACATCGAAATTTTTTCTTTGGTGTCACCTACAAAAAATATTTTAAATTAAGAAGAAAATGATTTGTCAAATTTATTTCCCACAATAAATAAAATCATGTGAAATTTGAATTTTCTCACCTTAATGGGAGCTTTTCCGGTAATATTTGAGATCAAAAAATTCATGGCAATGTCTTCACAATTCATATGCTCGTCTACCCATTCTTTTATGTCACCTGGCATTGACGTTGTGTACATATAACTCCAATACTAAAAGTTTGAAAAGAAAGTGTTAAAATGCGAATACTTGTAAATACATTTGGAAATATTTAAATATAAATTTTTTTTTTGCAACCTTGTGATAAAATGCGGCACCGGTCAAAACCATGGAAATTCGATTGGTCCATTCACTCTCGTATTTCCAGCATCCAGTTATATTATCCGATGTATGTGTTCGCGATGGAAAACCAACAATTCTATCGGGAAATTCTCGCCAAACCTACATATAAAATGGTATTTTTGTTATTTAAAAACTAATTTTTAAAAACGCGAATTTATAGAAAAGAATTTTTTATTACCTCAAAAGCGAATTCCACTTCATCTGTAGTTAACATAATAATATCGTCATCAATGGATAAAATAGCCTCGGTTTCAATTTCATCGTATGGATAAAAGCGATTTGATAATTTGTTCTCTTTTGTGCGAATCACTTTCAATGGTTTTAAAAGTTTCGGCCAAGTTGAAGCTAAAAAACAAATTTTTCAATTTTCAAAAACTGTAAAATTCATAAAATTAAATATAAACGTCATAATTAATATTTGAATATTCTTACATGGAGGTGGATCTTTGTTTTGATTGTTCCAAATGACGAGAACTTTTGACAGGCTCGGCACCTTGACGAGTTTATTAATTAACGAAAAGAGAAGTTCCAATCTGTCATATGTCAAAATCACAGCAGTGAATCCACGTGTTTTTGGAGCCGTAACGGGCAAAAATAAAGGTGACTTATTGTCCTGAAATAAAAATAAAAATTTAATACCAATTCAATAATAATAATTTTTAAAAAATGTTAAATAACTTACTAAATGCTTTGGAATATTCCAAAAATTGTAATCTCTCGCAAGATGTGGAAACACACGATCGGCAAGAATTTCCAATGATGTTTCCGTAATTGTGCCCATTGATTCGAAATATTTTTTATAAAGCCAAGAAACTTGATTTCGTAATTCAATTATTCGTTTTTCGGATATTTTTTTTAATGTTGGCACTACCATTAGGATATCTACTTCCCTTATAAATATCGCAGCTCTATAAAAAAATTTAATTACTATTTTATTTTCAAATTTTTCTAATCAAAACTAATTACCTCTTCCAATCAATAACTTCTTGAAATGGCATCACCAATAAATCTGATATTATCACGGGAATACATCCGGCAGCCATTGATTCCAAAAAGGCACTTTGACCGAGCCTCGCTCCTCGAATTATTAAACAAAAATTTGACATCTGCGTGAAAAAACAAAAATAATTAGCCAATGACATAATTGATTAGAAAAAAGACATTTAATAAGAAAATTACCTGCAAAATATCGGGATATTTATAAACATGCTCTTCCACACAACGAATTGAATTGTTCATTGGATTGTGATGTAAACACGGACCGAGAATTAAAATTTCTTTTGGATGCGCAGCCTTAATTTCTAACAAGTCTTGCTCGAAGGCTGAATTAATATTAATTTGTGCAGCCGTAACTAACCATTTTCTGTAAGTAAATCAAATTTTCTAAACTGATTCAAAAAGAATTTTTGAATTTTAAAATTTACCTATTTATCGAATAATTTCGTTTTAAATTTTCTACCAGTGGACTGTAAACTGGTAAACTAATATCGAACCCACGACGATGTGTCCAAGTCGAAAATCCAGCTCCGGCGATCATTGCCCTACCAATTGGTACATCAATCACAGTTTTATAGTCCGGAACACTTCCGGATATCATGTTAAACAATAAATGATTTTCTCCTTTCTCCCAGCTGGGAAAAAATAATTTCCATTAAAAATCAATTGCAAAAAAAAAAACAAATAAACTTAAAAAATCGTTTCTTACAATTCAAGAGATCGAAGAGCCTGTGAGACTTGTCGCAATTTCAATCTATTTTGATTCAACATATCGATTGATGGAACAAAAATACAAGCCTCATGTGGATTTGGAGTGTAAAATTTACTTGACGTGATTGCATATAAAATTTGATAAAATTCTCTTGTCATTTGACTTGTAACTGGTGTGTCTTCATGATCAAGAAATACTTTCGGTGGATAAACATAAACCGAAAGTTTATTACCCTGACTTCCACATCGATATAAATTGAAACAACCAAAATAATTACAGGAAGAATTTGTCAATTCGGCTTCGGGTATATCTTTACCCAATATTTTCGTTGGCAATGCATTTATATCGCTCAATACCAATGGTTGGTAAGTTGAATTTTGTTGTCTATTTCCAATTTGAAATACATGATAGGCGGTAATTAATAGAATACATAAAAAGAACACTGAACATACGATTATTATGGCATTGTTTTGATGATTGGAGCCGCGACTCAATTTTTGCGAAAATCGAGTCACAATCACCATTGTGATTCTATTTTTTCAGAATGCTGGAAAAAAAATTCTAATATATTAAATTGAATTTATAAAATTCAAATGTTACAGAATTATTCTTATCAAGAAAAAAATATTAATTTCTTTTCTACTTGTGTTTATTAAAAATAATTATATTCATTTTTAATTTTCATTAATAATATTAGTGATAAGAAACATTTTACCTACGTTAAATAATCCATAAAAAATTGTTAGGTATTTGACATTTTTAATCATTCTAATTTCTGGCTCTTATTTTCATTTTTAATGAAAATATAAATATATAGAAATTAGCCGGCTAATAATAATATCACTAATTAATATTCATTTTGTTTATTTTTTGATAAAATATCCTTAATTTATATATGGCACTACTGTTGTCATGACATCTGTCACTTTTGTAAATTTTAGGTTACGTTAACCTGCTTGAAGTTAGGCTAGTTTTTTCCCCTAGAAATTATTAAATTTGATTGGCTAGGCTCTTCTTCCGGTTATGAAAATTTACTCACGTGGTGGCGCTAGTTGCAAAAATTCAAAATGAAAGTTTAACGATTTCCCGCTTTTAATTATTTTTCTATGGTTGTCAATTACGGAAAAAAACGTTTGTTATTGTTTGAAAAATAATTAAACCTTACAAGAAAAATTTGTTTTAAAGTGATTTTACAGTAGTGATACACAGTAATTTGAAGAGAAAAGTGTCATTTACGTATCGTGCTTTTAAGAATCAAAAAATATTCGTTTATCTTATTTTTTAAGGTTATTATTCTACTCAACTGTTATATTTTGAATTTGCATTGCACAAAGGATTTCATTTTCGTTAACAAAAAACTACACGAAGGAAAAGAAAATTGTTGAGTATATTATTCTTTAAGATTAAATATTCGAGTATTTGTAATAATATAAAAGAAACACTGTCAATTGTTGATATTATTCAAATAGTTAAAACTTTTTTGTCGTCATAACCTAAATTTAATGTTTATAACTTCTAAAATAAATTTTCCCAATTTAATAATTATAATTAATTTAATTGTTAAAGGTTATAAAAAGATTGAAAATAAATTTTGATGTTTTCTTACAAAAATGCTTTATTGAGATAATCAGTTTCTTTTGTATAAAATGATTATTTACATGATGCAACAAGTTTCATAGAACTTATTAACTTTGATAATAATAATAATTAAATATATTTAATACAAAATAAGGTAAAATAATTTTTTACGCAGTCCATTTTAGGCACCTTGTGTCTAAGTGCGTTCCGAGACATTTTGTACAACAATATCTTGCTCCACATGGAATACACGTATAATTACTAGGAAATCCACAGACAGCGCAAAAATGTCGCTCGGGAAATTTTGACGATGGTGCACGTGCTGAGGAATAATTTGGCGGTGTTGGATTATAATTTAAATCTTCTTCAACTAATTGTGCAAAAGTTTTGCGAAATCTTTGTTTATAATAATCAGCCGAACGCGTTTTTTTCTTTCGACTGGAATTTCTACTCTCGAGTGTTTCTTGAAATTTAGGCGCCTTTTTGCTCATAACTGAAAAAATATTTATATTATTATTTTAAGAATACTTACAATCATTTTTCATTAAAGAAAAAATTATTTTCCATTTACCTAAATCGGCGTGAGGATCTTCATGAAAATTATCCTGTTCCAAAGCTTCGAGAGCCTTTTTTTGTCGACGTTTACGTGACGCATCATCGAGAACTCTTTTCTGATAAGAATCTTTAATTCTTCCAGATTCGCGAGCCGCCATTTTTTGCGAAATATTTTTTTAAAAAACTTCAAACACAAATTTAAATTATTTATCACTTGAAGGAACGGAAATATCGCCACCTAAATCTTCAACTTTTTTTCTTAAAGCATCCAAAATATCAGCGGAAATAAATAAATGTCGTTCGTCTAAATCTTGAATGATAAATTTTCGTCCTAGTACATTTTTCTCATCCAAATCAAGCAACAATTGTTTCATAGCTTCATCACTGAAAAAAAACAACAAATTTTAATTAATGAAATGGAGAATAATTCTTTTGTTTTTATTTTTTAGCACAAAAATGTCAAAGCGAAAAGGAGTAACATTAGATGAAAAGCGATCAAGACTTCTTCAAATATTTTATGAGAAAAGAGAATTTTTCACTCTCAAGGAATTGGAGAAAATTGCTCCCAAGGAAAAAGGAATTGTCGTTCAATCTGTTAAAGATGTATTACAAAATTTAGTTGATGATGGTCTTGTTCATTCTGACAAAATTGGAACATCTATTTATTTTTGGGCATTTCCTGGGTAAGAATTTGTTTTATTTAATAATTAAATAAATTATTTTCTTCCAAAAAATTAATTAAATGTTACTTAAAATCTTTTTAATTTAGAGAAAAGATCACTTCGTTGGAAAATCGGATAGCAGAAGCAAAAAGAAAAATTGTCGAGGCAGAATTTAAGATAAGGAAACTCAATGAAGAAATTGAGAAAGAAAAGGCAAGGAATTTGAAATTCGCATAAATCGATCACTTTTTTTATCTTGATTACTAATTCAGTAATTATTATTTTATACAATAGGCAGGTAAAGAAGACAGTGAGGAGAAACAAATTCTATTAAAAGAGATTGAAGAACTGAAAAGAAGTGAAGCTGATCTCCTCGGTCTTATAGATAAATTCAAAGACATTGATCCCGCAGAAATTGCTAAATTAGCCGAACAATCAGAGGTAAGAGAATTTAATTCAATTATTTATTTTATTAGATTTTGAAAAATGTTTTCTTTAAAAATTCTTTTAATTATAAAGATCAGTTAGAGATAAAAGATTCTGTCAAATTTTGTTTTTCTTAATTATCATACATTGATTCCGATAAAATAGAACTTTATAATTATAATATTGTTCTAGTTGTACAAAGATGCAGCAAACACATGGACAGACAACATATATGCAATTCAAAGTTGGTGCAAAAATAAATTCGACATTGAACGCGAATTTCTCAATAAACAATTTAACATTCCAGATGAATTAGAATATTTAGATTAGATTAAAAAATACAAGACTGCAATTATATTTTACTTTTTTTTTGTTCACGAATTTAAATTAGAACTAATTCTAATTATTTTTTTTTTGTAATATAATTTTTTTAATTAATTTTTTTTTATTCAAAGCATTTATATTGATTTAACAAAACTTTTTAGGAAAAGTTATTCTTTTGAATTGTCATATTTATAAAACTTACCATTCAACTAATATTCCTTTAGTGACATTAACCATATCGTTATTTATTCATTGAATAACGTTCCTATTTGTTTTGTTCATGAAAAAATATTAAAATTCCAAATAAAATTATTATTTTCTATTAAATTGTTATTTTTGCTGCGTTCTCAGAATTTACACCGTAAACTAGATAAATATTTAAGATATGATTTACGATTATACATTCAACCGGAAATAACTTAATTGCCCTCTGGTGGCGAATAACGTAGAATTTTAGGTTGGTACACCTGACGTTGTTGAATAAAATATTTTTTTAAACAACAACAAGAAACAAATGTCAATAAAGTGAGAAAAAATTTGAAGAAAAAGAAAAAGAAGGTATTGTAACGGATTTTTTCTGTTAAACATTGTGCAAAAGTGATTTGAATTAATGAGTGTAAATTTAATTAATAGAATCGCGGGAAAATTATCAGTGTCATGAAATTCCCTGTGAAATTAAACGATTGATGATTGCGTCAGAAGTCCTTGACATCGAAATCAACGCAAAAGCACGGGTTCTCGTTGCTCCCTCGCATCATCGATCGCTTATTCACGGTCGGACAATAGTCAGTCCACAATCATCAGAAGTATTTCTACAGTTTAGTCACACAAGTAAGTTGAATTAAATTTCTCCTTTTTTTGCCTTAAAAAATTCATTCACATCATGCTTGACAGATCCTTTAATTTGAGGTTAGTTTTTCAGCTGATAATTTTGTCAGAAAACTATAAACGAAAATGTCAAAAAAAGACTTTTCCCACTGGAATCATATCTCTGTGTAGAACTTTGTCATACTTTTAAAACGTGGTAACTAAACACGTGTTCTTTTTTTACTCCAATTAAATGTGAATAATTTTCTTCGCCATGTGGTTTACTCTATTTTTTCTTTAGAGATGAATCATATTATATAATGTCCTCCGGCCGTGAGCCAGTGCCCTAGTGACTGAATTATCGTGTTGTAAGAGGTGTTAATGAAATTTTTTAACCTTCTGATTATAACGTTAAGGTCACGATTTTATTTCCTAGAGACTAGACATACACACACATACAGGGGATCAAGAGGTTAGATTTGGCTTTATGGCATCTTGCCAGGGGATCTTTAACTCGTGATCGAAAGCCTGAAATGGGTCCAAAATGTTTAAACTTTTTTTTTTATGTTAAAAATAGTTTTGTTTTTGTAGTTGAAACGAATTTTTTCGTATGTTAATGAAGCTGGGAAAAATATATTTTCAAGTCTTCTTACGTGTTGCATTAAATTGAATTAAATTGCGTAATGCTATTTTGTCTTTAGCTTTGGATTGCTTAATTGAATTTTTACTTATTAACAATATTTATATTTCTTTGTCTTTTTCAATTTTAATTTCTTTATTTTTTAATTATAATAAAGTTCTGAATTATCTAAGAATTTTACAAATCAATGCAATTTATTTTGTCACCTACATATTTTTATGATAAGATGTTATCCACTCGGGGAAATATGTAACAAGGTCTTTATGATTCATATTAATATCTGCATTTTTGATTGTAGATCTCACTTATCACAATGGGAGTTCCCGCAGGAGATGCAGACAAGGGAAAGAAGGTAATTGAATAGTTGATAAATTTTAAATAATTGTTTTTCAGTTTTCGAAAAATGTGATTTTTATATTAATTTTTTTGTTTAGATCTTCGTACAAAAATGTTCCCAGTGTCATACCATCGAAGCTGGTGGCAAACACAAAGTAGGCCCAAATTTACACGGAATGGTTGGTAGAAAAACTGGACAAGCGGCCGGATTTGCCTACACTGATGCAAACAAAGCAAAAGGTTTTTGAATTTTTATATTACCTCAACAAGAAAAATTTAATTTTTTTGTTCTCAATAGGAAAAATTTTACTTTAATGTCGTAATTGTTTTTATTACTTAATTAAAATCAATTCTCGACAATTATAACTTCATTATTGTTTTTTTTCTGGTCTTCTGAGAATAAATCTTGGAAAACAATAAATCTATAAATAAATATCTAATGCAATGTTTTAATTTTTCAGGCATCACTTGGAATAAGGATACGCTTTTCGAATATCTCGAGAATCCAAAGAAATATATTCCCGGCACAAAAATGGTGTTCGCTGGAATTAAGAAACCACAAGAAAGGGCAGATCTCATCGCTTATCTAGAACAAGCCTCTAAGTAAATTTTAAATTGATTCTCTTAAAATTAAATCTCAGAAGCGGTGCTTTAGTGAAAACGAGGGGAAAAAAATTAGGAAAATTATCATCTCAACGTTTAATTCTTCCTCGGATTCACAACTCCCGAATTTAAACTCAAAAAAAAAATAATACGCATTGTTTCAACAAGGAGTAAACTAGTAACGAATTGTTATTGTTAATAAGTAGGTAAACGAAAAAAAAACAAATCATTGTAACTATGTAAATTGTCTTTTTCAAATGAGCTTGGGCAAGAACCAGCTCGAAAATTTTACAGTATCGATGTTCTGTTTTTAACAGGTAGATCCTGACACAAACGTCATCGATTTTTATTTATTATCAATTAATTAATTTTTTTTTTTTGGCTTTACGTTCGTTTATTCGTCAACAGTATTTATGGAAAAAAAATCAGTCATAAAAAATCAATGAAAAATTACGAAAAGTTAGTTTTTTCTCTTGCTTGAAAAAAAAGAATGCACAGGAATAACAGAAGGACAAATGTATAAAAATAAATATAATATTGATGCCAACATTTTCATTTAATGCGACGTAGAAAAAAAAGAATAAAAAAATTATTTTTTGCAACTTTTATTTGTTACTTCTGTGCATTTTTTTTTACAATTTCCCAATTATTTTTTTTTTTTCCCTTAATTTCAGATAAATAAGAAATTTTTTGAATTTCGTAAAAATTGCTAAATTTTCTTCTTCTGATTTTAAGATAATTAACAAGAAACATTACTTTTTTCTATTTGAATTGTTTTATATTAAAATTCATTTGGTTATGAAGCAAAAAATTGAATTTTTTACAAGTTATTAATTTGTAGTAATTGAAGATTATTTTTTTGTTGTTAAATTAATTTGTTATTCTTTTTTAATGCTTTTAATTGTTTCTGGGTTTTTCGTTAGTGTGTTGGATATGTTTTATTTTTTTGAGTAGATTAGTCTAATTGGAATCGATTTTTCTTTATGAATACGTAGTAGAAAATGTCGACATTCAATGAGACTTGATAAATATATATACATTAGTGAAAAGTTGGGTCGATGCAGCGTTTGCGCTGCAATAGAATTCAGGGACGGTTGCAATATTTTGAAAAAAATAATTAAACATTATTTAAAAGTTTAAAGAATTTAGAAATTAAATCTTTGATTAAGATAAATTTCAATTTGGATCAAATTTGATTATATTTAATATAATTTAAACGAAGAAATCTGATTTTGGATTTACAGATTTTTTTTCAAAAAGGATTTTTTAATCAGCTGTTTATCATGCGCACAAAGTTTTGAGAATTCTGGGCAACACATTGACCTAGAAAATGTTTGCCCTCTTTTTGTCTCAACACATAAAAGGATTTATTTTTGTTGTTGTTCAAATGTACCAGGTTTTGTTTTAAAATAATTTCTCATACTTGTTATTCGGAAGATATATATTTTTTTAATTGAAAAATAAGAATTTAAGAAGAACCTAGGATTAGAAACGAAAGAAATTTGGAATTTCTAATATAATGACGAAAAGGTAAAAAGAATTAATTTTTTTTAATTAATTAAAAATGTATTTTTTAAATTCTTTCAACTCCTTTGAAAAAAATTCCGTTGAATTAAAATAATTTAAAACTTTAAGTAAAATACAATACCTAAATTACTTTTTACTGAAATTAAACAATTTAAAAGTAAAATAGATCAGTTTTAAATTAATTATATTAATAGTTATTAAAATTGAAAATTCTCAGAACAATTAAGATTATTAAATTTTCGGAGTCATCAACAATTAGAAATAATAATAATAATAAAAAGAATTATAAAAAAACCTTTTCTATTTTTAACTATTACAACATTTGACACATTTTCCAGTTCCCACCTACTCCTGTACAAACATTCAAACACTTGATGCTGATTGGTTCAAAGTGTACCACGTGACTGTTAAATAATAAACTTTTATTTCTTTCCTAAAAATGTAAAAGAACTTCTAAATCTTTTAAACAATTGACAAATATAACAGATAGTGTTTCTAGAATTACATATTCAATATCTGAACTTTGAAAAAGAAAACCAATTTACAATAATTAATGCAAATTGCAACATAACATGAAACCGCATGGTTTGTTTGCAGTTCTACCAACCTTATTACATAACATAAACAAAAATATACAATTACAAACTATTTTTTGTTAAAAAATGCTTCCTCAATTATAATACAATGAGTTTGTTATTTTTTTGTTAATCCATTGCAACTAATATTGTTATTTTTATTGTTTATAGTATTTACTTTTGTTTATTGAAAAAAATGTATTGTATTGGCAAACCTGGTAGTTTAAAACCAAAACGGAGCGAAGTTCGGTGAATTTTTCTCTCATGATCGCAGTAAGCATTTTTTATTATAAAATTGAGAATTTATCATGTTTATTGATAATTGTGCATGTTGATGATTATTAATCAAATATTATTTCATTTAATTTAGTTTAATGTCATTATATTATATGACGATTGACATTAATCGAGAAAATTGTTATTTTGAGGTTAGGTTTACTTAAAATTATGTCACTTGTGCAATGTGCTTGTATTCTTTTGCGAGTTCTGAGCCATGTTCTATATTTAAATACACGTTATATCTGTTATATGAATAGGAAAATCTCACTTCGACAGTTAACAATTTATTTTTTTTGTTACAGTATTTTAAAGTAAAAAAATGAGGTTAACACCACAACAACTTTTGATGCCATTGTTAGTAGGATTTTCTCTAACAGGTGTCAGTTGTATTTTATTATACTTTTTCACACGAAAGGTAAATAAATAATAAATTAATAATTAATGTTTTTGATTTATTAAACAATGGAATTATTTTAAATAAGTTTTTGGTAACAAATATTTGAGTAGTTTTTGTTTCTTTTGTTTGTCAATTTTGTTAGTGTTGATAGATAAACAATAATTGAAAATAAATTATTTTCAGGATGAAGATGAGGTGAGTGATCGACGAAAAACACGGATTGCAACATCAAGACAGAGTGAAATTCAAATAAAAATTCCTCGTTCATCAATTCCTGCAATTATTGGACGTGGTGGATCGAAAATTAAAGAAATTCAAGAGAATACGGAAACTCAAATTAAATTTGGCGAGGAAACAGATGTCGATGCACCGGAACGAATTTGTAAAATACAAGGAAAACCGGAAAGTATTCGTTTAGCTGAGGTTATGATTTTGGATATTATACGAAATCAGCCAGTTATTGAAATTTATGAAATGATGGTTGCACAAAAATATATTGGACGAATAATGGGCAAGGGAGGAGATTCAATTCGTCTCATTCAAGCTACTTCCAATGCTAAAATAACAGTAGATCCCACTGGGCATCAAGATCCAAGTTTGTGTTTTTAATCTTTTTAATAAACATTTTTAATTTCTAGAAAAAATTTCTTGTTAAAATTTGAGATTCTAAAATTTTTTAGACACAGAAAAGAGAGTCATTATTAAAGGAACGGCAGAGCAAATAGCATCAGCTGTCACTTTAATTGAGGATAAAATTCGTGAGGACAAAGAAGCCAGGGAAAAATTGGAATCTAACGTGAGACAACCGAGAAGTAACAAATCTCCATCTCCACGAAACAATGGAATGAAACAAGAAGATAATGAAAATACATTTGAAAAGAGAAAACCTATGGAAAGTGAAAATTTTGACAATAAATACAATTTTAATGAACAAATTAAAAATACCGAAGAACATTTTGTCAATGACGTTGAGTCAAATCAAAACGAAAATGTTGAAAAAGAATACAAAAATATTGGAAAACCGGAACATTCTACAGTTTCTAATTCTGAATTTGTAGCAGAATCTTTACCCGCACAAGGTAAGTTTCTTATTAAATTACGAAAGTAAAAAATTATAAATATTATTAATTTTTTTTTAATAGACAGTACCATGGAAATTTTCGTGAGTGCTTGCGAAACTCCGAGTCAATTTTTCGTGCAAGTTTATGGTTCAGGTACAGTGGAACTTGACAAATTGGTAGAGAAAATGACGACTTATTATGACAATAAAGAAAATGCGGAACTTCATGCTTTAAAGAATGCAAGTTTTTTTTTAAAAAAAAAAAGAAGTGTAACTATTTTTTTAAAACTTTTGAAAAATTCATTTTTAATAGAATATTTTTAAAAAATAGATAACAGTTGATCAAATGGTGGCTGCCAAATTCTGTTACGATGCACGATGGTACAGATCTGAAGTCATCTCGGGTCCCGACAAGGACGGTGAATATCAAGTTTTCTTCCTTGATTTTGGAGATCGTGCCACTGTCCCAAGAAGTGATATCCTTGAGCTTCGTACCGATTTTCTCAGCCTCCGATTGCAGGCAATCGAATGTTCGCTGGCCAACGTAAAACCTCGGTAAGTTTCTTTTTTGAAATATAAATAAATTATAATATAGAAAAAATAATTTACATTTAAATTAAGTTTCCACTAATTTAATTTATATTAAAATAATTTCACATCAATCGGATAATTTTGAATATATGTAAATTGACATTTTATTACAATTCAATATGAATTTAAATTATTGCCTAATTGCTTAGTTCGCTGTCATCCATATTGCTAGATAATGATCCTCCAATTCCAGCTTCACAAACTTCGTGAAATAATTCTGGATTCACTTGTTCCATCATTTTCCAGGCGAAATTTTTCGTTATACTCATTGCATTTTCCTCGCAATATGCCAAACCGGCTCTTTTTAATGCGTCACAGCCAAATTCGTCGGCTATTAAAAGTCTCGTTGCCACATTTTCCGGCGTTATCGTTTCAATTAAATTTCTCTCGCATAACTCTTTCAATCCTTTTATTTTATTAGAAAAAAGAAAATATTTCTTATCATTAATAGTTTATTTAATTTTCGGAGTTTTGATGTAATAATGAAATATACCTTGTAAATGAAACTCTCCAGCCAAAAATAGTAACTGTGGCGCCAAGGTATCCAAATTATCAACGTGGTCGCTATAAATATAACGAAGAAGTTCTTCCGTGACTTCTTTCGATAGGTCTTTCAACTCCAATTTGAATTTCAGCTGCGTCTAAATGTGCATAATATATATTGTATATTTTTTCTGAATAATTCGTTAAAAGCAATGAATTTATTTAAATGCGACAAAATAACTATTTCGATTTTCATTACTAACCTTTTAAAAGCGTTACTATTTAAGCAAAAACGTAAAAATACAATTTGCCATTGCAATTTTGTCTAATTAGCAATGACGTGCGAAAAAAGCATTTCCCTAAAAGTAAACATTTTTTTATTGTCCACTCAATGGACAATATGAATACTATTTTAATATTACAAATTTTATTTTATCCCTAAATATTTTATTTTATTGATAGAAATTATATTTTATTACAAAAATGACAATTTATTGCTAAAAAAAATATATTCCAAAAGAATGAATATAATATTCAATTTTATAACCAATTTATTGTTAAAAAATTCTATTTAATTGCTAAAAATTAATTAATTTATCACTAAAAGTAAAATTTATTTATAATTAAACAAATTTATTTTTACTTAAAAATTTTAATATCACTGTAGAAAGATTTTTATTTTATTTCTATGAAAATTGTCTTTTGTTGCTTTAAAATTCGATTAACATAAACACAGGCAATCACAACACAATAAGGAATCGGTCAGTCGGATTAACACTTTAAGTAAAACGATTTGAAAAAAAAAAATTGTAAGGACATAAATCAATACTGACTTTTTTTTTTGTTAATGGACAGTTAGTGAAAAACAAACAAGATGACAAAACACATTCACACGACTTTTTTTTCTCTAAGCTTAACTAAATTATTAAAATGAAAATTTAATTATATAATTAATTAATTAACCAATAAATTAATTAGCTAATCGATTAATTATTTAATAAAATTAATATAGTATCAAATATATTCGAATAAGCGCAATACGAAGCAACAACTACGCATGATTTTCTTCTACATGGACACATACGTCCACATTTTTATCTTCCTCTCCATTATTGACGCTTTTCATTTGTGCTTCACTATCATTTTCTTTCTTCATTTTTTTTTCATTTGAATCACCCTCGAAATTATCATTTTCCATTGGCGATATCATATTCGCCAATACTGAACTTCGAGCTGTAATAACACTACTGTGAACTGCAATCTCGGTATTATTTGTTCCTCCACAGGTTAATTTTGTATCAGCTGCACGTGCATGTTTCAAAAGTCTCGCCATATCCTATAAAATTGTTTATTCTATATATGAATATTTAGAGAGAAAAAATTAATTTGATTTATTATTACCTGAGATAGACAATGTTTTTCACTTTCACATTGAATTATTTGTATTTTCACCATTACAACGACATCGCCATTTTTCTTGAAATGTCGATCGACAATTGACAAATCTCTATAACCCAGTGATATTATATCGGATGTTGATTTTAATTCTAATATTGTTCTACTGACGTGACAATATTCCCAGTGATTAACATCTGCATTGAAAACGGCAAATTGAAATCTAACTTTTACTTGTTCCGTTTCCTCCACTGTGCATTTTAACATATTTAAACATAAAACAACTGGATTCGTAATTCTCTTCCCTGAAAATAATGAATAGTTTTCTAATTAATAATTGATCGTAGATTAATCAAAAGTAAAATTACTGTTTTGTTGTCGAATTACATTTTTTGTTTTGTTATTTATATTTAATTTACCTTCAGGGCCTTTCCAAAATCGAATTGAAAGTGTCCAGGTACTGTGAATTCCATTAACATTTATACTAAAAGGCGGACTATCAATGTAATTACTTTTAGCTATTGTCTTTTTGTAACGTGAAATTGGCCAAGAATATTTAAAAATTATATCCGACACTGTAGGCACCAGCAGCTCCATTCTTTTTTGTTTCACTTGAAGAATAAAAGAAAATATGTCTCCTGGATATGAAAAATATTTTTCTTTTTTATACAAAATAATGACGATTGTGTAAGAGAAAAGAATGCTGCTTTATCTTAATTAGAGTATGTTACAATCTCTCATCATAAGTATACAATGAAAAATAGAATAAATTATTAAAATTATATTTTATTAATATAATTTAAATTATAATAATTAAATTATAATTAAATAATTATTAAATAAAAAAATTTGTTTTCAATATTTCTCACTTTCAATTAATATAAACTACATTCTGATAAAGGTATTAAATTACATAGAAAATTTTTGACGAATTGAAACGATCGTGATTTTGAACAATTGAACTCTCTAAGCTGATTATCTTGCGTTCTCAATCTAATTGTATTTCTGGTTTATTATTAGGCGCGAAGAGCTCGCACTACAATCTCTAAGCACTTAAGCTTCCTTCATCTAAAAGCCAAATCACAACCTCATTTTATTTCCCACATTTTAGACATATTTTCTTTTTTTTATAATTTCTTTCATTCCTTATTTCTTTTTAATTAACCACAAATTTTTCGGCTAATTACGAATATTTTTTTTTGTTAGTTCTATTAGAATTAAGTAAAATATATTTTCTGTTATTAATTAATAAATTATCAATTTTCAATAACATCTACTTTTAGAGATACAAGGAAAAGTTTATAAAGGACGAGGAATTGTTTTTATGATAAACAAATTCTGAATAAAAAAAAGGAAACGAATTTTGCAATTGTAAATAATGACTCTCCACGTGTATTTAGTTAAGGAAGTATAGTGCGAAAAATGGATGATATTGGAATTGAGCCAATTTAGCCTCGAGAATTGTACGTTTCTGTTTAAAGACTCGTATTTCAAAAAGTTCTTGAAATTCTAATGAGTGTTCCGAGGTTATTGATAGACAGGTGAAAAATTTTAAACTATTCACCTTAACAATATCAATGAATTGATAGTTGACAATTTTCAATTTCAATTTTCCCAATTTTATTAATAATTTAAAATAAAATAATACATAAAAAAATAATTTTAATTATTTAATAATTGAAAATGTTAAATAATTTTAAATTATAGTAGTTATAATTTCTTTTGTATCAAATTCTTTTTTACAAATTATTTTGATTTTTATAAAAATTATCTCATTTCCAAAATATGTAGTGACATTTCAAAGTAGATTCGATTAGAAGTTGTTAATAATGCAGGAACAACAGGTGTATGTTGCCTTGTGCAATTAATTTCTTGAGCTTCCAGATGTCAGAAGTGAGAATGGATAATTTAGAGTTGGAATCAAGTTGTCATTAATAGTTCAGAATATTGTTTCAACATGTACAAGGGGAGAAATAGAAGTTTAATTATTATTTAATATTATTCGTAATTTATCACATTTTCCAAGAATGCTAATTATTTTCAATAATTATTTCGAAATAATAAAATTTTAAGACAAAAAATACATTTTTTCTTCTAAAAAGATTTAATTTTCAAAAATTTTGAAAAAACACGTGACGTCATTCGTGAACGTTTCCATTTCAATGTTGTAAATCAGAATTTTTTCTTCTAACGTATACGTAAAACTAATGGACCAAAGTTGTGCTGAGATGAATGTTTCATTAAATTAACAATGTAATGTTTGGACAAACAGATCAATTACACTTAACTGGCTTATAATTAGAGTTGATTGTCATGTGAATTTCTAGAGCACTCTGTTTAATTGTTCATTGACCATTTCTGGTTCAATGCTACCTGTTAATTAAGTCAAGATTGAATGAATGGTTTGATAATTGTAGGTACTTGAGTTTCGGAAATTTTCAAAATAATTTTTTTTACAAATTAATTTATTTTTTCCTCGGGATATTTTTTTGAGTCAATTAAAATTTTAAATTAATTAAAACAGATTATAATTTCTAAAGTCAAAATACACGTGGAATGTTTATCTAATTTATTGATTTTGAACCGTTTCTATTTCAATTATTGGTTTTAATCTCCCCGAGTGCAGTGGCAGTGATCTTTTCCGGGTTTCATGTAAAATACATTCAGTCGGAGACGATAAATTGATGTAGGTAAACGAATTACCATTTAATCTTTCATGTTATATACATCAGCTAACCTGAGAAAATATAACACTTTTTCCAAAATTCAACATCCCGATTTTACACGCTTTTTATTCGATTTATTTGCGGAAATTCTGAGAACGTAATTTCATATATCAGTCAATATTGAATTTTTTTTCGTTACTTAAAATAATAAATAAAATTAAACTTTTTAAACTTTTATATAATTTTTTTTAAAGGAAAAAATGTTTATTTAAATTTATAAATTATTAATAAAATAAGATTAGAGATATTTTGAGACGCAAAAATAATAAAATACTTACATATGTGGGTTGAAATTTTCTCTCATAGATAAGTTTAATTCTTGATTCTTATCATAATATTTCTCTGAGTGTGATAAATCACACACAATATGCAGAATTTAATTAAATAAAACTTTTATTATATTATATTTTAAAAGAAAAAAAATAATCTCCGTTTCTTTCTTTCAAGATCAATATTAAAAATGTCTTTTGTGTTGCACACATAAAATTACGCCTTGCCAAATATATATATAATATATACGTTGTTCACTTTTGAAATTGATATCTATAAAAAAAATTGGCTATGAGTCTAAAGTTTTCGCCGGCGAACAACTCCTCAAAAGCCAGGACATATCAATACGGTTAAAGATCGAGAACGACTGTGAGACTTTCGACTATATACTGATACAAGACCTCTTTGAATTTTCTCAGTTTCACGATTACACACGTGCAGTTTATGTCTTAATTTATAAATGGAGCAGCGCTTTTATTGAATGCATTTTTTTTATTTTTCCTCGATAGCGAGCAAAATAAATAAATTCAAATTATTTTAATATATTTATGTCAGAAAAAAAAATTTGACATTGTTTCGAAAAATTATTTTTCGGTAGAATAAAATACTTTATGATTTTGTAATTAAAACTTTTTTGTTTTGTTTTTAATTGTTTTATGCAAAATTCATTTTGAAAAACTAGTTTTTGAGTTTGGTTACACTTCGGTATTCTAAAATATTTGAACGTTCTAATAATATTGTTATTCGCATTCTTGGCGCTGATAGAAACCCAACAACGTCAAAATGCAGTTATTCTAAATTTCAATTTTTATATATTTGTTTTTATTTTCATTATAATTTTAGAAAAATTCAATAGAGTAATATTCTTTTTATTCTGAAAGAGTTTTTACAATTTTTTTTCATTTCAATCAAACGTTTTTTTGATACATCCTATAATTTCGCGTATGCAAAAATATTTTCCACTACTGCCGGTTGTCAAGGAAAATTCCAAAGTGGCGCTTGACTGAAATTTATCTCATTTCAACGATGTGCCAACTTTCTGTATAAATAAATACATAAATCAGGACATTTAAATATTCATACATTGAAAACAATAATTTGTAATAAACTTTTACTGACCTCATAAGTTTAAACAGTGGAAAATATTACATTCGTAAATTAATATTTTTTTAAAAATATTTTTTATTCACAAAGAAAATAAATTTTAAAGCATTTTATTTTTGCTTCAAAATACAAATTACGATTCTTTTTCGATAACAAAAAAAATTAATAATTATATTTAACAATAATAGGATTAAAATTAAAGATAAAAGAAAATTATAGAATTTTTGATATTAAATTAAAGAAATTAAAGAAATTTTATTAAAAAATGTTTTCAGTGGAGGAGTATGGAGTGAAGGAGCTTGTGACAAATTTGCCGATTTGACGCATACAGCTCAATGGAAACGAGTTTACGCCAAAATCAAAGGATACAACGAAAGAGCAATTGGATTCGGAAGATCCCGTCGAGAAGGATCTCCCATTCCCAGTATTGTTATTTACGATGTTATTGATAACAAGGTGAATTTTTTTTAAATGAAACTTTAAATATTGAAATAAATTTCCAAATATCTTTAAATTATTAGCAATAGTAAATTTTTAAATGTACCTAATATTTATTATTAAATTTTAAAAAATATTTCCAGGAAGTCGATGTGGCAAAAGAATTAATAAATGAAAATCTTGCTGAACTCGATGAGGAAGTTTTATCAGCTGCTAGTTCAACAATTTCCATATCGAGACGCAATAATCCTGATTTGAGAAAAAGTCCCACACCAACATCTGTGAAAAATTCAGTTCAATCGGGAAAAACTAATAAAACCATTCAGGAAATCGATTTGACAACGCCGATTGTAAGTTATGTTTTTTAAAGAAGAATTATTAAAATTATTAAACATATACAAATAAATAATAAAAAAATAATATAAATGTAAAAACAAATAAAATATTTGAATAGAAATGTAAGAAATTAAAAAAAGGTAATATTAATTATAAAAAGAAAATTATGTAGAATTTTTTCATTGCAGAAAGGCAATAAGAAAATTGAGGAAATTGATTTAGTGAGTCCAGTGACAAATCAAACGTCACAATTTATCAGTAATGAGAAAAGATCATTTACTGAAAATGGTAGCGGAGCTCATTCACAAGTCAATAGAAATTCTAAATCTTCCAATATTATGCCAGCCGGTTATGATAGTGATCGATCGTCAGAATCCGATTTTGAGTTGGAATAAGAAAATTGACGAGTTTTAGTCAGGTTTATGTTTTCGTTTTTTCAAATTTTTATATTTCTTTTCTTTTTCTTATTCAGTGAAACCAAATGTAAACAAATCATCTGATTATTAATATTTTAAAGGTAAAAACTACTCAACTACTTTCTTCGACGATTTAAAATAATGTAAATATATATAAGAAAAGAAGAAAGTTAATGACTAGTTTGCCGCGTTATTATTTTTCTAAAGTGAATTAGTCAATAGATGATTTTTGTCAATAATATTAATAATTTCTTCATTTTACAGAAGAGATTTTTGTTTTGTTATTCCAAAAATTTGCAGACTATTTCATTTTTTTAAAAAATGCGATTATTTTAAAAGAAAGAAAAAGGAAAAAAATGTTAAAACAATGAATTATTCTTTGATGTAATTTTCCAATTTTTATTTTATAATTATTCTTCGTCAAACTCAGGAACGTTTCTCAAGTGCCTTAATATTATTTTCATCAGAAAGCGATGATACTTTCGCCTTTATTTTCTTATAGACTTTGTTACGCAATTTTTTTTTCTTAATTCAAAAAATGACGAAATCTATACAAATTCAAGTGATACGAACGAACGGTATTATATATAGTCTATAAACTAAAAAAAAATTAAGCATTAACTTTTCAATTATTAACCTTTAAAGTGTGGAAAAAATACGTGAGACGTATTTTCATGTTTTAGGGGACAAAAAAAAAGAAATTTATTTCTGTATGTTAAAAATATTATTAAAATTCGCTGCTTCGTTGTACATATATAAAAATAGTTAATAGTTTAATCGCAAGAAATAAATTTACGTATTATAACAATAACAAATGATTGTGTTTCGTAGTGTATTTATTTCTCGAGATTAACTAATCTTGGAATAATTAATTATACATGAAAGTGCAATTCCTATTTTATTCAAGGCAGAGAGAGATAGAGTTTAAACAATTTTGTATGTGCATCTATTTACAAGTAAGTAACATTCTTATCAATGAAAAATCTTTCACTAACTTTTGAAAGTATTTTTAAATTTTTTAAAAATTAATACTCATAAAATTTTTTAAAGATTTGAATTTTTAACATTATTTTTTAATAATATTGAGATGAATTGATTAATTAACTTTTTTTCGTCTCTCTCTCTCTCTCTTAAACAGGAAAGGGAAATGATTGGTAATCCGTGTCATTTGACGTGGAAAATAAGATGTAACAGTTGTTGGAGAAAATAAATAACACTTCTTGACGGGGGATTTGATTATAATAGAACAAATAAATACGTGACAAGAAGTCCCAGAAATAATTGTCCCTTGGTGGTCACCAATAATTGAGAAAGCTGCGGCCAAGCGAAACCGTATATATAAAATACTTGCTTCAACAATTTCTCTCCTCAGTTTCGTTAGAGACGATAAAGTCAACCGAAGTCATGGGATTTTTGGTAAATTGAAATATTACATTTCATTGAATATTTTATTAACAATTTATTTAAATAATTATAATATTGACAGTATTTATTTAATTGTAATATTTATTATATTTAGTATGAATAACAATAATTTTCTCAATGTTCACAAAATCTTTAATACCACCAATTTGAGAAATGAATTGAATTAGAAATTAGAAAATTATTTTTTTTAGTATAAATGTAAAATAAAATTGTCATATAATTTTTTTTTTATTCAGAAATTGGGATTGATATTCTTTTGTGGAATCTGTATGGTAATGGGCGGAACACGTTATATTGCAATTCCCATCGAAGGAATCGACGTCATCGAGCTGAATCCAATTTCTCCACCCTCGTCTAGACTCCCACGCGAAACGGAGACTTACGTGCCAGTGGCAGTTTCTAATATCCATCCTGACAGTATTGAAAATCCGGTCCAGAGAACTGAGAGATCATCAGCTCATATTCTTGACTATGTTGATTTTGGCGCACACACAGGAGCCAATGGAGCTTACACTTGGTACACCGATTATCCAGCGCGTCATTAAATCCAATTATTAAATGAAAAGAGAAAAAAAATAACTTCTACTCTTTAAATATTCATGGAAAAATTTTGTTTCCACATGGAAGAACATCGTATTATCTCTAAATAAATGCGTGGGCTATTAATTTACACAAAATCAATAAGATAGAGAGATAAAAAAAAAATTATGAAAAAAATAGTAACTACTTTTTATATATATAAAAAATATAAAATTATAATATTTTGGAATAATAAAAAAGGAGAAAATCAAAGCAATTTTCTTTATTGTGGATCATCAAATACCCGTCGTTTACAATACAATAAATAGCAGCGGAACAGTGGTACTTTTTTTTATGTTAACATTTATACTTTAGGTACAACGATAACATTCTTGACACGCAATTCTCATCATAATTGTGAAATAATACCATAAAAAAACAAAATAGAAAAAAATCACAAACGGGAAAATTTATTTCCCTCACATGGAATAAATTTTTTTTTTCAATCCTTTATAACACAACTTTTACATATAAATATCAACATTTTTCTTAATATTTCAAAACCCTTTTCTCCAATAAACGATTTGATTCACAATTCTTTATTTGGATAAAGCTCCACTTTTCTGTTTGGATTCTTTTTTTTATTCTATATGATTTTTTTTTACATTAAAACACTTTAGGTTTGGAAGAATCGTTTTTTTGTGGCTAAATATATCGATTGCTATTGCAATTTATAATCAATATAATTAATTTTTCTTTTTTTTTTAGTTAAGTATCGTAAATTCACGTATTTTCACTTTTTTCTAATTTTTATATTATTTAACTTGGCCATTTCCAAGCAAAAGACGTGTATAAGCTTTTTTCTTTTTTTTTAAATTCACTATTCGATTTGAAAACAATCGAGTTTAATTACATTTGTTGTTTTTTTATCGGGATAAATTTTTCAATTTCTTCAACTTCGAATTCGAAGATTATCTACAAGTCGTCGAAACGCTTATTTAATTAATATAATAATAATTGATATATTACAGAGATCAATACCGCCTAAGAACTATAAGTTTTTCATTTAAGTTTTAACGCCTAATATAACTTTGCGTTTAGATCATTTTTTTATACAGAGAATAATTTATGTCTTATTATTTTTTTTATAAATAATTTATGCTCTAATTTAATAAAATTAGAATTTTCGTCAACAAAACAATAAATAAATAAATATAAAATTTTAATTTAAAAAAAAGATATTTTGTGTAGGTATTTCTGAAAAATGTAGAAAAAACGAGAACGTGGAAATATTTTTGCGCGTCATGTTCGCTGTACCATTATTTACGAAACTTTATCGGAAATTGATCGAACGTCAGGTTTACATAAAAATATATTGTGTACCTAAGTCTGTTCTAAAATAATGTCCATTTATATATATATACTCGGGATTTAATTTGCAAAGGCAAGAGAATGAAATTTTTTTTTTAAGTTAATAATTAAGTTTCGGAAAAGATTCCTAAATTCTATATTTTGGTCGAAGACATATTGTAAATTACACACGTTTTGTTTATTCAATTTTTAAATATATTGATAATTATAATAAAAAATGTACTTTCTGGTGTTATAAATAATAATTATACAATTAATAATAAAAAAGAAGAAGTTTTATTATCACTTATTATTATTAATTATATAATTATTAATAATCAATTTCAGTTGAGAAACAATTTTCATTGCAAAACTGAAAAATTTTATTTGAATCTTGAATAAAATTTACCTAATGGACTCTGCTTTAGTTTTTAATACTGTATTTAAAATGAAATCGTATACGAGTCAAGAGATTCAAGAGAAGTCTTTGTTAATTAATAATAAAAAAATTGGGATCGTATCACCGGTAAGACGTATCAATAAAAAAAATATTATTTTTATAACTGTCTTCTGCAAGATCACATATTTCTAATAATATAATAACGCCCTAGAGTCTTAAAATTAAATATATATTTATAATAATAATAAAATTGTTGTTGTACTAAAATGGCATTAAAAATAGAAAAATAAACATAATTTTTTGTAATATCAAATACTGGGTAACTTTTCCTTATAAAACAAATTGACTCCAAATTAATTAAATTTTTTAAATAAATAAAATTTTTTCTTAAATGTAATTCAGTCGAAAAAAAATTAAATTCTTTTTTACTTATTTTACTGACGATTTTAAAAATCATAAATATCTAATTTAAAGTTACCCAGCGATAAATGTATCGATAGGAAGCTTATGCAAAATAAAAAAATCTTTAATGCAGGTACAGCCTTCTTCGAAAATGTTATTTCTTAAAACTAAAATTATTTTAAATATTAAAAATAATTGTGTGAAATTAAAAAATAATCAAGTACGTTGGAAATAAAATACTGATCTAATACCAAAATCGAGTGACACCCAAAGAAAACCGACTGGATTTTAATCATCACCTGGACGATTCAAAAAATAAAAAATAAATTCAAAAAATTTTAAATAATTAAAAATAATTATCGGCTCTGGGTGACGATTTTTCTACAAACTAATTACTAAAGCCATGGATTTAACGTATTTTCATCTCTTTGTAAGTCGTCAAATTATATTATTATTTTTTATTGTAAATATTATACTGATAATTGTCATATCAATGCAGGTACCCCGATATTATGCACATTAATAAACGATCTTTCAAAATGTAGAAGAGATCCCAAAATATGGCGAAGTAAATAAAAAATATATCTGAATAACCAAATTACTACCAATTGCCGCACAGAAAAAACGTCGCAACTCCAAAAATGAAAATTTTCTCACAAAATAATTTTAATTACTTGCATCTCGAAGTCAAATCTAATTTGAGTTGAAAATACAATTAAAACTCGAGTTAAAATCAATTAAAAGTAATTAATTATTTTTGAAATAATTAATAATATAATAATACTTGAATCGTAAAATACAAATAAACAAAAAAAATTAACAATTTTCTAAATTTTTATTCGCAATGAAAACAAAAAATTAAAATTTCACAAAATAAAATATAAAGCCTACAAATAAAAAAAATAAATTTTTAAAAATATTTTAACTGGCTTTGAATAAAGAAAAAGAGTTATGACGTTTTTTAATTAAGGCACGTATACGTAATTGTACCGAAATGATAAAAAAAATAAATCAAAACCTAATCTAGAAATAATATTGCAGTTCAAATCTAGTCAGCACACGTTTATATCATTTTTTTTCAATTTTTCACTGAGTGTGATTAAATGTCTTGGTTCCTAGCTGTTTCCGTATGTTATGTACAAATTCTAACATATTATATTATATACACGCGAGTGTGTTTTTCTTTCTAACGGGGAGAAATCAATTTTAGCACGAGCATATAAACTCAAGAACATTGCTCAAAGGTTATATAAAAAAAATTATTTAAAAAAAGTCTGTAAAAAGTAATTTAAAAAAAAGTTAAAAAAAAATAGAAAAAATTAAAAAGTTATATAAAAAGTCTCTAAAAAAGGAATTATAAATTATTTAAAAAATGGGAGGAAATAAAAAATAATTTGGAAGAAGATCCAAATTCCCTTTTCGTCCATTTTTATAATGACATTAGAAATAAGTCTTTAAATATATGAAAAAAAATACTTAAAATGTTTTTTAGGAGGCTCGGACCTTTTTGGAGTAAAAATATATTTTATAAAGACTTATTTCTAATAGTACATTTATATGTCTATTCATGAAAAATTTGAGCAATGAACTTTTTTTTCTAACTTTAAAAGCCTCTTTAAATTGTTCAGCGTGACAGCCTCTCGATATGATTTTTCATTATTTTTTTTCCATATTTTTCGTTATTCTTAAATAGAAAAGTGAATTGCGACAGTAGAGTGCGCTCATCGCAAAAATAGGTACATATAATTACATAAATACAGCTCCATAAATCTTGCTATACACATATATAGATAATTACGTACATTAAATTACATCATTTTTTTATAGCCCAGAAAAATTGAAAACCTGACTTTTTTTTATCTATTTTTTAATTTTTTTTTCTTGTAAGCGGGACTGAAAACTTTTTTTTCACATAGAATAAATTCGCGGACACGTATTGCGCGTGTCTGTCTATCGAATTTTATTTATCCGTCATGACTAGATCCTGGATTTCGCTCTCGAGAACTTATTGCAAACTATAAAGTTTCAAATCAAATTAATTATCTGCAAATAAGTTTCAATTCCTCTTTTCAAAAATTATTTATCTCTTTCTGCCCCGAAAATTGGTTTTCGAAATTCAAATTTAGTAAATTAAAGTAAAAATAAATAAATAAAAATTTAGTATTAATTGAAGATAATTAATATTATTGGTTATTAAAAATAATTAATTTGAAATGAAACAGCGAAATCCGTAAAAAAAAACACTATGGATAAAATCGTGTCCGGATTCTCAAATACCATTTAATATTTCTTTGCACAACATTCATTTGACGGATAAAGAATCTAATTAATAGATTTGATTTATCATTTAGTCAAAAATCATAAATTTCCGATTATACAATTGCCATCGAGTAAAATCGAACATCACATTGGAGAATTTATTTTTAAATTAAATTTTCCTCAATATTTATCATGAGACATAAAAAGGAGAAATTCCTTTAGACAATAATTATAATAATCGAACTGATTTCTCAAAAAATTCGCAACTACTCCCAAGAAGGCTATTAAGAATTTTTATTGAGAGAGATTTTTCACCGGACCGAAAATACTTTAAAATTGTTTTTAATTTTTCTTTTCAATTATTCAAAAAATTTCATCAAACTTTTTAGTTTAAAAAAAAAGTTTTTCCTTCATTTTTTTTTATTGGAAATTCATCTTTAAAAGTCCTCGGTATAATATTTTTAGCTATCTTTGGATTTTGGTTTTTATATTGAAAATAGAATGTAGTGTTTATGAGTTTCCTCGATTTGTTCGTAATAGATTGAAATCACGCGAATCAAAGACTATTCGATACAGTACCTTTATCGATCCTCACATTGTGAATTGAGACAAGAGGATTCGTGGTGGCGGAGTTGTGGTGGTGGTTGTCGTCGTCGTAGTCATCGTCGTAGTCGTATTTGACGAGGAAATAGTTGTCAACTCGCTCGAGGTAATTTCGGGTCAGGTATTGATGCACCAGCCCAATATAACTTTCTTGAATGGAACGAAAACAGCTCGATATGGCTCACTGTAAAAAGAAAAAACAAAAATAACTTTTACCAATTTCAAAAATAATTGAAAAAGTAATTACAATTTTTTTTTAATTTTCTACAATTTCAGAAATATTTTTGAAATAAAATTTTTTCAAAAAAGAAATTTTTTTTAAAAATACAACAAGTCTTGAGTTTTAAGAGTTGTCGATTTCTTTGAGGGTTTTTAGAGAAATATTTACGTCATCATTGAAAAGAAGATCAAAAAAATGGGTGAAAGTAATTAGTCTTCTCCGTGACTTGGTGAACTTTTATGAAAGCCAGGGGATTATAATTAATTCACGAAACATTGATCGAGACAGTAGTGAATAAGATGGAATGTACAAAGTAAAAAAAAAAATTCATCTCGTCTTTTTTTTTGTTTAGTTTCCTCAAAATAGTTCCTATTGTTTTGCTGCCTCAGGGGTCAAGGTTACATCGACCATTTTCAAATATTGGACGTGAGTTTTCACTCCCAAGGCCTTCAAAATTTACTCGAAATTCTGTACCGGATAAAATTAATCCTTGTGTGATCGCAGTCTTGAATAATCTACTTATAAGAATCGTTAAATTGATGTATGAATCACATTATCCTCGACCTTACGATACGACTCTTTCTTGGAAACACAATAACAGAATAATCTTTATTTTTTTGCGCTATTTTACAGAAAGTAAACCAGAAAAAATGTAAATTTAAAGAAGCAATAATATAGAGAAGAAAATAATGTAAATAACTAAATCTTAAAAACAGTAAATTTACAATTGTAAAAAAAAATTATAAAAAAAAAACGATTGTACAATTCTATAATTATAGAAAAATAATATTCAAAGAATAAATTTACAATTTTAGAAATAAAAGATAAAATATATAAAGCCACTGTAAGCTTAGAAGTAAATTAGGGTAATGAAAAAGAAGCAATATCTAAATTTGAAAACATTAATGAAAACGAGTGTAAAAACTTTGCCTTCTTCTTTTGTTATTAATGAAAAAAAATTTCACTGGAATTACCGTAATTGTTATCACGTAAATGTATGCATATCTACTTGCGCAAAGCAGCTCCGTGCGCAATTTTATCCGAAACACTTCGAATTCCGTTGTATTTAAAGCTTAAAACAAGTTTATCACGTGGATAATAGCTTCTGTCACGCAACACGTAAGTATCACCTATTTATTCTTAAAAAGATGGTGAACTACCCAAATGAAATATGTTGAGCTATTTTGAAGGCAAAATATACCTCTTCTCAAGCGATTTTCATGATAATTGAAATAAAAAAAAAAATAATAAATAAAGCCGCTCCAAAATAAAATTTAATTTTCAAACATGAAACGAAATTCAGATAAAAGTCAAAATTAAAAAAGTTTTAATTAAGTTATAATTATTAAATTTAAATATTAAATTAAAGAAATTAATTAAAAAACATAATAATTGTATAAGAAAATGATTAGAAAAAAAACTTACCAAATGAAGAATCTTCTTCCATGGAAGGTGCCATCTGATGATCCGTTTTCATTTGGAAGTTCAACACCAACATGAATGTCCTCTCGTCCAGGAACAGGTCCCACATATCGAACTCTACCTTGTAAAACTTTTCCCTCAGGAGATATTACTTTTACAAGATGATCCAGCTTGAGATCTCGAGGTATCTAAAAAGAAAAAAAAAAAGAAAATCCAATTTTCAATATCAATTTTTTATTTAGAAAATTCCGTTTAATAATTAATTGGAAAATATTTCAAATATTCTAATGTCAAATATATGAAATTAAAATATTTCCATGAGAATATTCGAAAAATTTTCCAATATAAATAAATATTCAAGTATTTTTTAAATATATAAAATTATTCCAATTATTTTCATATACATTCCAATTACAAATTTATTATTAGTATTTTCATTAAGAATTTAATATGATTATTATTAATAATAATAAAAAAAAAGTTTCTTTTAGAATATTTGAAATTAATTAGGAATTAAATATTTGAAAAAAAAGAAATATTTTGACCACCTTTGGCAGATAAGGTCGGGCATCCTGTGGAGGATTCCATTCACGAAAGAGATCGGGCTCCGAGTGTCGTCGAGCTCTTCTTCGTCTCGCTGGCTGTTTATTCCAATACTCCGCAGTGGATATAGTTAGCATTGAATCGATACTTCTTCTCAAGTAATCTTCTGCCTCGTCAATTAAAGACTCGGTTGAATCGCCACTCATATCCAAATCAGTTCGCAAATTTGGCAAACTTCCTCTCGTCATTGGACAATCTATAAAAAAATTATACAAAACAAAAAATAAAGAAATAAACAATTTTGTTTGAAAAAATAAAATTCTTAAAAAAATATTTAAAATCCACCTTGAAACGTGACTTTGGATCGTGTCCTTTTGGGAATTGTTTTTGAAATTCTAGCAATGGGCGGTGGTGGATGTACATGTGTGGGTGAAGACGGCATTGATGACCAAGTGGGACGTGGTGTTGATGTTGCAACTGGAATTCGCCACGTATCAAAAGAAGCGGCTGTTGCACGCCACGAATGTCTTCGCGATGGTCCACCAACAACTTCCAATCCTGGCGATGGAATTGACGTCAATGAGCCACGATAACGACTTGGATATAAATCCGTCGATATACGACAATCACAGGGACTCGGAAGTCCTGTTCCTGGATTGCAACGCGGCCAATATCCTGCTGGTGATCCCAGAGATTCACGACGTATCACTTCCGGTGTACGAAGACCGCAGCCCCGTGCATTATAACACGACTGTAACATATTAATTAAAATATTTCAATTTCCCATTAATACAAAAACTGTCCTATAAATAAAATAATTCCTATTTTATTATATAAAATTAAAACATTTTCAATTAAATCTAATACGCAAAACAGTTTGAATATATTATTGTATTTTCAGACAACAACTGTATCAGTTTCAATAATAATTATTATATAACATCTGGAAATTGCGGTTGGGGAGTTATTTTCGTCTCAATAAATAATGATTAACATCTTTCGAGATTTAACATCGAAAGCTATTATTTTCGCAAAGAAATAAAACAAAAAAGAATATATGTATATAAAACATTGTTGATAGGTGGTTATTGTTCCGTGTGGACTCATCAAGTTACGGTTGAGTAGCATTAATCAAACTAGCTAAATGGGTTAGTGAAATGTAGTTCTAGTTCTATCGCCATAAATGTACATTGTGTATTGAATTATATAAGACTCATTATAAAAAAATAATTCTAAAAAATAAAAATTAAATTAAAAAAATAATAAATATAAAAAATAAATGAAATTTTCTTCTTTTTTTTTAATTTTTCCCCATTTATAAATTTTAGATGGAGTGTAAGTGAATTAAATTTTGAATTTCATTAGTGTTCGATGCGTTTGACCTTCGCTGTACTCCATTACGCGTTTCCGCGCACTTACTGTACCAATGTTAGTATCCACCTAGTAGAGATTGAATAAAAAGCCGGTTTGCTATTACGGTAACTGTTGTACGTTACGCTGGCACTGTCGTGATGCTTTTGCTTATAATCGTAGATGTGCGGAAAAGGGGAAGAGAGTTTGTAGGCGGTCGAGCGTTACTGCAATATCGCCCGCACAGCTTTTATATATTTCCTTTGTTATTTCATATTTAATTTCAGAAAACAAAATTATATTTCCGGATATTTTTATTTAAAAATTCTTTTAATTAAGAAAAAATTTATTTTTTATTTACTCTTTTAATAAAAATATTTTTATTCTTCTATTTTGTATTTTATTTAATAGAGATTAAATTAAAAAATTAAGCATTATTTTTATTAAATAACAATGAGATGAAAGATTAAGTAAATTGTAAATTAGTAAATACCTGAACATGAGGATCATGACAGAGATGATCGGCGCTTCTCGACAATTCCGGGACCATGCTGGTGAAGCTGATGTCCGAGAGCATCACTCTTCTTGCTTCTCGTGTCTTGTCATTAACTCTAAGTCTTCCGGGCATACCGGCCGGAAGTGCAAACTTACTCGGCAAAGTCGTAAAAGTATGAGCCACTTTGTGTGCAAGATAACTTTCCGATCTCCATTGTGCCGGAAGCGCTGAAATATCAGTTTGTGCACCCGACTCTCGTCTTGCGCCACAATTTCGATCCATCACAGGTCGTAAAGGAGCTGAACTTTTCCTGCGACCCGTCGCAAGCGCTTCTCTATGAATAATCGGTCTGAAATCATAAAAATCATATATTTATTATTCAAAAAATAAAGTTAAATCAACAGAGCAAATAATTATAAAAAGTAAAGTATCAAAAGGAAGAAGAAAATCGAGAATTTGTAAAAAAACAAATTGCAGAAGGTCTTGAAAGTAAGTTACAGAGAAATAGTTTCATACTTTGTAATACATTGAAACTTTTGATAAACTTTTAATATATAACATGTTGAAGCATTGGAAATGTAATTAGAAAAAAAGTTTTCATCAACTTCTCCTCGTGTGTTATTACTCTTCAGAAAGTTGAAAAAAAGTTCCCATAAATTAAAACTTTAACATATACGATAAAAAAAATAGTGTTTAATTGCTTTTAGAAAAAACTGATAATTTAAGGCATTAATAAAAAAATATAAATATTTAAAAAATTTAATTTAAGACAATAAATGAAAAAATAATTCTCACCGATAAGCTGTCGGTGGAGCGGCAAGTGTATTTCGTCTAACTCCATGCCTTGAAGGTAAATCAGTTTCCTCAAGAACACCACATTTACTGATATCCGTCTCAACAAGCACTGAGCATTGTGACCAAATTTTATTTAATCTTGTACTAGAACTTTCATCAAAACGATCAACACTCTCTTCACGATCGATACTTGAGCTTTGCGACGACATTGCTTCCTCAACTGAACTTGTTTTATCACCATTACAAACCAATGATTCACCTTCAGCTGATTTTGTATATTTCAATAGTACCGGTTGTCCCGAATTTTGTTGCCAAGGTTCATTTTCTGTGATCGACACTAAATCCTCCTGAAGTTCAACATCCCTGCCAGCTGTCTCGTCAGTCGTAAATATTAATTCAATATCATCCAATTCTTCTGATTCATTTTCCGATTCATTTGGTTTTGCTTCAGGTTGTTGATTCTCTGGATTATCAGTGAACACAGAATTATCGCCATCCGATGCGGATTTTAAACTAAGATCCTCTAATTCTTTATCCGGCACGTCTAAATGATCAGTGATGGAATTTTTCTGTATTTTTTCTGGATCATTGGCAATTTTCTCGCCATCCACGGAATCATTATCATCGCCACATGATTCTTTGGTGACTTTTGGAATTGTTGATTCCGGTTGTTGTGGCTCATCTGGTGTGATTTCTTGTGGTGTTGTTGTCGACTCGTTTGGTCCATCGACAACAGTTTCATCCTCGATAGTGTCCATGACGTTAGTTGATGTCCCTGGCTCTGTTGGACTGAACAATTTGTTTATACAAGATGAGTCAAACAAAAAGTAAAAAAAAAAGATGTTGGCGCAAGATTTATTAATAGCGCAAAATACGTCGCGTTTATTAATTACGTTTCGCGCGCTGTAATTGACACCAGTAGGACAATCTATAAAGTGATACAAATCGAAAATAAGAGATAATTTAATTTTCCTTTTTTTTTTATTTTTACTAAATTAATTAATTTGGCGAAAGTTTCTGATAAAAAGAATTTAAACTTGAAAGTGGAAGTAACTATAATTCATTGATGTTCAATTAGATGAAATAAGGAACAAATTTTACACAATCAAAAAGGTGAATAAAAATCGGTAAATTAGTTCAGGTCGCGTGACTCTCAGCAACGGTAAAATGCCTCTTTTCTCGGAAATCTCATATATATAAAAAAGTACTTTCTTTCAGCATGCAACACTTGGTTAGAATATTTGAAAAAGCAACAGCTTCTATTCCATTAAAGGCGCGACTCCGCTCGACATCACTTCCGGTTTTAACGCCAAACAGTGGCGTACATGTTTACAATATTTTTTAATTAGAATTCTAAGTGCACAATATTCCTTTCCTTTTATGTCCCTAATATTCATTATACATTCATCAAAAAATAGTTCCGATCGTTGAATTATTAATTTGTTAATTAAAACACTAAAATATAAAAAATAAAATTTTTTAATTCTTTTTTTACATTTCAAATCTCTGGATTTAAAAAGAAAAAATTTTTTCTCCGGATATTTTTTTGGTATTATCTATTTTTATTTCTCTTCGCGTATATATAAATAAAAGTCGCGAATGTATTCTGCGGATTATTTTGTTGTTTTTTTCGTTTCCTTTTTTGTTGTTTTTCTTTTTCCGATAAAAACCATGTTGGATAAAGTATATATTTGCGAAACTCACTGTTTGATCATTACAGCAGGGGGTGGAGAGCTGGTTGCAGCATCACTGGAAAAATCGCTCCTACTCAGTATCTTTCGTCGTAATATGTGATTTTCCAAAGCGAGTCTTTCCACCACGTTTGCGTAATTTTCAGCGGAAAATTCGCCAAAATCCTCTTTTAGTCGACGTAATTCTTCTCGAGATGAATCCAATGCTGAACGTAGAGATATCACTGTCTATAAAACACAATAAAATAATAACAAATTATTAAATAAACAAATAATCAAAACAAATTGTTAATTAAATTTAAAAAATTAACATTTGTATCGAAAATAACAAAATAAAAAATTTATGTCCATTTTTACTGCTTTTAGAGCAAAGAAAAAAAACAGCTTCTTATTTTTTGCACAATTTTTTTCAATTTAAAGTTATTTCGTTTAAATTCACGATCATTAATCGTAATTGTTTTCGGAATCAGGAAAGATGTTTATGACTTTCAAAGGCCATAAAGTGATTTAAAGTGTTAACAATAAAAAAAAGAGTGTATACTTCATTTCATATAAAAATTCGAGATGCTTGATAATTATTAGTTATATTGAGCTTGTTCTTTCAATAAAACGAATTGTTTCATAATATGTCTTTTTTTTAATTCTACGAAGAGGGGACAATTAACAGTTAATTTAACTGTACACTAATAGTGAAATCAAGCAATAAACATTTAATAATCAACAACGAGTATATCGTTAACTCGACGCTTTAAGCGACAGTTTTTAGTGTCAGTGTAAATTATTGTTTTATAATTTATTTCGCAGAATCTCTCTATTACTCTAATAAACTTAAGTATAATATTTAATTACGCTTTTTTTTAAACAAAAAAATTCTCACGATTATTTAAGCTACATAAATAATTAATTTGTAAATTTGATTATTAAAATTTAATTTCAAGCTTGTTTTATATATTATTTAATTTCTTGTTAATAATTTTTGACGGTAACTTTAATGTCACTTTCGCTTTAAGCTCTCACCAAAAATAGGCTTAGAATATCGAGGTCAAAAGCTTCATAATTTTAAATCTGGAAATATAAGATTTGTTCATAAGTTAGAAAAATGAGAGAAATTTTTTGTAAGAAAAATCGTAATATTATTTCAAGAATAAAAAGAGAAAATAAATAAAGAAATTCTTACTTCTTGTAAACGAAATTTTCTTTACAATTTTTAAAAATATTTCACCTAATTTGAAAATTTAAAAACAATTCTTATTTTCAATTTTGATGAAAAAACTTCGTTTTTCTTTAATTTTTGAAGACAAATTTTTTTGTTTTTCTTTGTAATACCTGGTGCAAGGCTCTCACGACTTCAAGTCCTGGGATTCCCGGGGATGACAGAGTAAGCTGCAACCCCTGGTGAGCCAGACGACCAGCTTCAGCTTCCATACCTCCCCGCCCAATGTTTCTAACGAACTTTTAATTCCACCACAGATCATGCCGAATTATATGAGTCTTGATTCCTGGTTGCTCTGTTGTTTTTTGTTTCCTGATTCACTTTTTAGTGCACTATATTAAAAAAAAAAAATAATTTTCCATACCAAAAATGAGTCACTGAATTTTAATAATTCTCAAAAATAAAAATCAAATTTCTCCGAGTTTTGATTTCTTTTAAAATACTATATAACTGGCACTTGCACGTCCTTCCACGGGAGTCAGAAATAAACATTGATTTTAGTAATTCAGTTTCTGAGTTCTACATTTATATGATGATGGAGATTTAATTGCAGCTTTGGAACTTGGAGGCGAATCTAATTCACCAAACGCTGTTTGATCAGCTGATTCGTTACTCCACAATGTTTTCGAGCCATAAGCTAAATTTCATGAAAGAGCCAAAGAAACTTTAAATCAATAATATCCTCTTTCTAATTATTTTCAGCTGGAATGGAAAAAAACGAATTACATAAAGAATAAATAAATAAATATAGTAATAATAATAATAATCAAATAAATAATAATATAATTAACATGTTGAAAATGTTTAATTTACTATTCCTAATTGCTCTTTAAATTACACTTTTAGAATTAGAATATTTAATTCCTTAAGTTAAAACCATAAATAAATTGTTTAAATTACAACAAAAATATTTCAAACTAAATTATCAAGTTTCTTTCTTCAAAAACTACTCCTTTAAAAAAAGAATTTAAAAAAATCCAGGTACTTGATTACAAAATCAAGAAATAAATTTAACGGCAATCTAAGCAGAGGAGGATTGATTTTCATATGCATGAGAGAATCCCGAATGATGCATGGACTAGTCTCAAGTTCTCGACATTTAAAAAAAAGAGATGATTAAATATTAACAAAAAGCTTAACGAAAAATCATTATATTTTCAATTAATAACACTTTTATATTTTCCGAGAAAAAACTCTTAAAAGGAAAAAAAACCAATTTAGAATTTATGTTTAAATAAAAAAAAGCACAAGAACTTTAATCTTTGGGAATAAAAAAAGGATTATAGCGTTTATTCATTTTGCGGAGGCTGTGAGAAAAACAGAAAACCATAAAAGATCACCAGGAAGTGAAACAATGGAAGTTCTTTGAAAGGAGACTTGAGATAAATTGAACCCGACATCATAATGGACAATAAGAAAGAGCGATATATGAAAAAAAAAAATATTTCTTACTAAAATACGGACTCTTTTTTTATAGTTATCAAAAACTATGGAAATTGTGACTCTTTGTTATAATAAAATGACGCCAATGTAAAAAAAAAAAATAAACGCGTGATACCTGAACCCCGGAGGACGAGCAGAGCCCCTTCGAATTGATTCACTTTTTTTTTGTTTCTCTGTATTATATTTTCACTTTATAACTCTACACTTACTTTATGAACACAATTTCCCCGATGACTGATGGTCATTGTGAAAAATTGATAATATCAAGATTTGATCAATATGGAACCGTTACTGAATGGTCCGGTTCTGAAAGACCAATTTGGACGAAAAAAAAACTTTTTTATTTCAACTTGAATGATGTAGTATAGAGTTGCGTTGCATTCGGTCGCTGCAAGGATTATTCGTTGTTGTTGAATCCCCGGGACTGTTTTCCCGTTTGCAACCACTCCTCTATCACTTTCACATTTTAATATTGCACTGATTTAACACAATAGTTACTCCGATGAATAGAGCTCATCACTATATTAATACTGAAAACCGATAATGCAAGTGATTTTCCCGAATCAGGAGCAAGGTTTTCTCGCGACTGTCAACAACGAGCTGTCACTTGCCCTTTAATGCATTTGATGCAGAATTGCAGACGACGAATAGCACACAAATGAACACTAACACCACTATGCACTAAACATTAAACAGGCTGGCCAATCTTATTTATTGACAAAATGTTAGTTTCTTCTAGAGAATTTTTTTTCATAATCTGATTTCCCTATGTAATTTAAATTTTAGCGCGAATATTTAAATTTTTAAAATGAACAATCGATATTTAATTAAAGTAAATAAATAATAAAAATACAAATAAATAAAAATTAAGGAAAATGAAAGTAATAACAAATACAGAATTACAGTATTAATTTGCCTTTATTTAGAATGTTTCGCGCTTTCTCAAAAATTGATTTTTCTTTCTTAAAATTAGAACCAAAAATTCTGGATATCAATCCATAATACAATATACATAGAAAATATCTAAAAGTACAGTTTTAATAAAATAATCGTACAAATAAGGGTATTTTTTTCTATAACAAAAAGAAATAATGAATGATACCTTTATAATACAACTGTCAAAAAAATATTCGTAGATTTGATTTATGACGTATTTCTTTTATACATTTTTTTCATTTTCCCTTTTCAATTACGATTTTATAATATAAAAGAGATGAAGTCTAATAAAGTGATTTACTAATGATACTATGATCGTTAACAAATTGTACGATATAAAACCATACTTGATTATTACATAACTTATTAACAATTCTAATTATGATTACACAACTTATAAAAGATTCAAATTATGATTACATAACTTAATCTAGTTTCAAAGGTAAACAAAATATTTTAATGTGTATGTGTGTAAGATACTTTTTGTTACGTTTTTTAATACATTATTACTATCCAGAAAATTGTCTAGTTTTTCCCTTTTTTCTTCTTCTTTTGTAGTAACATTTTTTTTTTTAGTTTCAAAGGAATGAAAAATTTCCAATTCCTACTTATTCTAATTTATGACTTCACCATTTTTAATTCATCACTGTTTTTGCTTTTTTTTTCTTTTAGAAATTAATAAAAATAAATTACTCTAGAATAGACGATGTACCTAACACTGTCAATGCTATCAAAATAATTCGTCATTATTCAAAAATTAACTTTTATAATTTTAAAAGAAAACTTTAGTTGTGAATTAGATGTTTTTTTGTCTAGCGTACTACTTCGTTGGCGTACATATTTATAATGGGTCGAAGCTCCTGTTGTGTATAATCTTCTGGTAATGGTAGCTGTGAAATTAAGTGTACTAAAACTTTTCCCGTTAATTTAATATCATTTGACTGTAACATCAATAAACTTCGGGCCAATTGAAGAGTCCTTTTAGCTATCTCTGCTTGACACAATCTGAAAAAAGAAATTTTTTTTAACAATTTAAAAAAGACTAATAAAAATAATTATATTTTTTGCATACCTATGTTTTGCGGTAGGACATGGAAATAAACTAATTTTTGCACAAAGAGAAGTTAACTGTGGCTGCAAAAGTTCTAGTTTATAACCAATTACGTTACAATCTGGTGTTTCCAAAAGCATTTTTATTTCATTTGTTACTTCAATATAGTCCCACAAAAGTTGTCCTTGATGTGCCCAACCGCTGATAACATTATTACATTCCTCTTGAATTAAGGGCGTCAAAAGCGATTTGAGATAATCATAATTTTCTGTAAAAAAATGTTTACTTTAATTTTTCAAAGGAAACAATTTTATAAAATTTGTAATGAATTAAAATTAATTTGAAATTAATAATTTAATTACCATTTATAATAGCGTCAGCTGCAAGATGATCAATTATAATTTCATGAGCTTTATTCCATTGTTCAGCTTGAGTTAAATACCAAGCAGCTTCTCCATATCTGTCAAAAATTTAAAAATCATTATTAATTTCGCAATAATTTTAAATATGATATTAATTTTTATTATTTTATGGAAAGTACATATCTATAATAAATAAAAATAAATAAATTTATTTACTTTTGTATAATTTGTTTTAATATTAAAAAAGTGATCAAAATTAAAATTAATAATTACCTACTATAAAAATATTAAATTTTCTTCAAATTACAAAATGTAATTAAAAAAGTCATTTGAAGCTCTTGAACCAAAAATTGTCGAATTGTAATTTACTTACCCATTAAAAAAGAAAAAAAAACTTAAAGATTGTGCCAGCACAAAAATACTTTCAGAAATTTATCTTCATGTACCTCTTGAATGGCTATTAAACACAAAAGTCTTTCAAAAATTTTTTTTATTGTAATTTAATTGTGCCAGCACAAAATAACAAAGAAAAAACCGAGAAATCATAATCCGCTCATTTAAAAAAATTATTGAAATTTTTAAATATTTAAATATTAAAATAAAAATTATCTTGCTTAATAAATAATGAAATGGATAAATACCGTTTCGAAGCACAAGCCTTGACTGCTTTAGCCTGATTGATCCAAATTGAAGGTATTCCAAGTTCCTCGGACAAGAAATTTTCCCTTTTCACATAATCCTCAGTCTCGTCCAACTCCACGTGTCTTGCTAATAAATCCAAAACAGCACTTTTCCTCCTTCCAGAATCTTGCAAATGTAAAACGACAAAAATTGCCCAGTGCCATAAATCATAAGTTTCCAATTGAGCAGCAAAATTAGCATGAGTGAGCGCAGTCACATAATCCGACAAATGTGTATAACCCAAACCAACAAGCATCTGTTGCATCAACCAACAAAGTCGATAATCCAATGGATCAGCCGTATGTGTCAATGGATTCAACACTTCCTCCAATGGATGATTACCAGTACAATAAAGTTTCATCAAATGAAAACATAAATCAAAAATTGATTTTCCACTATCAAGTTCCGTTTCATAATCATCCAATGAATAATCAGGGCGTGGTTCAGCCGCATAAACTTCACTTGGTTTCGTATTAAATGCATTTTCATAAAGTTCCAAAGCATCAGTAATTGACGCTGTCGGTTGTGACAAATACCACAAATGAATTGCCAATGCCCTCTTCCAATCGAGATTCTCACAAACATTTATCGTCCCCTGTTTACTGCAAATCAACGGCTCACCAGCAACCAACATAAACAATTTCAATCGATAAATCGACAAATCACCATCAACATCAGTCTCCTGCCAGAGTGCAAGTTGCTGTTTAATAAATTCCCTCACAATAGTTGAGCCACCCAATTGTGACATAAGCAACGCCAAACAATGATCGCCAACAACTTTTCTTGCCAAGAAACAAGCGTCCTCCAATTTATTCGCCGTGAGCAATTCAAACATAATATTATCCTCCGAGACAATATCATTGAGTCTAACTTTCACTGGTTTCTCCACAACCGATTGTAACCATTCGCTGAATGCCTCTTTTCTCACCATCACACTCTTGTGCGCCTCCTTGTCATCATGTTTATCAATATCGGGCAAATTTCCCCAAAGTGCAACACACAATCGCCAAACGTCACTCGCATATTTTGCCATCTTGTCAATATCCCCCTCAATTAAATTATCAACCATCGATTGATTACTTCCAAATTCTTGTGCCAATTTACAATGTGCATGTAGAGCAGAAATTCCCGATGATCCCGTAGCTGCTCCAATTGCTGGACAATCACCCTCCTGACCCATAATACAATATTCCAATTGTACCTTCAAATGTCCCTGAATACTGTCCTTGAATGTCATCAAATAACTCGGTTCCACTCCACTACCACCCAATATTTGCAATCTTTGAACAATACTCGTCGATGTCATATCATCCAAAAATCGTCCTGACAAATAAGAACCCAATTGACTCACACAATTTCTCAACGACACTTTCGACGCCTGTTCCTGTGTACTCAATGAAATCAACGTCAATCCAGGTCCCCAGCTTGGCTTAAATTTTCTCCCCATCATAATTCCATGATCAGCCAAACAACGCGAACGCAAACGATCAATTATCGAATCCTGCAGTGGTATAACTTCAGTTCTGGATTTTAAAATCACTGTTTTTGGCCTCACCACAGGCGGTGGTAGAACTTTACTAAAAATCGCTGGTTTCACAGCTGGTATCTCCTCCACTTGCTTTGATTTCACTTCCTTCTCCTCTTGCATCATTGTCTCCATTCCAAACGATCCTTGAAGTGTCAAATTCGAACGAAGTACAGGAATTTGTTCCATCACTGTTGCATGATAATCAACACTCAATTTTTCCCTCGCTGGTAATTCACGATCCATTGTCTCGTCAAATGCATAATCATCACTGTTCGATTCAAATAAATCGGCTTTCATCATTTGTAATTTATGACTATCGGTACCAATAATACGAGCGTACATTGACGTTGGACTCAATGCCGATTGTTGTGGCTTTTCAAACCAACAATCTTTCGCACATGCATAAAAATTTGGGAAATAATCACCACGCAAACCTTCATTTCTTGAATCAATTGATTCATTCACCGATTGATCTTTCTTTGCCACTTGATCCTCTTTCAATTCCTGTGATTTTCTTCTCGGTTTCATTTTCAATTTTTTCACATCCGAACTCTGTACCTCACTTTCCTCATCATCATCATCTGAATCACTTAAACCATATTTGGAAAAATGATCAACTTTAAAAACCCATGATCCAGTTTCAGGCCGATATTCAAGAAATCTCGTATCGTGTTTAGCTGACACACGTCTCAATTTACCCTCGTAATTCATTTCCTGAAGACGATGTGGATCGACAATTGGCTCGTGGCGAGTTTTATCATGAGGCCAAACACGATCCAATGTCACTTGAGCCTTACGATTTAAACCCTGACCAATTGGTGGTTTTTTCTCATCGTCTGGATAAATAATCACCTCCTTGTGACGAAAATGAACAATTTCATCTAAATTCAATCCATAAACATCAAAAGATTCAGGAAAATAAACATTACCGTAGCCTTTACGTCCAACTGTGAAATTTGGCACCAAACACGATTCACCGCACACATAATCGTCTAATTCATCCAAAGGTGGTATTGTATAGTAACCAACACGTTGTAATTTCACTTGACACAATCGAGTTACATTTTCCAATTGTGAAGACGAAATTGGTGTCTCATCTAATTCACGCTCCGATTCTGAATCACGTTCACCTGATTCATTGACACTTTTATCTTGAGTAAGCGATACATTATTCGCGGGGGAATTTTGTGCAAATAACGAGACAAATTTTTGTGAAGATCTCAATTCCTGAACTGTATTATCCATGGATTCTTCAGGTAAATCCGAACCTCTGAACGGTGACTGTGGAACATCCAAATCATCCTCGTCTTGTGTCTTTTTTCTCGGAATTGTCGATTTTAACCAAGATGTCGATGATCGTCGATCCGATGATAAACGACGTAATTCCTTATTATTAAACAATTCAACTTGTTGAGGACTCGTTTCACCATTTCTAGGACTGACATTTTCAACATTTGTATTATTAACAACTGTATTGTTTTCCTCCGATGGTGTCGAAATTGTCGATTTTTGTCGCAAAACAAGACGTTTTGCATTGGGTCGTGGTTGAAATGCCTCCAATAGCGATGGATCCTCTTCCTCGAGTCCCTCAAACAATGATTTTTTCGATAAATGTCCAGCTGTCACAACTTTTGCCTTAATTTTCGGTGAATTATTTGTTGTCGTCACTTTATATTGTGGACTATTTAGTGTACGATTCAATGGATTTGGTGGTTTAATAAGTTCCTCGGTTTTACCCGAGGCGGGCAATAAATTCTTCAAAAGTGGCGAATCACCAAATGGCGCTGAGACTAATGCCAAAATTTGCTGATGTACCGGAACTGTACCATTAGTTTGGGGATTTTGATTTGTACCCAAACCACTGCCCAATACGGAACCAAATTGTGTTATTGCACTTGAACCACTTCCAAAATTTGTTGATGTACCAAAAGCACCGGCACTATTGAAACCTGTTCCCGTTCCTGTTGTTCCAAACAAACCGCCAGGTTTCTGTTGATTAAACAACGAAGTTCCACCGCCCAAATTCAAGGTGTTATTTGTCCCAAGTGCATTAGTCGTTCCCGCATTACCAAAACTAAATCCTGTTGTTTGACCCGCCGGTTTAAAGGAATTATTAAACAAAGTTGTATTTGTATTCTGATTAGCGCCAAAACCAAGTGTTTGACCAAAAGCAGGCGCTGTTGTCGCGCCAAAAGCAGGTGTTGCACCAAAACCAGTTGTTCCAGCGGGTTTTGCGCTAAATAAATTTGTCCCGGTGTTTGTTGTTGTTGCCTGACCAAAACCACCAAAACCAGTGCTTGCCGTTGACGCTGGCATTGCAAAAGCGGATTTATTTTGATTAAACAGTCCGATACTTTGATTTGGTTGTGCGGCGCCAAACGTTCCAAAACCGCTTGTTTGTGTTGTACCAAAACCCGTCGCCGTTGGAGCTGTTGTTGCCGTAGAGAATAATGTTGCTGGCGGTGTTGCACCAAATGGTTTCGCCTGAGTGTTCGTACCAAACAAATTTGTCGACGGTGTTGCATTGAAAGCAAAAGCACTTGTTGTCGTTGCTGGTGCACCAAAACCAGTAATTGGCTTATTAAAAAGATTAGTTCCTCCCGATTGACTCGTTGCACCAAATCCACCGCCAATTCCACCGAATGTTGATGATGACGTGCTTGCCACTGGATTTGTATTTCCAAATGGCGATGGTTGTGCCGCTGCACCGAAAAGTCCTGTTGTTTGAGCTATTAAATAATTAATTAATTGATAACTTTTTCTTTTTTATTAATGAATAATAAATTAAAAAATTACCTTGCGCTCCACCTTTTCTGCCAACAGTATAATCCTCAAATCTCAACTCCTCCAATGATTTAGTCTCATACTCCTTCATACAAGTGATACAATGATGTTTCGTCTGAATTGTCTGAGGAACTCCATTTTTCATCATTGAATCAGTTCCTGTGAATGGTGTAAATTTAATATATGTTCCAACCATATTATTCGCTGTATTTGTTGCACCAAATCCACTGGCATTTCCAAAAAGACCCGCATTTGCTGTGGTGTTTGTCTGACCAAATGGTGTAGTTTGAGGTGTTTGACCAAAAAGATTTGTCGACGCTGTTGCACCAAATCCAAAACCAGCTGGTTTATTTGCCTGACCAAAGGGTGTTGTTTGCTGTGGTGTTTGTTGTGGTTGACCAAAAAGAGTTGAATTGCCAGTTGCTCCAAATCCAAAACCAGCTGGTTTATTAGCTTGACCAAAGGCGAGAGTCGATGTGGTTCCAAATAAATTTGTACTCACTGCAGTTTGATTTCCAAATAAATTTGCATTTGTATTTGTATTGCCAAATGCACCGAATGATGGTTGAGTTGTTGCCGGTTGGCCAAAAGCAGAAACACCACCTCCTGTTGTGTTACCGAATAAATTTGTCGGTTGTGTTACAGCGGGTTTTGTATTAAAAACCGAAGTGTTTGCACCAAACACCGGTGCTGCACTGGTGCCAAAGCCTGTTTGGCCAAACATGATTCAAACTATTTTCTGAAAGTGAATAATAAATTTAGATATAAATATATAAATATCCACTGTAACTTAAAACGATCTAAAAAATATTTTTCGTTTTAGTTACATATTTATAGAAAATAAACTTGTAAATTACACAATTTAGGGTCCCAATTAACAAAATAATTCATTTTACCACAATATAATGAGTTATTTCTTCAATAGCATGTCATTAAATAATGTTGTGATGAAATTTTGAAAATTCTCGACACTTGCACATAACCTCAAAAACATTCGGTTTACTATAATGACATTTCTAATGATTAAAAACACATCTGAATATGAAAAATAATAAATAGCGATAATTAATACTTATATCTATCTAATGTGATGTATAGAATTGATCGAAATTTTGTTAAAATTAAAAAAAAGGATTCTTTTTACGCGAGTGTGGAGCTTGAGAAGGGAAAATTTGAGAAAGCAAATATTCAGTTTTTACTTACAAATTTTATAATTTTCCAAGATATTAAAAGAGGCCTTTGGCCACGTGGCTTCTGAAGAATGTTATTATGCTTTTAATTATTTTTAATTACTGAGTAAAATCGAAAAATTTTCATCAAATAATTTCCTTATCACTTCTCCCTTTCACGCACTTGCGCGCTTAAATGGCATTACAACGCTCTCTACAGATGACGCTGCAACCTGGCGCGAAAATTCATAATTTAAAAATTTTTAATTTTTAAAAATTAAGTTATGAATATATTAAATTATCAATAACAAAGGAAAAATTAAACAATTTATGATTGTAGTAACAATAAAAAATTACAAAAGCGAATAAATAAAACAATCAAATGATAAAAAATTATTTATTCAATTAAATAATACTTATTATTAACATTTTTATTAAGTACTAATATTTTAACGTTATCAAAGTTCTTAATGTTACTTATCTTTTATAACATTACTAATTAAAATTCAATAATTATCATTAATGGCTCATGAAGATGTAAAAAAAAATATAGCATCAATAAAATACTATTACAAATTATCATGTCTAATTAATTAAATTATTAATTAAGTTAACAAATTTTAATTACTCAATAATATTTATCATCCGAGATGAAATACTGAAAAAAATTTAATCACTCGGCTAGAAAATCGAAAATACCAAAAAAACCTCGTTCAAAATTGATCAAAATATAAAAAATTTAAATTATCAATAAAAAAATTGTAAGAATCTAAATTATTATGCAGCGTAAAAAAAGAGATTAAAATTATTAATTACGTTTAAAAAACTTGCATAAAGACGTGCCTACGTTAGAAATAAAATTACTGATTTTTGTAAATGATAAAATACGTCTTTGTCGTCGTCGTTGTTGTTGTTGTTGTTGACGTGATAATATCACCTCACTACCTGAATAAACATTAAATTTCTTCGCATAAAATTGTGTATCCAAATTTTCATCACTGTTACTAAAATTCCGTGAATTCTCATCAATCATCAACGAATCTTCATCCATATGACTGTTGAAAGCCTCATTCGAATAGCCAGTTGACGATGGATTTTCTTCAACAGTAGAAAGAGAATTTGTCCCCGCAATCTCTGGAATTGTTTCCCCATAATTTGTTTGTCGTAATTTTAAACCCTCCATCCAAATTTTTATTTTCTCATTCATTGTCATATCATCGGATTTTATTGTTGTCTTGAGCTTTTTACAGGAGAAGAGACAATTTAACATACCCTCCGATGATGCATCAGTTTCTGCATCACGATTAACGTAAATAATTTTCGCCTTACTGGATTGTGTTTCCTCACGTTCCATTCCTCGTTTTCGTTTATAACGTCGTGTGAGAATATTTTCTGATGGAAATTGATTTTTATCACGTAATGGTATTCTTGAACTACTGTCCTTACGCAATGTTTGTCGACAATCGAGATATTTTTTCACCGATTCCTGAAGTGATATTATCCAAGCTTCACTGTCACCATTTTCTGAATATAAAAATAATGTCTCTTGCATGCAAACAACGCGAAAAAGTCCATTACTTAAGACACGTTCGACTTTACATTTATTTAGTGGCAATAGACAACAAATTGTTAATGAACCTTCAGGATCGCCTTTACAATACAATAAAGTATCGCTGAGTAGGACAAAATGTCGTTTAAATGACGAATTTCCTTTTCTCGAAACTTTCATCAATGGGCCCTGTCTTATTAATTTTCTTCCTGGTTTCACTAAATTCATCGAGCCAACAATATGTTTCTGTAATTCCAATAATTTTTGCGTATCCTCGTATTCTTCGACAAGTGAATTAATATGAGACGCGACATTTTCAATTTGTGCCAATGAAGATTGTAACATATTGTAATTTTTCTCTTTTGGTGCAGTGTGTCGTAAAACTTCTTTTAAAAGAAGCTTATAACGAGGAACACGTTGAATTGGTGTTATTAATAGTGATGATAATTTATTACCAACCTCGGGCCTTGTTTCTTGACTGGCAATAAATTCAGTAGTCTTGACGTCATTTTGTTGAATTTCCTGAAGTAATTCTAATGCACGTTTATAATTGTAAGCATACACGGAATATAATTTAAAGAATGGTGCCAATTTACAAAATGCCGATGCAACATTTTCTGGATCTTGTTTCAATTCTTTCAACAATTCAGCATTCACGTTGTATAATGTTTCAATATTTTCAAAAAGTGTTGTGTACGATGAATAACACAATAATTGTCGTTGATAAATTGGATGCATAAAGTATTCCATTATTATTTCCAAATTTCGTAAATATGTTACCTCTGATGAGAGAATCTCCTGAATTGCCTGTGATCGTAGACTTTCTCGTTTTCGATTGACAGTTTGATTTTGCATTTCGTCGAGGGCACTGAGAACCTTCATTCGTGTTCGTGTTGTTAAAATATTACGTTTGCTGATAACATCCCTGAGTTCAGCACTTAAACTTGAATTTGGTGTTCTTGGTGAAAACATTTTTTTTTCTTTTATCGTACGAAACCTGAAAAAGTTTTCATAATATTGTTAAAATGTCAAAAACGCCAAAGAGAAAAAATGGAAAATTATGAATGAAATTTTACGAAATGATAAATAATTCTAAATTCGAATATAATTCAAAGTGTATATAACTCTTTCATTAATAAATTAAATTATCGGAAATTGTATAATAATGGAAAAATGATAAAATTATAAACAAATGTAACATAACCTCAAATATTCGTTTACTAATTAAATGCAAAAATTACTTACCGTAATATGAATATTTCAATTAATTTACAACCCAGAACTGTATATGATTTATAATATTTCACTTTTACACATTTTTAAAAGGATTTAAAACCTTTTTATTGGTTTTTTTAATCAACTGTCAAAATTTGTCAACTTGTTGTGACTTGCTGTCGGCATTTCGTCTTTTATCAACTGTTACCAGTCCTTACTGCTATTTACGAACTTTACACCAATTACGTTGCGCACATGTCAAATTTAACCTAGAAATTTAAAAAATGTATGAAATGTATACATGATTTTGTTTATATTAAAAAAAGAAAACTTAAAACATAATTAATAATGATGCAATTGTTTAGAAGACTTAGACCATTGAAAATTGTGATTCCAGTTAGATTTAAAGGACACAGTAAAGATCACTGGGTAAATTTGTTTATAATTTCTATTAAAAAATTATTATCCCTTTTATTACACATTACACTTACAACTTTTTGAATTAATAATTATATTTTCAGTCGAGAAGAGACAATAAATTAGGAACACTTAAAGCTATAAAACATTTTGACGATTTCTATAAAACTGTATACGGAAAATCGTGGGATGACATCAGGAAGGCTCTTTTAGAGGAAAGAAGTAAATATATCGCAGTGATTAATAATTTTAGTGACAACGAGAGAACATGCACGGAATTGGAGGTAAAAAAAACGACAATTAATTTTAATTCCTTTAATTAATGTATTTTATATTTTAATTTAAAAAGAAAATCCCATAGGCCATAGGCGCAATTGATATGAGGGCAATATATAATGTACAAAAGGAAATTCTATCCGAAACGGAAACGCGAAAGTCAAAAAAAAGAACAGAAGAATTGAATAAAAAGAAAATGCAACGAGAAATGGATTCTTTTATTTCTCAACAACAATTATCGGAATTGGAATCAATTTATCCAGGTGAAACACCAGAGGGTCAACATTCTTTGAGTGACTTGATGGAGGATGAAAAATTTCATATTAAAGAGGAAGAAGGACTGAAACCCATTTCATTAAAGTCTATCAGTGCAGATGCTGAAATTGAATACGATACAAGTCGTATTATATCAGCGTCAAGTGGTTTATCCGTTTCATCATTACAGGAATTTGTTCCTGCTACAAAATTGAAAGGATTGGACGATTGGGTTTTGGAATCTGATCATTACAATTATTATACAAAAGGCGCAGATTTCACTATAAAAGTCGAGGACGATGATTCCTTCTCAATTCCAAAGCATTTGAAATTATATACTTTTGAACCTGATAACTATAATCGATTTAGAACGTCAAAACGAGGGACAACCGGTGTATTAGGTACGTTTTGCTTTGTAAAAAAAATTCTTTAATTTCAATAATTTTTTGAAGAAAGGAAATTTCTTTTTTTTCTAGATTACTATTTAATGGACGGAGGATCTATATTACCAGTTCTCGCTCTGGACCTTCAGTTGGGTGACAATTTTCTCGATATGTGTGCAGCTCCAGGTGGAAAATCACTTGCGGCTATTCAAACTCTTTTACCTGCGACAATTGTCTCAAATGACAAAATTGAATCACGGGTAAAAAAAATTAAGCAAGTAATGGGAACTTATATTTCGAATATTAGTCAATGGGATAAAAAGATATTAATTACCACAAGAGACGCGAGAGTAATTGATGACTATGAAGTATTTAACAAAGTAAGTTTATTTCAAGTCGATACATTCACGCAAGATTCACATTCAAACCGAAAAAATTGTTTTTCATTAATATAATTAAATATTAATACAGATATTGGTCGATGTTCCATGTACAAATGACAGACATTCTTTGCACGTTGACGAAGGTAATTGGTTCAGGCCTGAATACATCAAAGAAAGATTGAGACTACCAGAATTACAAAGTGAAATTTTAGTGTTAGTATAGAAAAATAATTTATTTTTTTTTAAACAATTCGGTTTTGTTCATTCATCGATTTTTCGCTTAATCGATTTTTGATTCTTAATTGATATATTTTTGGCTTTATTCATATTTTATTTATAACGAGTCATGGCTTTTAATTTTTTTTTCTTGTGTAAAAGTTTTTTTTAAAATTGTTTTCTTTTATTAAATCGTTTATTTATAGGAACGCTTTAAAGCTAATAGCACCAGGAGGTACAGTGGTTTATGCAACGTGTTCATTGAGTCCAATACAAAATGAAGGAGTCGTCCAAATGTCATTGAAAAAAGCATTCGAGGAGGCGAATGTACTCGCAGTTGTAAAGTAAGTTTATAAAATATATATTACAACGTCGTAAATGCAATTTGTTTAATTTTTTTCTTTTTTGTAAAAAGAGTCATCACAGAAAAAACATAATTTATTTTCTAGAGATCTATCCGAAGGACTGAAGCCATTTAAGTATCTTTATAATTTCGGCAAGGGGAAATTGAAGTACGGTCACATTGTAATTCCAACAATGGGAAACAATTGGGGACCAATGTATTTTTGTAAAATGACACGTATTCAATGAATCACGATCATCTTATTCAATTTGGCTACAGTTAATCCTGTGTGGATTTATTTTTTAAATTTCATTTAAATTTATTTTAAAATTAATTTTGTTCTCTTCATGATTCATGATTTTCTTTTAGATGAATTTTTTGATCCGTTGCTTCTTCGATATCAACATTCAATTCATCAACTTTGTTCCACGGTTGCTCTTCACCAGTTCCAAACATCGTGTAAACCAACATTTCGACTATGTAAAATATCACTGTGATGAAGAAAACAACACGCCATGCTTCGACTGTTTCCTGTAAATAAACGAAAGGTTTTTATACGTACTTTTTACAATTCTTCAATGTCTACTAATTATTTTAAACTCAATTATTGTTAAAGTAAAAGTATTTAAAAATATAATTGAAACAAAAATGTTAAACTTATGTCCTTAATTTTAATCTCTATTTTCAAATTTTTATTTTGAGATTTAAATTTTTGACAATTTTGAATTTGAATAAATATTTTGTAAATATAAAAAAGCAAATTTATTGACAGATAATGAGAAAAAAAATAAAAGAAAATTTAATTGAACTTACATTTCCATGAGTGAGTTTTCCAACGATCACGGAAATAGTTAATCCAGGAATTGTCGCGAAGAAATTTGTAATTGAAACTAGTGTCCCTGCATAATTGGGAGCGATGTCAATGTGATTCGCGAGAAATCCACAATACATTCCTCCTAAACATGTGCCGCCAATTGTCATCAATGCAACCGCGAGAAATCTATTTTTACCGACGTAAGAAACACCAATCAAACACAACATTGGTACTGCTGATGCTATAATCATTTTAAAAAAAATTTGTTTAATTTTATTAATTTCTCTTTACTAGTTTTTTATTCATTCAGGTATTATCAAAGAAGAAGAAAAAAATACTAACCGAACAATGTTCCTATTTTTCTGGAAACAGTTACAGAAATCCAATTCTTTTCCTGCATATTTGCGAGAACTTTGCTCAATCCCATAGTAAAAATCCACATGCAAAAGAATGGTAATGCTGATAATCCTGCATTCTGAATGAGAAAAAATCTTTAATAAGCACTCCTTTTTTTACACATAGTTAAAACTAATTTCTTTCTTTTGTTTAATTGATTAAACAAAAAATTAACAATTATTTTAATAATTACTTCGCTTAAATTGAATTCCAGAATTTGGTTCATGTAATGAGGAAGTTCAGTGAGTAGCATGTACCATCCAACATTGCTGCAGAAGTGAGCGACTAAAATTGCCAAAAACGGTGGTGATGTGATAACTTTTTTCCAAGGAACACTGGCACCCTGAAATCACTCTTGATTTTTATATGCAAAAAAAAAAACAAAATAAAATACAAAAAAAAATAAAATAAATTACAAAAAAATACAGAAAAAAGAAGAAATTGTTTTGTCATAAAGGGAGAGATATTTACGTGAGAATTTTTGCTTATGGATTTATTCAAAGACTTTTGAATATATTCTTTCTCTTCGTTAGAGATAAATAGTTTTTGCTTGTCAGGTGTGTCTTCAACCATCAACCACCAGCCAACGCACCAAATCAGACATAGAAGACCCTCGATGTAGAAAACTGATTGCCATCCAAAATTATGAGCGAGAATTCCCGTCAAAAGTAATGATATCACTGTTCCTAGAGCAGTTCCTATCAAAGAAATAGGATATTATAAGAAAGGTAAATTTTATTACATAATTACTCTATTTTTAACTTTTTAATTATTTATCAGGTATTTAAAATTATTTTTAAAAAATCATGAATTTTTTTAGACACTTCTCCTATTTACCTGCATAAATGATGGACGTCAATACACTTCTTTCATTTGGTGGAGCCCATTTAGAAACCATAACATGCATCGCGGGAAATGTGACACCCTGAAAATGTAAATCTTGATTAAAATAGGATTTATTTTTACTTGATCAAAAAGTAAAGGATTTTAAATATCTTACACCGCCTATTCCTTGTATAACTCTCATGGCAATAAAGAGGGAATAATGTATTTTGGCAGCAAGAGGTGATAGAACCGAAGCGATAACGTTCAATAAAACCGATACATTCATCACCCATTTCGCGGAAAGAAGTTCTGACATTCTTCCAGCAGGTATGAGAGATATTATATAGCCCCAAAAATAAGCAGATTTTATTAGACCCTGTAACGGTGTAGGCCATACAAAAGGTCCATCCTATTTTGGAAAAAATACAATAATTATCAAATTTTTTTTTAATTAAAGAAATAGATTATTTTAAAAATTATAATTTTAATTTAAAAAACATACTATTTTGGACGATTTTATTTCATGCAGAGTTTCGTTAATATTTGTGTGATCATTTAACAATAATCTAATCGCTGTTTCGTTAACCATTGCAACCATTGCCACACTGACATTAACTTTGAAACCATAAATTATTGCCATTCCAATGCAACCCATTATGGACATTAAATATCTCATGGGAATAATTGTTCGACCTTCTGTAAGAATAAGAAATTTATTCATTTTATTATTAAAATTTATTTTTTAAAATTATATTTTGATATTCAAATTTTTGGAAGAAAAATAATTCAAAATTTTGAAAACAAAATTCATTAATTGAAAAAATATATTGTAAATATTCTATAAAGTAATTCATTATAGTTTTTTTTATTTGAAAACAGGAAAATTATAGAGATCATAATTTTCTTTTAAATTCGAAACTGGTTTGACGAGTTTTTTGATGGGTCGTACAGCTTTAAAAGAATAAAAATTCTAATAATGCGTTCGAGTCTTTGACTTGACACTCCCTTTTTTTCTATCTATACGTGAGTTGTAAGTTTAATATTCTAAATCCTAACTATACCCCAAAGATCGTTCACACTCCAACACACAATCAATATTTCAATTTAGATCTAGGCTAAAGAAATAAATATAAAATTCACCACGTATCTTCTAAACTTCGTTATTTGTTAAAACGCAGAAATAAAATAAAAAAATTAAAAGTTTATAGAAATTATTAAAAAAAAAAAAAAAAATTAATTACAAAGTAAATTGAATTGAAGTAATTAAAATATTAAAGGATTAATTAAATAAATATGGCAAAAAAAGAATAATTATTATAACAACAATATAATAAAATTTATAATTAATTAATTTAAAATTTTATATAATATAATTTTTAAATGAGATAAATATTTCTCACGGAAAAACTAATTTTATCTTATCTTAATTTTCAGGTACATTGGTATAATCGCAGGGTAATTAAGATTTTTAATCTGTTCTAATTTTTGGCTATTAAGAAATCAAGAATGTCTACGTGTTGATTGACATGTTCATGGTTGCATTGCTTTTCATCGCAAAGTATCTTTTTGAGTAGGAAATACTACAAGAATTTTTTTTCTGACTTGTGAAATATAACTTTAATAGTCCACTGACGGAAGATTATTTTGAGAACGAGACAAAAATACGTCATAGCAACACACAGAAACGAGAACTCCATCTAAAAATAATTGATCGAACACCGATGATTAGTCAAATTTAAAAACAAAAAAAAACGTCTACAAAATTATTAAGTATCAATAATTAGGTTTGTTGATTTTACATATATATTTTTATTAGTGAAATGAAATATTTCATTTAATGATAAAATAATTTTATAATATTATTAAAGTTATTAGTTGAATCAAAAATTCATTCTAAAGTCGTATCTCAATGAAAATGATTCTAAAATTGAAAAATCAATCAAAAATTCATTCCAACAAGTTTAATCAAAATCTTTTAAATCATATCAAATTTTATTCAATTAAAGAATGAAAAATGCTAATTTAACTTTAGTAAAAAAGTAATTTAATTAGACCTTTTTATTAACGTGACATTAAAGTTCAAGGCATTCTTTCTAAATTATATAAAAAAATTATATATTAATTATTTACTAAAATTTCTTTATTATTATTAAAAATTTCTGAAATTTTTTTTAAGTGTAAAAATTTATTATAAACTATATATAAATTTTTAAAAATAGAAAATTTATAAAAAGAAATTGATAGAGAACAAATTTCATAGTTTTGTATATCTTGATAAATTTTATATACAATTCCTGATAAAAGTAGGCAATTGCGCACCATTACATCAGCGAGGAAAAGCATTGAACCCACTATGAAAAGGATCGATAAATAATGATGCCAAAACCCACATGTAGGAAACAAGTAAACTTTCCATAAATTGCGTATACAGTGATTTTCATTAAAAAAAAAATTAAATTGAAATTTTTATTTATTTTGACAAAAATATTATAGATACTTAAAAATCAGATTGTTTAATTAAATTAATTCTATTTTTAAAATAATCGATAAATTTATATATTATAATTTTATATTTTTTACGAATAAATTATATTTTTTTGAGAATGAAATAATAAATTTGTAATTTAAAAAAAATTTCAATTTTGAAAAGAAAAATAATTTCTAAATGCAATTTTGGAAATAATTAAATTAAAGAAACAGTAATAAAATAATAAAAACAAAATAATGTTAATAATAATAATAATAATTATTATTATTATTTCATCAATAAGAAAAGAAAATTATTTTATAGAGTGGAAAAATAGATTAACCAGCTTGTCCTTCACGTATCCATCCGAATTAAAAGGTGACTTCAAGGTCAGCGGTTAAAATTCAATTATTTAAAATTAATTTTTCGAATTTTCACGAAATTTGAAAAGTACTACTATTTATATCTATTATTCCTCTATTTTATTTGGAATCAAATGAAGTGCATCTCGCCGATGACACACGTGTTTTGCTTTATGACGAAATGCAAGCACGTGCTTTTGCAATCCTTTCTGATATTCAATTTCAAAGGAAGTGCAAATTTCATTTGAATAATTTTATTTTTAACTATATAAATAACTCGAAAAATATTTAATTACTTGCTTTTTCATCATTTTTCAGTGATTTAAAAAAAATAAAAGATTCGAGATTCAAAAATAAATAAATTAATATTAATTACTTACCAGCTGCCATGGTTGATGATTGTTTTATTTTGACTTAATTTTCAAAATTTTAATTTAATTTTTGGCACCAATTCTCCACCACTTGAACAATAATGTTTATTTAAAATTAATCGTAAATAGAATATGATATAATTTTACCTTGTTCTATTAAAAAAAAAAACAAAAATTATTTATTGATAAAATTTACAAAAAATGAAAAGTTAATAAAAAATAAATAAGAATATAATAATAATAATATTGTTTCTAATATTAGAAATGCTGATAATAAATTTTTTTTAAAACAATCGCAGTATCCGATAATAAAAAAATAAATAAAATCTAAAAAGAAATATTTAAATAAAGTAAAAAGTGATTTTTTTAAATTTTGAAAAAATTTATTTGGAATGAACTTTTTAAAACTAAAAATCGTCACTTGTTGGAATGTATTAAAAGAGAGTCAATATATAATCACCCGAAGTCTTCGGAGTTTGGAGAAGGAATACTGTCGTTTCAGGTTCGCTTGCGCGTTCTATTATAACTTCACCCTCCTAAAGGCTCAAACTTATCTGTTGCGTAGGTTTTCCGACCGTGCGTTTACTCAGGTATCGATTTGACATTCTATTTTATAGAAAAAAACTATAGAATTAAATTAGCCCTGCCTTGATCTGATTTTCCATTTTGAACCAATGAAGATAAAAAAAAGCTTCTCAAAAAGGTTGTAAATTTTTATTTTCATAATATTTTTTTAATTTAATTTTTTGTTTTCCTATTTTATTTCGCTTTGTTTTTTAGTATTATTTTTTAATTTTATCATTTTTTAAAAATTAATTACATATTTATTTATTTAACAAAATTTAAGAACATGATACTTTGTCACGTAGTTGACACCTTATTATTATTTTTTCTATATCTTAATTTTTATGATTTAATTAACTTCTTAATTTTATGAGATGGGTTTTTGTGTATCTATGATTAAATTATTTGTCTTGATCTTATACGTGATTTTATTTGCTTTTCTTCTTCTTTTATTAGAAAATTTAATAATTAGTCAATTTTTCTTTAAGTAAATCACATTTTTTTTTTCTTTAATGATTTAAACAATAAAATTGAACATTTTTAACAGATAAACAAAGTCGCATCAGTTTTGTCTCTATCGTAGTTGTTGAAAGTAATTGCCTTTTAAATTATGAAATTCAATCTGGCTGGATTTTCAAAATAAAAAAAAAGAAAACTACAAAATACAATGTAGTATTAGATTGTTACTATTTAAAATTTCATGTTATTATGGATTTAGAAATGGAAAAAGATATAGAAACAAATAAATCTTCTCTACCGTTCCAACAGCAGCTGCTGAATAATTAAAAATCGATTTCCTCAAACAATTTCAAACATTTTGTAGCCGACTGAAACAGAATTTCATTCGGTTTCTAAAGGAATAAAAAGTTTATTTTTTATTTTTTTTGTCGAATACTCTGTAAATTTTATTTTGAATTTATTAAAATAAACGAAATAATTAAAAATTGAGAACAAATAAATAACTTTAAAATAATATTGAAAAATAATACAACTTTTAATAATTTAAAAGTTTTATTATCCTAAAGATTAATTTTAAATTTGCAAAAATAATCATAATTAAGTGTTTTTTTTTTTGAATGATTTTTTTTGCAGAAATAATATTGAGATCATCATGGATTCAAAACAACCTTCGCACGTGATGTTGACTAGAAGGGTTGATCGTTGATGAAACTAATTTATGTACCAATTTTGCTATGAGTCCCGGATGCTACTTATAAAACTACAAATATATGATGGGGAATTTAGTCTTCCTTGCAACTTTGCTTCAGAATGATAGGATTTTCTTTATCACGATATTTGACCGTCGTCATCATTTTTTGGACAATTTTCTTCAACTTAAGTGAGTAAATTTTTAAAAATTAATAAATATTTTTTTCAAACTTAAAAAAACTTTATAAAAAAATCAATTTTTAAATTAGTTTAATATTTAGCAATTATTTTCATTAATTTATTCTATTTATTAATGTTATTGGATTTTCATTAAATTTTCAGATGCAGCAACATTAAATGAAACGAAAAATGAAATCCCAGGAAGAATTTCCCTCTTGAGGGATAAAATGCGATTTCATAATTTATCAGCTTATATAGTTACAAACATTGATGAACATCAGGTTTAAATTTTTTACATTTAATTTAAATTGTATTTTTATTTATTTCAATAAAAAAAATTGTTTTTTTCTTTTTTCAAATGATTAGTTTTATACAAAAGTATTTGGATTAAAATTTATGTAGGTTAAATTATGAAAATTTTCATTTTTAAAACAATAATTGGATCTATCACCTTTTAAAATGATATTAATTTAATATAATATGCATTTTATGAACCACGTACATAGAATGATTACATTGTTGCTGAACGAGACAAAAGGAGAGACTGGATTTCTGGTTTTTCGGGTTTTCAAGGAGACGTTGTAGTGACAATGAACAAAACAGCACTCTGGACATTGGGTTCCTTATTTTATTTAGCGAAACAAGAAATTCCTGATGATTGGCTCTTAATGGAATCATATCCTTCTTTGGTAATTAATTTAACAATATATTAAAATTACTCAAAAAAATGTTCTCATCTTAATTATAGTACACTGTAATATGAAACCCATTTAATTTAAATTATAGAAGAATTAATGCTTTGGTTAAAATCATTATGAAAAATTGAAACTATCAAAAATTTATTTATTTTCATTTAAAACAATTTAAAATTCTATTATCAACATTTTTATTTAAATTGTTTTAGAATGGTAAATATTTGCCATTAGAGGTTTGGCTGTCAAAAGAACTTGATTATGGAAGTAGAGTTGGTGCAGATCCTAATGTTCCTTACTCTCAATGGAATGATTGGGATTCAAAATTACGTAAATATTTGTAAAATTATTACAAATTAATTTTAAGTTTTATTGTATTACAAATTAATTTTTTTTCTTAATCATATACGAATAGGATGGAAGAATATTACACTTGTACCAATGGAGAAAAATTTAATTGATTTAATTTGGATAAATCAACCTGAAAATGAGAAGTATTACACAAAAAGAACTCCTATGCTAAGTGGAAAGGAGTTCGGGAACCTGCAAAAAATTCGCGAAGATATGAAACAATTAAACTCCGATCTCTACGTAATTACGGATCTTAGTGAAATTTCTTGGATATTAAATTTGAAATATGCGAATATTCATAATTTGCAGGCTTTTAAATCACATATGCTGCTTGGACAAAATTTCGCTAATCTTTATATATCACCATATACATATATAGGAAGTGACCGTAAGCTAAAGCATGTTGTGTGAGTTTTTAAAAACATATTTCTTACATTTTATACATAAAGCAGATTTATTTTGTATAAAATATTTTTTCCCTAGAAAATTGCATTATGATCAATTCTGGGAAGATTTAAAATCGTATTCAGAATTGGCAAATGGAATATTACTTCCGAAATCTTATAACAATGTCTTGGGAATCAGTTACAAAATATTTCAAATGGTATTTAAATTAATTAACAAAATGAAATTTGTTTAAAAAATGTTTTGACGTGGTTGGATTTATTTTTAAAAATAAATTAATAATATTACTTTAATTAAATTAAAATGATTTAATAACATTACTTTAGGTACCGAGAGAAAAAATTAGAAGCAAAGTTTCTCCAATTCTTTTACGGAAGGACAAAAGGAATTCCAACGAAATTGATCATATAAGACAACTACATGTACAAAGTGCATTTGAAATGATTAAATGGATGATAAAAATGGAAAATGAGGTATTTAAATTATTAAATTACAACTCATTGTAAAATTCAATTTTTAATAACAAAAAAAAATTGTAGATAAAAAAAGGCAATTCGATTACGGAAATAGATGCAATAAAATCTCTAAGCGAAACTTGTTCAATTGAAAGTGGATATTGTTGTAGCAACATTGAAAGCGTTGCCGGTTATGGATCAAATTCAGCAAATTTCTTCAATGTTCTGAACAAAAATTCGACAATTCAAATTGGTATCGATAAACCATTTATGATAACGGCTGACGGACTATACAGTGATATACATGATCATTCTCAGTATTTAAACACGCGATTAGCGAGAACATTTCATTATGGGACACCAAGCGAGGAACATAAGACGGCATACACGGCGCTTTTGGCAGGAATTATAAATCTAATGAAATTAACATTTCCGCTGGGAACTTCAGTTTGTATGACTGATATTGTTATTCAAATGCCTCTTTATAAAACTGGACAAGAATATGAATACGAGACGGTTCAAGGATTTGGACCCTTTTTAGGGAAATATGAAGGTACAAATTAATTAATAGAAATAAAATAAAAAAAAAAGATAACAATTATTTTTCTAGGATTCAATGATATCTACGATCTAAATGTTATTCGGCTTCAAAGCATCGGTTATCGTCATAAAAGAGAGTGGGGAATACTATTGGAAAATATTGTCACTGTTATTCCAGCCAACACTACGGTGAGAATAAAAAATAAAAAAAAACAGTTAAAAAAAGTGAATTTGCATATATTTTTATGTTATAAATGAATTTTCGTTTACAAATTATTTTTATAATTCGATTTTTTTAGTTACAATTTGAAAAACAATTCATGACCTTCGAAATGATTACTTTAGTGCCTTACGAAAGAAATCTAATTAATCCGGATCAACTCACGTATGAACAGGTAAGAAATTTGAGATTGAAATTAAATATTTATTAACATTAATATTTAATTGAAATTTTTATTCTCTCCCTGTAGCTTGAGTGGTTAAATAATTATCATCAAGAAGTAAGGTTAAAAATTAATGAATTTTTAAAAAATGAAAAATTCAAAGATGTTAAACCAGAAATAACAGATGAAATAACAATAAAAAAAATGAAAGAAGAAATCCTTAATTGGTTGTACGAAAGAACAAAGCCAATCGAAAGATTGAAATCTGCTGCTAAAGAAAATTGATTAATTTATTTATAATTATTAAATTTTAATTTATTGCCGTATAATTTTAACTTTTGTAACAATTAAAATTTATAATTGTTGTATATTATTGAGAAATTCAATTAAATATATTAAAATGTTAAAAGTAAAATATTCTTATTCGCTAATTGAGAATTTCAAATAATTTTAAAACTTTTTTTTGTTTATGAAACATAATAATCATTGAAAAATTCTTCCTTAGTTCTTTTGTTTTTTTCTTGTTTTCAAAGTTTTGATAATTTTATGACACAATTTTGACATTCAAGAGGCGATAAACATTTTTTAAATGAAAAATTTCCAATGAAGATTTGAACTAAGAATAACCATTTTTTTATACCTAAAGTTTTTTGTTTATGTAGATTAGAAAAAATTAAGTTATAATTATGAGTTTTAACGCAGAAAAAGGAGATGATTTTGAATTAATTTACTCATGGCTCGATGGAATCCCTTTTTCTCGACCGAAGAAAAATACATCCAGAGATTTTTCCGACGGAGGTAAAAATTTGTACAATTATTTGTAATTTACAGAAAATTTAATAAAAAATAATGTATAATTTTATAAAAAAAATTCATTTTATGCAGGATATAAAATATTTTAATAAAAATGTATTAATTGCTTGCAGTCTTAATGGCTGAATTATTGAAAAGATATTATCCTCGACTTGTTGACGTTTATAACTACATTCCTGGAAACAGTATTGCAAAGAAAATTGATAATTGGTGTACATTAAATCGCAAAGTCTTGTCTAAAATTGATATGAAACTTTCTAAAGAAACAATTGATCGTTTAGCAAATTCACAAAACGGAGTTATTGAAAAAGTCTTAAACGATTTGCGTGTAAAAATTTTGAAAGACTCGAACACTGATTCGGAAACATTATACAGTGAAGCAGAAGAAAAAGGAAAAGGCGGTAAGAATATATGTTGTTTAATTCAATAAATTCAAGAAAAGATAAAATCATTATTCTAAAAAATTTGTATGAATATTGTTTTATAGAGTCTACGAGAAATTATTTAAATCCAGAATTGCTGACAAACAAAACTGTTCCTCGATTAGTTTTTATGCAATTAAAACAGGAATTACAGGAAAAAAATAATGCCATTAGTATTTTAAGTGAAAAAGTTTCGGCTCTAGAAAGTCAAGTGGAAATAAAGGATCAACGAATATACGATCTCACTGCACAAATTTTATCTACAAATCAAATTTTCAACGCGCCAATTCCAGCTTCAAGAAGTGGAACATCGAATAAACTACGAAAAAGTAATACAATAATTAACTAATATTACTTTAAATTCGAAAATTTCCATGGATATTAAAAATTTTACATTCAAAAATCATTAATTGTCAAATATCTCGTTTGTCGCCAAAAAATAAAATCAAAGTACAAATTGCGAATATTGATTTTTTTTTTTTTTTTTTTTTTTAAAGAAATTAGAATTTGGTTGAATATTTAATTAAATGAAATTTCTTGTAAAAAATATTATAGGGTAATTTTTACAGTAAATAACTTGTATATTAGGAAAGTCAAAAAAAATTTAATCAAATACAAAATAGAGACAAGGTGAAAAATATTAAAAAACCGACCTTAAAAAACAAATTATTTGTAAATGTAGTTAAGCCGTCGGTCGCATACTGGGAGGAGAAACGAGGATAACGCCGTCACCTCTGACGAATAACATTGGAATGTTTCGTTTTGTTGTACGATAAACTTCTTCGTAGGTTTCCTCGTCGATTTCCACAGTTGTTACAGTTTCTTCAACTTCTCCAAGGACCATATTTAAATGCTGATCGTATGCCTTCATAAAAAAAAGAGAAACTAATTGAAAAATATTCTATTTGTTTAAAGATAGTTTTCATATTTTGAAGAATACAATAGATCGATGTTTATATTAATAATAGAGATTAAATAATTTTAGAATTATTAATTGTAAATTAAAAACCTATTATTATTAGTAACTTTAAAGTTTAGTGCAGAAATATTAAAAAAAATTCCCAATAAAAATATATTTATTTATTTTTCAGCCTAATGGCCCAGAAATGGACTTAGTTTACATATAATCACTGTGCATCTCTATTCACATCCATCTTTATACATAAAATTCCCAATAAAAATAAAAAAGAAGCAAGTTTGAGATTACGTTAAAAAATTAAATAATCTTACGTGTAATCGACCACGAAGTTCTCTTTCATTTCGCATTTTAACGTAGATTCGTTCATCTAGGCTCAATCTGATCAAATCTAGAGGTTCTTTAACGTTAATTGCCGGTACCTGAAAAATAATTATAGGTTAGGTTTGGATCAAATTTTTTAAATGACATTTTCACTCACTTGTTCAGCTTCTTCTGCCATTTTTCAATTATTTATTGTATTCTTGAGTGTAAATTAATGATTTAAACAATTAAATAATCCACTTGTTATTTAAAAAATCAAGAAATTAAAATTCCTTTCACAATGTGCGAGTTCACAATATTTGTTTATTTTCTCAAATCTATAAAAAAAAATCATATAAATAATAATATTCATCAAAATCTGAATATAATAAAAAATAAAAATATAATTTAACTAACCTGGGAGTAATTATTTTAAACAAATAAATTCACAAAGGATTTTTAAATGTTTACATCAGGTGCAGTTCAGGACAGCTGATGCGCAAAGTAACGACTGCGCAACAATTTCTCCTTCACCCCTCAAAAAAAATCTGTCAGAAAAAAACATAACCTCGTTTTTTTATGATATGGTGAATCTCGTGTGTGACAGCTGTCAAAATATAATATGGTAAAAATAAGTCTTTACAAAGAATAATATTTCTAGGCACTTCTATACATCGATTCTCAAGTAGTTTAGAGAAAAACAAGAAGTGTTTCATTTGCACGGTTTCCAAATCAAAATAATATCCAAGAAGGATGACAATGGGCGATGAGACTCCAGTTACATCACTTGTTCTTCCTGTAATATTAAGGCCAATATTGGCAAAGGTATTATTTTTAAATTATTTCTTTAATTATTCGAAAAATTTAGATTTGTATCAATGTTTCCATTATAAACATTTTGTGTGATATGTTTTTTAAGTCTCAATGTCGTTGTTAACTTTCATTGTCTTATTTGGTAAAAACTAATAAAGATTGCGACTTTACAAAATAAAAAAATCAATTTCATTTGATGTTATGTAATTAAAACAACTAATACCTGTAATGCTAATGAAAATTATTTAGGGAAATCGTTACAATTTTGTTTTGAGACATTTTTGGAGAACAACATAAATCTTTTGTACCACCATTTTAACGACTGAAATTTTAAAAAGATTTATATTCGTATTTTTTTAAATGTAACAATTGAATTTATAAATAACAAATTGTTTCCATTATATACCATTAGACAATCAATAATATGAAAACTATAACCTAAAACTCAATTGTTCGAGATTACGATTAATTATTTATTTACTTTTATTCAGATCTCGAATATTCTTATTTTCATTATTAATCGTTGCAAATTGAAATTTCATGTTAAATCAATTTATGTAAATATTTTTATATAAAGTGAGTCAAATTTATTTTTATAGATAAACAATAATATTGATTTTTAATTTGATAACAGTTGGAGAGGCAGAATGTTATGGCTGCACAAACTTTGCGAACTGCATTATCGAAGGCTGAAAATGCTCATCCTGGAATTACGTACGATTTAGTTTTGGGAATTGTACGACGAGCTGAATTAAATCTTGATATGAATGAAAGTGTTCTTCGATTACAGGGCAGTGCTTCAGATTGTGATGGTAAGGAAAGTCGACATGTTTTTTTGAAAAGATTTCTATATCTGCTGTGTTTAATATACTTAAAAAAATAATTATTAATTTTTCTAGTCGTTGAGTATCGTTCAGCGCGATCAGAAGATGCATTCCAGGAACTTAATCGTAAATCGACTTCGTTGAAGAGGATACTCAGCAGAATTCCCGATGAAATAACAGATCGAAAAACTTTTCTTGAAACCATTAAGTATGTAAACGTAAATTTCTAATTCAAAATTAGTTTTTTTCCTTTTAGTTTAATTAGTTAAGAAAAAATTGGTTTTAATAATTAGAAAAAGCAATTTCCGCTGTTGAGATTTTTTTATTATTGTTTCCTTTTCAGAGAGATTGCAAGCGCAATTAAAAAATTATTGGATGCTGTGAATGAAGTGACGGGATTTATTCCAGGATCAGCTGGAAAACAAGCTTTGGATCAACGTAAACGAGAATTTGTACGTTACAGCAAACGATTTAGTAATACCCTGAAGGAATATTTTAAGGAGGGACAGTGAGTATTTTTCAATTTTAATATTCATGTAAATTTTTATCTTTAAAAAATAATTTTCATTAATTTAATTTCATTTTCAGAGCGAATGCTGTTTTTATCAGCGCATTGTACTTAATTCATCAGACAAATATGATAATGGTAACGGTGAAAGACAAATGTGAATAATTCGAGAATGTTGGAAGTAGTACACGATATAATATTAACAGTTATAAATATATATTACATTAAATAATGTTTTTTCTTATAATAAATGTTTAACAGAAAAAAATACTATATTATATAAATTATAAGTTTTATTTTGTAAGCGTTACAGAACATTTAAAAATGCAAGTCGAGAATTGACTATTTGAAAGATTTGTCCCTCTGCGATTATTATTGAATCGTCAGTATTAATTAATAATAAAAACAAAATACTTTTTAACGAGAAATATTTTCTCGAGAAAAAAAAATTCACATTCCTTATTTTCACGTAATCGAGTCAATATATATATATATTATCATCTAAGATAATTGGTGTAAGAAAATGTAAAATGTATGTATATATAAAACTTGAGCTGTTTTATTCAGTTTCTTTTTAATTAAGTAAAGAGTTTTTTTTTCTCTGTAAGTAGAAGAAATAAAAATTTATTGACAAACAACTTGACATAAATGCACTGTGGTTCTTGTTTTTTTTTCTTAGTGAAAAAATTGTACGATCTAGATATAATTTTTAAAGTTACTAAATTATTGTGTAACAGAATAAAAAAAATGTAAGAATGTAATAACATTTTAAGCTCTTTTACTATCGGCAAATACACGAACAATGCAACCAACTCCACCGACATTATAGACTTTTTCATGCCACAATAACAAATGTCCACTACTTCCATCCGTTGGAATTTCAAAACCTCGATAAATATATTTCATGAGCACGTCTATGAGGTCACGATCCAATTGTGATATACAATCGTCTATTTGATTTGATTTTATACTTAGTAAGACTTTTTGTGTTAAATTTCTCGCATTGTCCTGAAAAAGAAAATTCAAAACACTTTCAATTTGTACAATGTCATTAAGAATAAAAAATTAACCAAGCAAAGGAATAAATTTGTAAATGTTTAACTAAATATAATTTTGATTAAATAAAAAAAATTCTCAATTACATTGTAACCAATTAAAATATTTCTTCAATATTTAAAAATGAGAAAATTAATAGCATTTATTAGTTGTAGAAAGATAATAAATATAATTCAAAATTTATTGTATATTGAATATATGAGAAAATATAAACACATTTTGAGGTTACCTTGATTTGTTGATTTTTACAACCGAGTGGAGCAGATTTGAGAACAGAAATTAATGCCTCAGCATTTTTACCCTTGTTAACGAATTAAGGAAAATTATTATAAACTACAAAAGATAAAAATTGCTTAAATTATGACTAATATTAATGATGAGATTAAAAAAGGATATTGGCTAAGTAGTTGTAGAATTTCATTTTCATCCGGGCCGGTCGGTCCTGTTGTACCACTATCAACTTCCTCTTCTTTAAAATTATTGTCATTATATTGATCTACATCAATTTTTCGAAAAGCAGAATCACTTGTGTCATTTCGTCCATCGTTTCTTGACATTTTATCGTCTCTTTTTGACGTTTTTCGCGAATTTCAAGCACGCCAGTCGTACGTCAGCGCAGAACGAATTTATTTTCGTTTTTCACGCGCAACCGGAAGTAAGACCAACAGTGACGTCATTTTTCAAATTGACAATTTCATTCAAATGAAACTAAATTTTTATGATTAAATTTGACCAAAAAAAAATTCTATTATATACTTTATATTGTTAACAATAAAATTTAATGTAGTATAATTATAAAAATGATTTAATTATAAAGTAAATAAGTTTTATAAATATTTTTCTATTTGAAGAGGTAGATGAAACTTGTCCACCAATCAGAATAGCCTACTTTACAGGATCGACCAATCAGAGAACAGACGAATGATACAGGTTTATTCCGGTTGATTCTTGCGGAAGTCAGCACAAATTGGCGGTTGCTCTCACGATTCTCCTCGTTTTTTCATCAAAAAATGGTAAATATTTCTCATTATATTATCAAATTTATTGTTTTAACGGTTAAATTAGTTGTGGCGGTTGATATTTTATAAAAATTTTGTCGATGCATTGGCAGTAATAAAAGAAATGTGCAATTATGGTCATTCGCTTTTGTTGATTGGCACAGTATACATTGTTGCACATTATACGATCAAAATTGCCAAAATTAGGTAAAATAGTTTTATAATTTTGCATTATTGGGGAATATTTCATGTTTGGGAACAGTGATAATAAATTGGTTAACATTTTTTTCGCAAAAATTTTTCAAATATACATGTTTCATATTTTTTCAAGATGGCGGCCATTATAGAAAATTTCATTTTTGTCTATACAGTTGTGGTGGACAGTGGAGTTTCCTGGGCAGTTGAAGAAACATTCGCCACATATTTCGACTATTTGGAACCCGGTCTGCTAAGATCATGTATTTACATTTTGGAAATATCCAACGTGTAAATATAATTATAATCTTGGGCAGGGATCTCCGGATGATATTTAGTCTGAAATATGGTGAAAGTGGATCTCGTGAGAAGATCATTCGCAATTTTGGTAAGATATTTTATTTCACAATCTCTTAAAATTAAAAATTCTTTTTTTTTTGTTTTTCTCTATATTTATTGGGGAGGGGAGGGTTTAAGATAAAGTTTAGTTTTTTTCGATTGCAAATTGTAGGTTATGTTGTATTTCTTCAATTTTTTTTTTAAATAAAGGACTTATTTAATGAATATTAGTTGTTTAATATGAATGTAATAGAAAAATAAGTAAGAATTCAATGATATGCTATTACTTCGAAAAAATTGACAAAATGTATTGAAAGTAATATCTTATTTTTGTGATTCAAATGTTTGTAATTGAAGTGAGATTTGAAGAAATATAAGTTCGATATAATTAATAAAAATGTTAATTTTCTTTTTTAATTAATACTAACAAAATTGAGTAAATTCTAACCTCAAAATTTATTTAACAAAATTACCAAAATCACAAGCAATTAATTAATGTGATTGATGTAATTATTAAACTAATTTTGCAATTGGAGGTTAGAATTATTATTATTATTAATATTAGCAATAATAATAAAAATTAATTATTTATTTTTGAATTTTGCCCTACTAGTGGTGTGAAAAATATCAGTAATTAAAAAAAATTAGATAAATTTGTCTTGGTATTTTAATTTATTCAATTTTTGGAATATGTTTTTCATATATGTATTTATTTTACAAAAATATTGCAGGTAATTATGTTTTATAATATAATTAATATTATTTCAGTTTTCTTCACATCAATGACTGCACCAGAGATATAAAATAATACGTTGATCCTGAGCAATCAGACAAAATTGCAGGCTGCTTGAAATCTAGCTTTTTTGCAAGATTACTTTTTAAATCTCTATTCTGAAGATTTGAATCGTTGCCGAAAGTAGGGCTCTCCAGGGGATAAATAGTTTAAAGAGGATCTCATAGAAAAAAAATTCCCCACTGTGGTAAATATATTTAATTTTTATTGTATATAATTATATTGAATTTTGAATAATAATTTTTTTCAATATTTTAGTCAAACTTATAAAATTATTTCTATTATTATTATTATTTTTTAGCTTTCTCCGATAATGATTCTACCAACGAAAAAACAAAAAAATACAAAGATCTCTGAGCAATTCAGAAAATATTGCGGCTTGCTTAAAATTCATCCTACTTGTAAGATTACTCTCGAAACCTCCCAGAGTGGAGATTTGAATTGCAACTTAAAGTTAGGGATTTCCGGGGGTTAAATTACTTCAAGAGGATCTCGTGAAAGAAATGAATTCACTAATTTGGTAATATTTGTAGTTCGAGTTTAAAAATTTTTTATTTTTAATTAATTATATTTACTTATAGGAATATAAAATTTAAATGAAAAAATTTGTCATCTCATTTAGAATTGAAGGATTTTTAATTTATTAAATATTTAACTTTTCTTTCTTTTACAGAAATCAGTCATGGAAGGATCGCCAAAAGTATCACTAAAACGATCGTTGTGGATATAATTCACTGGAAGGATCAGTGCAAGAAAGAGATTGCAGAAAGGCAGAAGATCCAGAATTTCATCGACGAGCAAATCAACAAAATGTAAGTCCCTCCTGTTCTCTAAAGTTAACAAAAATAGAAACAGGTTGTAATAATTTTATTATTTACTACGAGTTTATTATTAAAAATCATCAATTAAAATACATTTTTTTCAACAAGAGAAATTTTACACAGATTAAAATTTCGTAATTAGATAAAAATTTTTTATCATGAACACTTTATAAAATATTCAGGAGAGATAGTTGAAAATTAACATTTTCGTTTATGGGAATAAGAATAGTAGAACAATCGTGCGAAATTGGGTAAATTATATTCTCTTCATTCGTTAGAATTGTCGGTTCAACAACTTCTTGCTCTGATTCTCTTTGCTTTCTTCCACCTAAAATATCCGGAAAAAAGGATTTAATTTTTTTCTTATATTATAGTAATAAAGTTTTTTTTTTGAAAAAATATGTTTGTACTAGAAATTGTTGTTGTTTTATAGTTGTACCTGTTTCTTTAGGAGTGAGGGCACATTGGAAAGAAAATTTCTCCATTTCTTGTATATCTTTTAATTGTTTTTCTCTTCTATAATCACAAACTGCTTGTTCTAATGCTTTCGTTAGGGCAGACTAAAAAAACAATAGAATTTGCAATAGATGTTGATTTTTTTTTTAAAGAAGAAAAATGTAGAAAAACAATACCTGGCATTCTTGAAGGCTTGATTTATGTGCACTTTTTTTGATTACTTTTTTTTTATTTATCTCGTGGACGTAAAATTTTCTTTTCGGTGATTCATGTGACTTTGGGGTCGATTTACGACAAACGTGTTGAATAAGTTCTTTTCGATTAGCTTGAAAATAATCGTGTAAATATTCGTGTACTTGGGTACGCTGTAAATTATTATCGGAATCATTGTCACGAAAAAATGATGTCACTTTCTTAAATCCATATAAATTTAATTGTCGAATAAAACTGTCGATATTTCGTGTCTTAAAAATTGAATTGGTCGTAAATAAATATTCTGTTTTTAATGTTTGATAATTGACGAGAATCGTTTTGCCATTTGGACTCCATTTAACAGCATCACTCGAATTATCATTAACAATATTCCACAATTTTTGAGGAAACTTCATGACGAACTTTTTATACTAATTGTTGATTTTGTTTTTTTCTTTACAAAATTTTTTAATTTGATTTAAAATAAAAATGTTCGAATTTTTTCAATAACTTGAATATTTTTTTTTGGTTAGGAAACAATCTTTGATATAGAAAAACAAAACACTTTCGTGGCGATAGTTTTATACATTTTATTGTTAAAAATAAATTCTTCTCTGAAAAATTATATAAAAGCAGTAAAATTTTATTAAAACTAAAATTCTTTTTTTAATTTTTAATTTTTTATTGTTATTAATTAAATTTCTTATGAACATTTTATTAAATATATAAATTGTTTAAATAAAAAATATTTATCATTAGTATAAATATTTGCAAATTGTCAATATTTCATATCAAAGTGAAATCAATATTCCTAGTGTTTGTGAATAAATTGATAATATTATATTAATGATAACCGCAGAGTGGCCTCGATGAAGTATACTTAGTAATTATTTTCCAACGCTTCAGTTTATTAAATTTATAATATTAATTTAAAATTATGCTACATTAAACAATTTTATTAGCTAATAAATTATTTAATATAGAGAAATTATTGAAAATTATAATTTTAACTTTTTGTATATTTTTCTTTATAAATTTTGTTGTTTTTTCAAAATTAGAATCTACCAATCGTATAAATTAATTCGAATTTTTTTTTATTGATACAGTTTAGTAAATTTAAAAAAAATAATTGTTAAACATTTTCGGCGATTGCTTGTAATGAATAAACTTTACGTTTATTTGTCCACTGTAGAGATCGAAAATTGGATTTTCTCCCTTTTGTTAAGCCTATTTCTCTGAACAAATTCATCTGAAATGAATTCGAAAATTTTAGTTTGATTAGAATTTGTAATATCATTGTTTTTTTTATAATTACCTCCATAGAATTTATAGTTGACAATTGTTTACTTATTATCCAAGTCACAATTTCCGAACACGGTGGGGTAGTCAGGGAGCCTTTATAAAGCAAAAATTCCGAATTTGTATTTAATCCAAAACTTTCTAAATTAAATTTTCTAACATTGACGGATGTCTTTCGTGAATTTACCAATTTTTTCAATCTTCTAATAAAAGTTGTGGCTCTGGAATTATTTTGATTCGTTATCTGGAATTATGATTGATTTTTTTATGAATTACATAAATTCTTCTTCTATAAAAAAAATAATTAATTTTCAATAAAATTTATATATTACTTGAAAAATAATACCAATTACGACAAGTCCATCTTTATAATTCACAGCTTCTTTTACCGAACCATATCCTCTTTTATAATGAACTAAATGCAATTCGAGAGGATATCTGTTGTTTGGAAAAAAATTTTCAACTTTACTACATTTAAAAAATAAAAGATATTTTGGTTAGGTAAAAAAAATCATTGTCTTAATATTTTGTCCAATGAGTTCTACCTTTTGCATTCAATTGTATGTTCACTTCCTTTTTTGTCATTTTTCCCCCAATGAAAATGACCTTTTTCGAAAACGTAGACATCTTTTAGCGGGCCACCACTAACAATTGGAATCTTTTCATTCCATTTGGCTTTAAAACTGACTAGAATTAATTTTATTATTTATAACAATGATAATTTTTATTTTTTATATTATTTTATTTTTATTAGCTCTTTTAATATATTTTACAATACCAGTATATCCTGTATTTGTTAGAGTAACAATTTTTGGCATTTTGTCATAAAAAGAGAATTTCAAATTCTTGAGGTTTGGATTCACGGGTACTGTGAAGTTGAGATCGATAGGTGATTGGTTTTTTCCATTACACGTTGCATACCGCAGACCCCATTTTTCTGGTTCAGGAAAAAAAAAAGAAATTTCTTTCGTTTAATTGAAAATTCGTTGAGAGTAATTTTAATTTACTTGAAGAGAAATGAAGTTGTTATTGGTTTTTGAACATTTATTTAAGTAAATTTATTATAATATTGAACCAGAAAAATTAAACTAATAATTTCAATTTAGTGCTTAATTAAATTAAGGAATAATTTCAATAATTTTTGTTATACAACATAATTTTCGCATACTTTGTTTTAAAATAACTTCTTTTTCTACTTTGAAAAAATGTGAAATTTCATTATTTTCAAAATCCACTATTTTTCGTTTATCTAAATCTTTATCAGTATTTGACAAAACTTTATCCAAGATCACTGAAAAATTAATTTTTGTTAATTACATAAAAAATATATAAATTATTTATTAAAGTAATTACTGCTTTTTTTAATGTGATTATAAAGTACTTACAAAGTAAAAGAAAATTATTAAAAATTCCTACGGTGAATAATATTTTTTTGTAGCAATTTTCGTAGCATTTCAAAAGTTTATAAGACATAACTTACAATTCGCAAATACTCTGTCGACCTTGTTTAAAGTTCGTTTCGCAAATAGTTCAAACATTCGTTTGAAGCTCTAAAAATTTCATATTATAGCCAAAAACCAATAACAATCTCGTGTTATCTCAGTAATATTTCAATCTTGACTATTAGTTTCATATCCGGTTTTAAGCTCACTCCTTCAATTGAAAAATATTTATTCCTATTTTCATCAAAAATATCCATTTGATTCGTTTCAACTGCAATTAATTATTTTTCCATTGGAGAATTACAGAATTAATTAATTTAGAGAATTAATATCAAACTAATTTTTTATTATATTATTTATTTATTTATTTATTATTCAATTTATGTAAATTACTTACTGGGATATAGAATCAATAAAAATAATTTTTCAAAAATAGACACTTTTCGAAGATTGAAATTTTTATTTGATTATAATTATTTACAATTTTCTTGAGAAGATCATTAGAACGAAATCTCCTTTGGTGATTGTTTTCTTTTCTTTTTTTGAGAAGAAATATAAAACCAATCGAATGAAAGAATCTTAGATTAATTCAAGAAGTTAGTTGTAATTAGTATAGAAAGTTACAAAATTATTTGACCCCTTTCATGATTGACCTCAGGGTCTTCCACGCAAGGCAAAGTTTGATACTACTCTACCATAACGAGATTAAAATACTATAAAACAGTTTCTTTTTATTATTATACAAAATTTTCCATAAATAAAGAAATGTCGGTAAAAAAAATATATAGCGCGTTATTTTAAAAATACAATTGTTTTTTGTGGAAACAAAAATATTTTTCTCGTCATATATCTTGTTTAACAATACGGATACATATTTTTAAATTATATAAACTAATTAATGATTTTCTAATTATTTTCATTTAGTTTTCAATTTTTGTTTAATTCAATAAATTGTCATCTACATTTTTTAATTTCATTTTGAGTATTAATAAGGCACAGTCTTGTGAAATGATGATGATTTTCATCATAATAATTGCGATAAATTTGAGAATATCTTTCTTTCGATGTATTTGTGTCTGTGTGTGTGTTTTTTACAAGTATTTGCATTCGATCAATTAATTGAAAATTTATGTACAGGTTATAATTTGATCGTCGGCAATTGGTGGTAGAGGTTGCCAATATTCACAAGGTTTTGCTGGTGCCGGTAATAGATAACCATCCGGATCGAGAACATCCGGTGTTCGTATGGTTACTGGTCCTTGTGGAGGTCGCGGTAAAGTTTCCATTTGAGCCGATGCTTCTTCCGCTTTTCGTAAATGCTCCAAAATATCAGGAAATCGAAGTCGATCTCGAGGTTCCGCTTTCCAACAGTCCTTCATTAATTGACAAATGTACGATGGACAATCTGACGGTGTTAGTAGCATTATTCCTTGTGTTATTAGTTTCACCACCTATAAAAATTACGAGACATTTTTAATTTTATTCATTAATTAAATGTTTTGATTTTTTTTTCTCTCAAAAAATAAATAATAGAATTACCTGTTCGTTATTGTGTCCGTAATATGGTTGTTTCCCATAGGAATACACTTCCCAAAGGACAACTCCAAAACTCCATATGTCACTTTCCAAAGTGAAACGACCGTACATTACACTTTCCGGCGACATCCAACGTACCGGAAGTAAACGTGATCCTCCCATCTGTTAGAAAATTAATTTATTAAAATTTAATCTCCTTTTATTTAGTTTCGTTTTTCTTCAATAATGGGACATTTTAAGTTTTGATCTTACCTTGTAGTAATCACAGGTGTAAACGTCCCTTGACATTCCGAAATCAGCAATTTTCACAATTAAATCATATCCCACGAGGCAATTTCGACATGCCAAGTCTCGATGAACGAATCTTTGTGTTGATAAATAAGTCATTCCTTCAACTATTTGAGTAACTATCCAATGAAGAGATTCCTATAATTAGAATAATTTATTTGTTTGGCGCGTAATTAAATGATAAACAAATTAATATTAAATTTAATAGAAATAAATAAATATTAAAAATCTAATTAAGTTACCCTCGTCAATGGTTGAAGTTCTGATCTCGAAGAACGAAAATTATATGGGGAATTGTTTCTTAAAACTTCGGTTAAATCGCCATATGGCATATATTCAAACACCATCCATGGACTGTGTCCAATTTCCCTTAAAACAACTCCTTTAAGTAGTAAAATATTTTGATGGCAAAAAGTTGACATTATGTCTACTTCTCTCATAAAATCATCCTCAACTTCACGGGATGCTGATTCTTTTAAAACTTTAACTGCCACAATTTCCACTGACTCGCCATATTTCAATTCTCCTAAAATCAGAAATTTTACATATATAATATTTATTCGTATCATTGGGAATCATTTTATTATTTAGAGTTATTAATCATAATACAGTATGATTATTAATTATGTTTATTACATATAAACAAATATTTTTATTAGGAATTAATTTTTGATTCAAAATTCAAAATGTTTTATACCTTTAAAGACTTTTCCAAAGCAACCCTCACCAATGTCCTGTAGAAACATAAGTGAGTCGCGTTGCAAAAGAGGCACTTCCGGTGAGGAGCACGCGAAATATTGAGGATTTCGAGTGCATTTGCTATCCAATAGTAGACTTTTCTTAAGATTTCTAGGTGTATTCTGTGAAAAATATTTTTGTCATTTTTTAGCAAAATGTTTTGTTTCTATTGTGGACTTTTTTTCTCTTTTGAATGACCAAGAAATTTTAGCAACGCTTTTTGTAGGAAAAAAAAATTAATTAAAATATGATTTTGTTTTAAAAAATTTAATTTATAATTATTAAGTTTTTTTAAAAAACTTTTTAATACTTTTGTCCATTAATTAATGCTAATTAGTTGAAGAAAATCGAAGTAAAAAAATGTTTAGCCTACTGTTTTTTTAAATTAACTTTTCAATAATTTTGTTATCTCTTTAATTGAAAGAATATAACCTCGAAATTTTAACATATAATATAAATATATGTATTTATACAGTGAATATTGAGCAAAACAGTGTATGCCAAGGTTATCAAAATCGTGCTAAAGTTTCTTGGCATTATTCAGATTTAAATGACACAATAATTAATCATTACATCGAGTGAGTTTCGCTTGGACTTCGCATTATAGTTTCTTCGTTTGTAACAATATATTATGCTCAATACTATCGCTAGTACTAGAAAACAGCCAATGGCTATTCCAACTATTTCAGGTACTTTTTGTCTCGCTTGTTCCACCTGAAAAAATTATTTAAATTTAAATCACATAAATTAAATCTTTTCTATTATTATTTATTAAAATGTTTTAAAATACCTGTTCAGGTTCAGGAAGAACAGTTGTAGTTTCCGTTACGTTACCACTTGGTGGAATTATATTGTGTATTGGTTTAGGCGTTAAAGGCACTGTAATGGTTAATTAAAATTGAGGGAAATGATTTTTTTGTTAAAATAAAAATTTACGGTTATTAATTTTTATTAAATTACATACCGAGAAGACGATTCGGACATTTCATGTCCGGTGTAGGTTGAGATAAATCATGAGGGCAAACACATTTTGATGTGTTATCGTCGAGTTTCCGACATGCAGCTTCACTGCCACAAACTCCAGGTGTATCTATGCAATTTGTGATTTGTGCAGTCTCCGTATTTGGCAATCTTGCCAGTAATGCCGGTGAATGTGTCGTTGTTGGAAATTCTGAAAATTTAATTTATTCGATTGTTGTCATTCATTTTTAAAAACTCGAAATTTCTATTCTATTTATTCTTCTTGAATCTAAGATTCTAACATTTATGTTACATAATAATTGTTTATAATTTCTTATAATCAATTGGCCTTTAACTGATTCGAGTCAATGAAATATTTGTCATCCGGAAAAAATTTACTGACTCAATGGTATTTTTTTTCTAAACGTTAAAAATTTATTTTCTAATGTGTCATCTTTTAATGACCCAAAAGGTTATTAAATTTCATTAATCGCAATGGAATTTAATAAAAAAAAATTGAATATAAAATTGCACATTACATAAATATGAATAACTATCGTGACGATATTGTACATTTGTAAACTAGATGCGTTTACATTTTTTTTTCTTTTTTTTAAATAAGAATAAGAAATAGATGGAAATGAGGAAAAAAGAAGGGATAATTCTAAATGACTATAACGAATCAGAAGTTCGATGGCACGCCCAATTTATTATAGTAGTGCATTCATTCAGATATATATTCAGAATGCAATATTCTCTCCATCATTCAATGTCCATTTCGTTAGATTCGCGATTCGATTTTATCAGAAAGATTTTATTTTATTTTTAATACTCATTCATGTCATGATAACGTGATACGTTTATTTATCAAATCCCTTCATTTGAACGACATTATCGTATGTGTAATGTGAATTTTGTTTTTGTTTATCTTCATGGTTTTTGTTGTTTCTCATTTATATTAAGTATTGCAAAATTTCTAAATTCTCGCATTGTCAATAACTTGATAAGTTGTTTTTAAAAATGATTTGGAAACAGAAATTTATATAGAATTTTGAATTAATCGAAGTATAGTTAATTAACTACCATTATATGGTTAGAATTTTTCTTTGTAACTTCCGTCAATTTACAATTGTATAATAAACAACGATTTTCTTTATCATTGTTTGAAAACAATTGTTTTTATTTTCATTTACTAGTTTTTTTTTATATTGTTAGAAGATATCATGTGAATATATAGTTTTACGCTAAAAATTAAAATTGTTTTCTTATTATTGGAAATGGCACGTAAAATGTAGATTAAAAAATTTTAATCGGAATCACTTAAGAGACATATAATATACACAAGGTATCTTAACGATTATTATTTACGAGAGGACGAAGATGAATGTGAGCAAAGTTCTTCATAATACTACTTATGCTACGTAATAGTTTCTTTGTGAAATGACCGAAGAAATTGTTTACCACAATAGTTATTTTTGAGAAAAACCTCCCTGAGGGAAATAAAAAATTTTTGGAAAAAGGTAAATAATCCTTTGCTAAATAAAGATTATCTTATTATAGAATATAACCTAATATTAATTCATATTCAAAAAGTCAACATTTTTTAACTGTTAATAAGGAAACAATTTTTTTTTTTTATTGAAAATTTATTGCAATCAAAATTTTCGGCAAGAAATTAAAAATAGAAGTCATCTTTTCTGTGTTGAATATAAGATATATTCAAATTTGTAAGAGAAATTCGAACCCTCATTTTCCTAATGATTCAGGAAGGGCTTTTAAGGTATCGAGTTCCATATATTTTTTTTTCTTTTTCATTTTTTGTTCATCGAAATCGATATGCAATTAAGAGGGTGAACGGATAGGAAAAGCGGTCTATTAATATAAAATTTAAAATGTTTACATTGAATGCATTAAATTAAAGAAGATGTTTCAGGGTAAATATGTGGGATGGAAAAGGGTCGCATATTTGAATTCGAGCGTTGGCTAAAGAGACAGAGAAGGCATTCATTTGGTGCTCGGGGTTTGTAACGGGTCACAGCTTTATCTCCGCGGTCAGCGCGGTCTCTAAGACCAAGTCTTGAAAATTATATATATGTATATATATGCCATTTATTCAGTGCAAATGTGCCACAATTTGCCAATTTCCATTTTCAAAAGGTAACTTGATGTGCTTTCTCATTCAAATAATTCACATCAAATACAAACTCGTTTAAAAGTTGTTTTCTATTACTTCTGAGATTAAATTAATTAATTTTTTTTTGTCTCAAAATTAGTTTTAGTCAAAGGACTCAAAATCATATTCCTAATCAGTTAATAGAAGCTTAACGATTAGTATATTTTTGAAATAGAAGGTTTTTTTTAGTGATATTCCAAAACAATGACAGTGCATTAAAATAGAAAAAATAAGATCTTGTTATTAGTGATGAGAATTTAATATAGAAATAAGTATTGAAAGACTTCATTGAATTAGAACTAATTAGCCAATAATTATAGAAGAGTGATTGATGAAATAAGCGGAGAAAAAAAAATTGTTATTTCGCTGATGTTATTCCTAGAAATCGGATAAAATGTAAATAATGAATTCATATGTCTTCCGTATTTTAGAAGTAGTCTATTAATCTTTCTTTAACAAAATATATATATACGATTTGTAGAATAATCAGTTTTTTAAATATGCGTGAAGCAACTTATCGACAATTTTCAACTGTCAATTCGAGCATTAGCTTAAGATAAAGGCATTATCTTTGATTTCTAATTCAACTTATCTCCTGACTCTCTCGGAGGTCCTCTCTATAACACACATACATATATACTCCTAAGGGACATAATCCGACAAAACAAAACACAAAAAAAAGCGATTACTTATTTTTTCGTCTTTATCTTAAATATCATTATACTTGGCCTTTTTAGATTAATTCTCCATATATATTTTTTTAGGAAACAATATTTTCTTCCTAATAAAAAATCACGCTTAGTTATAATCTGCCCTAGATATTTTACGTTATGAGATAAAAATGGTATAAAAAAAAAGTTTTCTTGGACTTGAAATCAGTTTATGCTATTAAATTTTAATCAAATTGTGTCTCTTAATTTATGATAGTTAGAAACTGACTGCGGTAGATATTTCATCATTTTACGAATTAACTTTATAATTTTTTGTTTATTCTCATTTTTTTTCGTAAATGTTCGTTTACAATATTTCAATGTCAAATTACCTGTGAAGTTGTTTTTTCTAAAGACCACATAAGAGCTACTGACGAATAATCTCTCGAGAATCTCATGATACTCATTAATACTGTTGCAAACCGGCTAGAACTTTGGTACAATGGGATCTTTGTGCTGATTTGTCGGCAGCTCTGTAAGTGTTTTACAAATGACTGCAGAGGATTCAACACGGGATCGAGTTTAGATGTTGTTTGTATAGAAATCGCCGCGGTGGTTTATACATACGTTATGTAAGACTGAATAAAAAACACATGCAAACTAATTATTATTAATTTTACACTTCTCAATTTACTAACTAGCAGAACATTTCTCATAAATTCTCTCATAGAGAGAAAATAGTATAGAAATATAAGGAAAATGTTGAGATTATAAGTAGGACGCGGAGATTTTTTTTTGCATCGAGAGGAAAGTTAGAAACAATATTTACTTAGATTTAGGAAGAAAATTTTTTTTTATGCAAAATTATATTTGCCGAGATATGTACCTAGTTGAATTTTTTGCTACTTCATAACGGAAAGATTTATATTTGAAATGATTTAAATTATATTATAGTAGTTGATATATTTTTTTCTTTTCCATCTATCGTATTCGTGAATTTTTAAATTAGACTCTAAATTTGAATAATATAAAATCGAGAATTGAAAGTGTTATTGATTATATTATAGTATGTAGAACATTAGAATAATCTATTGATAAAATCTGGGACTATTTTTCAAAATGTATCACGTCATTGTAAAAAATCATATGAAAGGTGTACAACCATAATATATATATAGAGAAGGATGTACCAGAAGACACAATTTGGGTGGGCCGAGTAATGAATTGAACATTGTTATATGTGGGCGAAGCAGCAGCTTTACTGAGATTTACTCGACTCATTGCAGATATGTGTATGTGTGGGTGGCTATAGGTGCTCTTCTTTATTATATTCTCTCTTTTTTAACCTAAAACTAATTAATAATCTTCCGATTTTAACCCGATACTCTTCCGTTTATCCAGAAATTTAATGTAATTTTTTTTAAAGGGCATATTTCTAGTTTCGAAAAATTAATATTTTTTGCATTTTGATTTTTTATTATTATAATATATATTGTATAAATATAATATACAAATATATAAAAAATATATTTTATAAATATATTAAATAATATATTGTTGTTATGGTATTATTGTAAATTGAATATTTTTCTGGTTGTGTAATTCTGTGTTATGTAACAATTACATGAAATGGTTACAAAATTGATGTATAAGTAACGATGAAAGACAAATTATTGATATTTTATTGACAATTTTATATGTAAATTGTTGCCTATTAAATCACGTTACACGATCATTATTTTAAAGTAAGTGCGTGGTTATGATTTTCACAACCATGAACTCGTGAATATCAAATAAAATTAACGAACTAGTATAATTTAGGACCAATAAAATATAGGAGTTTAAACTTTGCTATGCATAAAAACATAAAATATATATTTACTTCCTATGATTTACGCACCTGTTGATTCATTATATAATTTGCACTTCCATAAGTGTAATATTATTTAGTTTTGCAGTTTCTAATCGTTTAAATCCAATTTAATAACTAATCAACCTTTTTTTTTAATGATTACATATATGAAAAAAATGATTGTTAATTATTTAACCAAAAATTTAATATTTATATTTAGATTAATTAAAATTGATAGTTAGTAATGTTGATATATTTGAAAAGCACTTATTATATTTATTAAAAGAAATATTGTTGAGACAAGATAGAAGAAATTTGAAATTTGTTACTTTTTAAAGAAAAAGAAAACACAGTGTGCGAACTTTGAGAAATAGACAAGACATAAAATAATAATTCAAAAATTTTGAGTGAATGTTGAAACAGCATCAAGAACATGAATCTTAAGTAAACACTCCCCATTGAAAAATAACGGGGTTCTAAAGAAATAAACTTCTTTGGAGCCAAATATTCCGGAGAAGCTCCTATAATGTAAAGGAAGATTTATCACAAATTATATGGTACTTTGTCTTTCATTGTTTCTTTAAAAATATTCTTCTTTCTTCGATTTCTCTCCATTTTTTGTTAGTTGCACAAAAAAAGTAATTGGTTTAGTTTTTTGGTTTTGTTTCAATCGATAGTCGTTTCAATCGCATCGTAAAAAGGAAATCATATTTGTTGCTTTTATTTTGATTAATAAATATTAAATAAAATAAATATATAATTTTATCATAAAAAAAGAATATTACCTGCGTGAATTTCTGCCGAAGATATACCCCTTCTTTTTGGTGATTTTTTTCGTTTAATTATCATTTTGGCGTGATTATTAGTGATAATCATGTTGTGGCCTTGGGTTGTACAGAAAGCACGTTAAATCGCTAATCGTTTAGCACTTTTTCACCTCACATATATATAAAATTTATTTGCCGCCACTTTTCACCGACACAGAGATCATTATCATCTTGGTGTTAATTTGTGTATATATATATTTATTTAAACGTGAAAGCTTCATCCACACTTTTATATTCTGATGCGGTTGCAGTTTCTTTTGATCCAAAAGAGAGGAACAAATCTATTGAGGGAAAAAACGGGTAAAATAGAATTTTCCTCTCTCTCTCTCTCTCTCTTAGTCTGGTAAACATGAATAATCAACATTCCTCCTCGCTATATTTGTATATATAAATTCCTTGACTTGTAAGTGATAATAGGGTACATAATAATAACATTTTCACTCGCGGCAAAATTAATTAAACATATATATAGCAATGTTGTTAAATATTACTCATCATTTTTTAAATAATTTTCAAACGTGTCGTTTATTATATTTTAATCTTGCCTTTTCTCTCTCACCCTCATTATATTTCATTAACACATAATTAATATTATGTTTCTTATTTTTTTATCACTTTTTTTCATTCTTTTTATAATACACTTCTTTGTACACGCGCAATTAATGATTTATTGTCTTTATTTCAATTGAACGAGCTTTTTTTCTTTTTAATTTTACTTTCTAACTAAAAATATTCTTCCAACTATTAATCGTATGTGGTTGTCTTTTAGCTTCTTTTATCATATTCCACGAGTTCTGAAAGATAATGCGAATATTTTTTTTTTTATTTCGTTCGTTAATTGTTTTCAAAACTGAAGTAATTTTTAAATGTTTTTCGCACTACAATTACACTGTAATTAAATTTTTATTTCACTGTTTATAAACATTTTTATTATTTAAGCAACTTTTTTTCTTCTGTCACTAAAGAAATGACAATTTTTGTTTCACGATTATTCGCGTATTAAAAAAAAAACCCCGAATTTGGTGACAATGAATATGTCATGTCGTGGACTTGAGGGTGGAAAAAATACATACACATAAAAAAAAAAGAAAGGAAATGATAAACTTTTGAGGTGAAGCACTTGTGGCATAAATAAGTCGGAAGAGAGATGATCCTTGAGGAGATGAAAGAAAGGAAGTAAAAGAGAAAGAAAGGGACGATATGAAGAAGAGAATGGTGACCACTCTCTTGACTGACACTGACTGACTGTGCCTTCAGCGAGAACTCCCTCGCACATATTTGTTCGTTCCCTCTTGTTGGGCTGCCGTTTTTAGTGCCTGTGTTATCTTATACACACATATATACATGCACACACAATTCTTTACCATTATATATGAAGAAACATCCAACCAAGAGTGAGCTGCAGTTTTGTACAACTGTGGAGATTTGCTTCTTCTTCCATACTTCTTGGAGGGGTTGCTCGTGCCACACTCAATATCATTGCCACGTGCTTCTATATATTCACTAATAACAGTAAACACTTTATCGTGAGCACGTTATGTTATCGTGCATTTCACAATACTCTCTCATCTTTTTTTACTTTTTCTTCCTTTTTTTTTTTGGTCCAGACGCTCCGAAGGTGAGCTTTTTATTTTCTCTCATATATTTCGTTATTGCAATTGTTATTATTATTGTTTTTGTTAGATTCTTCTGAATGGTTATTCTTTTTGAGAAACAGTTTCTTTTTCAAGTTGAAATTTTCTTTTTAAAAGAAACTTTTCAAGAAATAGAAGTTAAGTTTTAAACTTTTAGAAGTTAGGATGAAATTTGTTTTTCCGAAAGAAACTTTCTATTTTGATTCAAATTTGGAAAAATTTGTTATCATTATTTTTTTATTAAGTTAGCGATAACGAATCCCACCGCTGTCACTCACTAAAATGTGTAGTTAAATGCTGATTAGTTCGCACTCAAACTAGGAGTCGCCTTATGTAAATAAGATCTTATCGCGAATTCCTTACAAATTGTTCTTTGACTCAAGGATCAAACTTTAAACGATTTTTGAAAATATTAAATATTCCAGAAGTGAGTCGATGGCAAATAAATGAAAGATAATATGAAAAAAAAATTTCGAATTAAAAATATTAACTGATAGTTATGAATTTTTAACTCTTATATTTTTTAAAAGTCAATGACTCCCGAATATTAGTTTTTCAAAGTTTCTTTTTTATGAGAGATTGACGTGTATAGATATATGAAATTGTAAAAACTATTTTTACATTTGAGGTAAAATTAGTGGTTCTTAAAGAGAAATCCTTCGTCTGAGTGTGTTGGGGATTGTTCGGAAAAAGAGATGTATATCGTTTGGGGGAAGGGGAAATGAAAAGAAGAGAGAAAAAAGCCGTTAAGAGAACTTGGCTCGGAAGTATGTTTATGCAACGTTACAGAATCACACCTGGACACGAGAATAACTTCAGACAGTTTGGAAAAAAAACTCCCTCGAACGTCACTCAATTCTATATATCAAAGATTTACTTTATTTTACAATAGACTCGTCACGTCTATTCTAAAATGAATAAGTATATATTATATATATTTTTTTTTGTTAAAATGATATAAAATCTATAATTACATAAAATTTCTATATTTTTTAAAATTATAATATATAAAAATTTAACGTTGTAAAAGTTAAATGAATCTAAAAATAAAATTGCGATAGACGAATAAAAACGCGTAAGGAATTTTATTTAGAGTGTTTCATAAAAGGGAAACATTTTTAGACGTCAATTTGAAAACACTTGAAACGCGGAATTTATGATAAATTAGAAGTGGAGGCCATAAAATTTCTAATTGTGATGGGAAATTGCTCAATGGATAGAGTTCGTTTGCAAGCACTCGTGTGTGTATGTGTGTTTTTAATGATAAAAACGATTTCAGTGGTATGGACGATTCTCTTAACATTACAGATGGGGATTAGGGTAGTCTAAAATAATAAAGCGGCAGCCACACACAGGGATGGAAAAGTGTTTGTTTTTTCAAAGACACGCGGCGGTCCAAAAATGACCCACCCGGTGTTCCATTCATGTCAAAAACGGAAAAATAATATTTCTTTCCTCTAGATTACGTCCTAAGTAACATATATACTAACATACGTAAATCAATATTTTTATGACAAACATATTATATCCAACTTCCACTTTTACGTATATATCTTAAAAACTTCTTATTTTTTCTAAACAATTTAAAATGTGTTTTTTATGGTAATAAACAAAATTCTGATATGATGGTTATTTTTGTCGGAAATTAATACTATTAAAATTTAATATTTATTTAAATATTTATTTTTTCTTTACTTCTTTAGAAAATAATTGTATACTTTCACTTTTTAATAAATTTTTTATTTTTTCAGTTCATGTCGGTACAACAATCAGAAGGAGAGAAAGGATGTGGAAGAAGAAAAGTGGTTCCTGCATGCTGCCGTATTTTTTGAAACTACCTTCGACGTGGGATTCATCGTTCGGTGAGTCATTTTTTTTATTATTTAATTTATAAATTGAATATTTTTTTAATTCTCTGTTAAAAAAAGGGAAGAAATTCCTTAAAAAAATTTTCTTTACCGCGAGTCATATGAATTACGAAAACAATTAGTTAATTTTTTCGCTGTGACAAACAAATGCGAAACAAAATTATTTTATTAATAACCGGAAACTATTATTTTTCTTCGCATTATTTACAAGAAAATAATAATAATTAATAGTAATAGAGGGATGAAAAAAATCCAAGTATTTTATAAAATAAATGTATATATTTATTCAGATTTTCAAATCCTTCGTTTCAATTGTTTACAAGGTTCTTCTTTTTGATCGCTTAAGTTTTTTCTATTTCGCTCTTTCTTCTTTTTTTTGTCAATTTGGTGTTCCAGTTTTAAATTACATACATTATAATCTTCTAATTAATTTCTCCAATTTGACCCTTATAAATACCTCCGCAATAGAGGAATTGACGAAACTTTTGAAATCTGCATTTTTTTCTAATTAATACAATAGGTATTTAAATTACTCTGCACCGCAGTGTGTTATTCCTCTTTTCTTTCTTTTTTTTGGTTTATTTTTTGTTTTATCTTACATCTCTTTCTCTCTTTCTCTCTCGATCATCAGCTGAATAAAGAAGTTATTAAACATTATTAAAATTTTCGTTGCTAAATGTATTTTAATGCGCTCGTTATATAATTATAATGATAATGATTGAATGATAATAAATAGATAATAATTAAAAAACGTTAAAAGCCGACTTGTGAAAAATGGTTTGACATTCGTAGATTTCGATGCACAATATACAAAGTGTGTTTGTCGTTTTGATGAAAAATTCTAAAGATCAGATCCATTATTTGAGATTTGCGAGGAATAATGAAAACTATACAACGCTTTTCCCTGGTCCCTCTGAAGCTATGTAAATGACGTATATAGAAAATTTGTTTCTATTATTTTAAATAAACAATTTTTTTTTATTGCTTCTGATCATTTAAATAAGAAATTAATTCAAAAAAATTACTTTTATAAGAGTCAATTTCGCGTTCAATTTTAGAAGATAAACAAATAATCGTAGAAATTTAATAAGGAACAATTGCTTTTTTATCGAACGCATGTTTTTTCGATTTATAAAATAAGTTAGGAATTTTGTGTATTTTTTTTTTGTTTTTACAAAAGAGAAATGGAAATATTTTTCGTTATTAATCACGCTTTATTGTGCTGGCTTTCATTCCAGTTTTGTCTGGTCTTTTAAGCTTTGAATTGTGCGGACGATTTTTTCCAATTATTCGCAGTCACGATTTTTTTTCAAGCATTAAGAACTCTATATATGCTGTTGGATTTTTTCGTGGACGAATATACGATTTTTTCGGGAATATAAAACAATAATTGTTGTTTCAATAAAAACGTTAATCGTTAAGCAATAATTTTTTAAAAGAATTTTTCTGTCACCAAAGAGTGCAGAAAATGAATTATTTACAAATACGATAAATAATAAATGAATAAAAATACATTTATTGTTAATTTAAAAAAAATAAAGTATTTTAAAAAACAAAAATATTAAATAAATTAAATAGCAGAGAAGGATTGTTTCAAGTTAGAACATTAAAGTATAATTATTCCCTTTCACCCAAGTGGAAATCTCAAAAAGATAATCACTTTCTTTCATTATAAATATATTTCGAAATTCTACTGCCTGAGAAGAAAATATGTAGCAAGTATATTGTATGCGTATTTTTTTTACAAACGTATAATATAATAATACGTAGCAATGGAATGTTATACAATGAACGATCCACAAAAGGATTTTTAATTTAAAAATCATTCAATAAATTAAGTACAATTTTTTCCGAATTTAAATATTCCTATAAAAAGTTTTTAATGTTTAATAATTATTAGAAAACTTTTTTAAGTGAATGTAAAAAATTTGTATACTAAATTATTAGCAAATTAACAAATAATATAATAGTTTTTTGTTTATTTAATAATATTATCCGTAAATATATAAGTAAAATTTTATTTTGCCCAAAAAAATGACTTTTAAATATTTATTGAATGATTTTATTTCGCGTTGGACGAAAAATGTACATAGATTACTTATTATATCTGTACATTGAAAATACGATTAAATAGCTCGCTTTATTTTATTTTTCATCTAAAAGTTATGATCCCACAAATCTGTAAAGCAAAGGCCTTTTTCATCTCATTGAAGGAATATTCATTTGTTTCGTTTTTTTGGGGATCAAAAATTTTTCATTATTATAAGAAACATTCTTTGGGCTATGAAAATGAAATTCAATAAATTTTTTCTTTCTAAATTCGGATAGGACTTGCGTTATAATACTCTCTACAATATCGTATAATATTATACGAATAACATATTATAAGATCAGTAGTATAGGCTATGTATGTTTATCGCAACATTATGTAAATATAATATAAGCGTCTTTTTTGTGCCCTAAGTTAATTTTTATTGTGTAATTTTTGTTTCACCAGTTGACGCTTCTTTTCTCAATAATCCATTAAATATTGTTTTTTTACCAAAAATAATAAACTCAATTTATATTAATAAATAGATGAATTTTTGATTATTAACTTTTTTAATTTAGTTGTAATTGAATTATTTAATTCTTATAAGTTAATAATTTTTGTTTATTTGTACGTTTTAATTTTTTTTTGGGTTTATATAGAATTTAAAGTAATTATGTATATAATTTTTCAATTGGACTTTTATATCTTAAATTTTTATTCATATATAAATGCTTGTATATTATTTAAATTTATAATGTTCCTTTAATGTATTAATTACTTTATTTTTTCTTTATATTATTAGTTTTTGCATTTTAGTTTTATTTATTTAATAGTATAAACGCTCTTAGAAGATAATATAAAATAATCTAATAAAAAATAAATAAAAATAATTTACATGAATTCATCATTGGATTAATGAGAAAAAAAGCGTTGCAGTTTATAGTATGAAAAACCGTTGAAATCTTGTCAAATCTGGCATTGGTCTTACAGCAGAGAATAAAATACTAACGCAATTTGGTTGCAATTTTTTTTTTCTTTTTTTTACGTTTATTATATAAATCGCGATAAGCGAGAAGTATTTAATTTAATTGGTGTTTTCGTATATTAATTCGTACGGATTAGCAATCAAATCTATATTTAAGTATTTAAATAAATGTATAATCTCGAAAATCCTAAAAGTGAAAAATCCCATAAAACTCAAAAATTAAATCGCTGATTGCCTCAGATTTGCGACACTTTTTTTTGTTTTACTTTCATTGAAAGCATATAATTTTTTTAAGCGTTTTCTATTTACAAGTTTACCTTTTAAAATAAAATATTCGAGGCAAATCCTCAAGTCTTTACAAATTGTTCATTTGCACATTTATTTCATCATAATTAGCAACGTGGGGAAAAACATGTTACAAATTATTCAATTAAAATCGATTTTAGTTTTTATATTCTTAAATTGAATTTTTAAATTTATGGTTTAATTAAGGAAATTTTTTCTCAAAAAACACATATATGACACAAACAAACACAATATGACAATTTTGTCATATTTTATTTGAATAATTTGTAACTAACGGGTGTTTTTTCTCCTTCTCACCGCGAAGACAGTTATGAGAATTGAAATATTAATATTCCGATGGGAAAATGTTTGCACATTTTCTTGATGATCCTTTCACGTTTTTTTTTCTTCTTCACTCAATTAGTTCTCTCCTGTCATATATCGTTGAAGTGAAGAGCTCTGTTAGAGAGGAGAAAAGGCCATATATATATATATATATATTTTCGGTGGAAAGAGTTGATTTGAAATCCCGTGTGTGCATATAGAATCAATGCATCATGCATTCATTCGCGGACATAGTCATTGACGTACGACACAAGTGGATTTGTCAAGAGTTCTCCCAATGTATTTTACGGCTAGGAACGTGAGTGGGGGTCGTGAAAGTCCAAATCCCTAGATTGTTCAATCAAAGTTAGGTCGCTTGCACTTTGACCCGGACTCATACTAGGAGTCACTATAATTTGAGTCCTTGTTGTTCCTAGCAAGGCCATGTTTTCACAAGAGGTTTCCTCTTCTTCTTCTTCCTCTTCCTCATACTCAACATCAATATCCGACGGTGGCGAATTTTCCATCGTACCTACAGCAGAGAAATGCGATATTTATTGATAAAAAAAAGAAAAAAATAGACACACGTATATACATTCACATACACATAGGCGAGACAATATAATGTCCCTCTTTCGTTTTATGTGCGCCACTAAAAGGTCAAAATGGTAAAGCTCAAGAGGCCCTCCGAGTAAAATATATTTATGTGAAAAGTATTTTTATATGAAAAAAACAAAATTATTATTAACTACCTTGAGAATTTGAAAAATTATCAACAAAAAAAAAAAATTTATTTTAACATTGATTATCAGAAAAATAAAACTTACTTCCCGGAGGATCTCTCGCAAATTTTTTGTATTGGAAATCATTTTTAATAAGACTCGTCATTCAGAAAAATCACAATTTTTATCTTCTAGCAGGAATGGGGTTATTAGCATAGATTTAAAAAAATAGGAAAAGAAAAAGAGAAATTTTTTTTTTAAACAATCAAAAGTAAATATAAAAATACTTTTTACAAGTTGAATCTATTGTTTAACACTTTCGTGAAATTCAATCAAAATTTATTGTTTGCTTAAAGGATGAACTTCCTTTCGTTTACCATGCAAATTTGAAACTTGAAACAATCCTGAACTCAAAATATTAATATTGCATTAATTTCAACAAAAGTTATTGTACTAAAAACAATTTTTTAAAAATAAATTTTAAATAAATAAATTTCTCTAATTATAAAAGCAAAATAAAAGGCAGAAAGAAATTCGGTTTTATTCCCTGAAAATAAAAATTTCGAAATGGCTTATTTCGGCTCTAATCCGAAACATTTAATGTAGCAAAATTATAAGATAAAAATGTAACTATTATATCGGTGAAAAATTAATTCTATATATATTTATATGTTTTTATATATTTTATAAAATTTTATAAAAAATAGAAGCAACTGATTGCTTTTATGGCAAATTAATTTTTCATCGAATACATTGGAAAGAAAAGGTCGCTAAAAACAGAAAATTGATATATCTAGTTGAAAATGAATAAAATAGAAAGTTTATTTACTAATTGCGAACATTCATGGAATGTGTATTTTTCGTGTTGCTTTATAAACTCAACTCTCTTCTCTCTCTCTCTATCCCGCTCTTTATTTGTGAATACATTTCGATTCGAACTCATTTTGTATGAGAGAGATTAAATATTAATATTCTTTTTTCGGATCCCCTCTCTTCTATTGATTGCTTTACAAAAATATTGAATTCTTCTCTTTTATTCAGAATTTTTAGTGATGAATAATTTATTAAAGCTCTGGACTTTATAACGTATCAGATACCTCGAAATTCCAATGGAATTTAAAAGTCAGATATCGCCTGAACAAAATATGGGATCGAACTACATATATTGTGTATATATAGATATATAGTGTGGGAGAAAAGTAAAATTAATGATCTTTTTGTCAAATCAAATAAGTCTCGCGACGCGCTGAAATGTCTTATATTTTTATTCTTATAGAACGAGTTATGTATCCTTTCGTACTACATGAAAATGTTTGTGTCAATTGAATTTTGCGGGAATAAATATTTTTTCATGACGCTGAATTTTTTAACTTTTAAGAAAGGAAAGAAAATAAAGAAATTATTGGTTCAAATACAATTTACTTAATTCAAAAAAAATTATTTGGTTCAAGTAAATATTTATTTGTCAATAGTCGTAAAAAAATTATAGTTTTTCAGTGTTTTTTTTTTTAATTTCAAAAGTTGCAGAATTCAAATTCATAGATTTTTTTTTCTCCCCCGAGATGGTATTAATTTTGAGGTGTGTAAACTATAACACAATCGTGCAACATTCAATTGGATTTGGGTGATCGAGCGATACAGAACTTGAGAGACAATTTTTTATGTCATGAATATAGGGTGCATCCAAATGGATATTAAATTGATCAATCATATACAGTGGACAGTTTTTAAACTGTTTGTTAATGAACTATATGCGATACTATAAAAATTGAATCTTTTTTTTTAATTAAAGCAAATTAGTTTATTTTATTTTTAAATTTACCTATCAAAGCGCGTTTTTCGTCTAAAGTTGAATTGAATTTTTTTTTTTTTTTATTTGTTCACTAAAAATGCAACACAAGTGTGACTAATTTCGTATAAAATGTATATAAAATGAAGTTTCGCGTATGATTTAGGATTAGGACTTACTGCGTTAATTATTTTTCACTACAACGAGGAGGTTGACGATCGATTGTTGAAAGTAGCTGAAAATTCACATAAATGTTTCGCTTAAATAATTGCATGCTACAATGCATCTATGACTTATCTATAAAACCTCTAGCTAATTATTTTTTTTACAATGAAAAGCCAATTTTTCTCTTTCAAATAAAAAAATTAATAATATTTTAATTAATTATTATTAATGATAAAGAATTGCCAATCTAAATAATTGAATAATTATTAAATAAATACTGAAATAATAGAAGTACACTAGAACTTGAGTTATTGAGACAGACTTAATAATTCAAGTTTCAGTTTACACAAAAACTTTTAGAAAAATGAAAATTAGTTTTAGAAAATAAAATTTCTGATAGAAATAAAAAAATGTATAGAGCCAGGAGTTTATTCACAGAAAATATATATACATTTTTTAATTTATTTTCTTGAAAAGTATATAAAAAATACAAGAAATAAATCTTGTGGGAAAATTTGAAAAGGATATTTTCTGCGAATACATTTTCTTTTTGGATGACTTTGCGGGTGAATATATACATATACATATAAATATATATATGTAATTGGAGAATTTTTGCTTGAGATTTAAATAATCCGGATTTACTTAGACACTTACCAGCAGATTCAGTTGTGCTTTGAGGCAAACCGGAAATCCCGAAGACGCGAGAATCCTCATGTTTGGAGTCTGCTTCTGAGTGTGTAGGCACCGTGATCACCACTTCACCTTGTCGGTGAGGCGTTATTTGATACTTTGTACTCGACTTGACTGCTCTAGGATCAATGGGAGGTGCAAAATGCGAAGGAATTGAACTGGAAAAGAAAAATATTTTTCGAAAAATTATTCAACTATTTACTATATAGAAAAATATCATCAAATCAAGAATTTAATATATTGGAATCAAGAGATTAAAATTATGGTCAATTTTTGATTAAGAAAAATTATTTGGTATCAAAGAGAGCGAAATTCGAAACCAAGGAAAATGGTTGAAACAACAAAATATAAAAAAATTTACAATCAAGAACCAAATGGAATATAAAAATTGAGACAAACGAAAATAAATGAAATTGACCCATCTTAAATATCATATATATTGAGATTCCATAGTTTATCGGACGAACTTCAATCATTTTATGATTCGATTAATTCGAGGATTACGATAAGGCGTGAACGTCCTTTGATTTATATGGAATTGAACCTCCAAAGTACCGGTCTATTGTGCCTATATACTGCCAAGCTAGATTATCAGCTCTCTGGTGATAAGGGTTATAGGGGTAGATTTACCGGAAGTGAACTCTTTTTTTTTCTTTAACTTTTACAAGACCTCATATTTGGAAAATTCTTATCTTATCGATTTTCAGTTCTCCCTTCTTCTCGATATCTACTCTGTTTTTTATTGTTCTTTTTTTTGCCTCGAGCGCACCTCTTAATATCAGTTTCGGAAAAAGTTTTCCTCGTTTTTTATTCGCAAATTATTTTCAAAAAAAAAAAAAAAAATTCCCTCGAAACTTTTGCCCATTAACCTTATCTTACTTGAAGGTTATTATTAATTAGAGAAAGAATTTTTTTTATTTAGTATATACAAGATAAAAAAGATTTGCTTTAGTAAATTGATGTTTTTTTAGAAATTAAAGTTTTCTTTTATTTTGTGGTAGAATTTTGTCTATATATACAAACCTTAAAGTGACTCGTTTTTTCACTCGACTGGAAAGATCCGAGTGTCCCCGATGTATCGGTCTCGGTTTTTGCTTTTCGTTTTCTCGAAAAGAAGTGGTGGTCGGTGAACTCGGCTCGGATAATTGTTTATCTACTAAAATCGGCTTTAGTACAGTCGACATGCTCGGTGGCTCCTGTACATTAACGGATTGATATTCGGGTTCAGGTATCGGTAGTGCCAAAAGTCGTTTTCTATCCTCCATATAGAGCTCTAACAACTGATCAAGTTTGGCCTCGATGTCATCGACCTGTATAAACCATCCACCAAATATTAAATTACATACCTTTACCGATAATGTTTGATAATCAAGTTACAAACATTTTCCCCTCTCAAAATTTATATATACATAGGAAACATTTTATTTTCAAAAAAAAATTCTCAAGCACTAATTTTATAAATTATATAAATATTTAAATAAAAATATTCGGTAAAATAAATTAAATTTGAGTTATAATTTTTAAAGTTTTTTTTATTTTCGCTTCACGGATTAAAATATGAAATATTTATTACATAAATGGAAAAATGTTACATAAAATATTTCAAGAGATATAATAAAGTTTTGATAAATAAAAGTTGAAATGAAATAATAATAAAACGATAAATGAATATTGTTAACGAGTGAAATAATAAATTGATAAATAAATATTGTGATAAATGAGTAAATTGGAAAATAAATGTCTAAGTAGATCAGATTACGTAAATAAAAATAAATGATAAATTAATAAATTCGTAAAAAAAATTGTAAAATAATTTTTTGTACTCACCTGTCTCTCGATAGTGACAACTCGTGACGCTAAACTCGTTTTCGAAGCATAGACATCTTTGGCTTTAGAACCTTGTTTACCCAAAATTTGATCTAACCTGATATATGAAAAAGAAATTCAAAGATAAATAAAAATTTGCAAATTTCTTCTTTTTTTTGAAAAAAAACAGGTAAAAAGCTAAGTTCAAAAGCTCACAACGCGTATATGAAAATTGCATGCAAGAGAACACAAAGTGCGACACTACCATATATAAAGAAAAGTGCCAACATCAAAGAAAAATTTGTGTTAGAAAAACACGAACAATTTGAAAAAAAAGCTAAAATTCGAGGTTCATACGAGAAGTGTTGAACTTCTTCTTCTCCAAACCTATTTTTTTCATTATTTTTATAATATTGAAAAAATTAGTCCTGTTTCTAAAGCATAAAGCGTATATAAATTAATCAAAGGGATTTATGGATTTTAAAATGCAATAATACAGGGTTTAAAATTCTATTTTCATAAATTGATTACAAAAAATAATTAATCTCGAAATCATGAGGATAAAAATGAATACAATTTTGCTTGTTATATTATTGAGAGACAAAAATAATAAACAGTTTTCACGATTTGGATCAATCGAGAATATACGTCTTGAAATTTTGAGCTTTGTTAAATTGAAGAGTTGTTGTTGTACATGGAAAATAAAAAGCTCTTTAAAAAAAAGAAAAAAAAATTGAGAGTACTAACTCATCCCTGTATTATCCTGAAAGGGATCGATGCAAGCTCTCGAGTACCTCTTGCGAAATCTCGTTTCTTCTTAAAGAAGAAGTAGAATGGGAGCATCGACGCGACGATGGCGATAGAAAGGATAACGCGGGTTGGCAAACAAGAAGCAAGGATTTAGCGTCAAACAGGCTCTTGCTTCAAAAGAAAATTATTGGGTTAGGCATCTCATTAGACGACAATTTTCTATGAAATATGATAAATAAAATTTTAATTTATTTCATTTTGCAGTATTTGAAAGTAATTTGAAAAAATTGGCTTTTATATTGTAAAAATTAATTATTTTGTTGTTTTAAAGTAATTTTAATTTTTAGGCCTTATTTTTCATAATTAAATGTTTTTTTATATTAGCAATTATAAAATTGTAAAGTACATTTCGCCTAATGTATTTTATGTAACGAAAAGAAGTTTCAATGTGAAAATTTCCAAAAGGGAACTTTCAATTTAATAAGAGAAGTGGTTTTCAATGAAAACTCCGTTTCGTTGCGGAAATTCGGTGAATAGGAAATTGTAAAAAAAAATGAATTTTAAAAAAGCTGAACAAACTACAGGGTCATGTAATATATTTTATATAATGGAAAAGGGAGCGTATATAATAATAAAAAATAAGAAAGTGAGTGAATTCGAAAAAAGCTTTTTTTTTTAATTTTTGAGATTCGACGAAGGTACTCGAAGGGTGTACCTGAACTGAAGGTTTCGTACGCGATTCAGGAGATCCGCATGTCCCGAGCTGTATTGTTCGATCACATCCTTTACATCATAGGGCTTTAAGGCTTCCCTGAATTTCTTCCGTGCCACAAAGTATCTCAGCTACGCACACATTTACGTTTTATATTTACTCGTCTACGATTGCAACTTATCGTGTAATTTTTTATATTTTGTTGTAAATTTAATTATAGAAAAGAAATGCATGATTATTCGACAAAAATCATTTTCATTTTAAAGTATTCTATTAAATATAATTATTTTTTTGACGAATTTTCATTTTTCGAATTAGCAGTTGACAAAATTTATTTTTAAACGAATTTTACTTTGCAGAATTTTAGTAAAAATTTGTTTAAAAAGAAATTCTAGGCTAATTCGAAAAAATCATGCCCTATATGTTTTACAATATTTTTTTGGGGAATTAGAATAAATAATTAATATGTGAAAAATTGATTTAAAAAATTCTTTAATTTTAAATTATTGCCACAGGAATATTAGAATTTTTCTTGATAAATTTTGAAAATCTGTTACAATATTTAAATATTAGGCAATCGTAGATGTGCTTAAAATCACAATAGTGGATGCTGTAGAAAAATGAAAATTGAGATTTACATAGATGTTAGAGTAGAAAAAAAATGACATGCACATTTTCTCGTTAAAATGGCATCGCAACACGACCAACAAATAGGCATTGTTTTATGTATTTCTTGTAAAAAGGCTTGAATATTTAAAAATTAAGAAAAAAATATATCGTTAGTTTAAAAATAATAAAATTCTTTTTATAAGACATTAGATAAATTGTTTATTTAAGCCTTTATAGAAGATAGCCACGTGAATGGATGGATTGATGTGGAATTGGAAGGGAAAAAAAGTGAAATGGGTTCACTATAGTATATCCAAGCTCTCTCTCCTTCCAGGGATCTGCATTCAGTTCGTGATACAGTCCTGATGAGCTTGAGAGTTTATAAGCAGTGAGTCTGAAAGGGTGGGAAATGAGGATGACAGAATAGGACAGAGCTTGCAGCAGATCGCAAGATTGGATCAGAGAGAGACAGAGATAGAGAGAAAGTAAGAGAGTGAGAGGGAGATCTTTCTGAGGATTTACTGGGAGGAAAATGAGCGCCAGAGAATTTGTCCAGAGTTTTAGATTATCAACTAATTTCACTTCTAGAGAAATACCTCAACACTATTTGCAATCTGGCATACACTTGAAAATACATTCCTTATTTCTAAAGAAAATTTTTCTATAAAATATAAAGTATAAAGAATTTATCATTAAAAATTCTATATCCACAATTTTTACCTTATCGAACTTTTTTTTTTAGAATTTTTTCAATATTTAATGAAAAAAATTTACCATATATGTATCATATATATAATTTTACTATTTATATATATTTCACAAACTTATTACAATTTTAACGATTCAAATATGCACTTTCTTCTCAGACATGCATAAATGTTCAGTTTCAAATTGTAAAGTATTTTAGAAAACTACATTCACAAACTCTCATTCCCGAACTCAAATAATGAAATGGATTAAATATAGAATATCGAAGGAAATTGGGGGTTAGGAGGGGTGGTGGTGATGCTGGAAAATACTGAGGAAGATGTTTTTCTTATCAATTTTATACGCTTGATCCAATTTGAACTGATTAAATCTAATTTCAATTTAAAATTATACAAAGTTTATTGATTGAAATATTAAATTTAAAAGGAACAAAAAAACAGTAGACTAATAAGTAAAAGAATAAAAAAAATATATATACAGAAATAAATGCAAGGAAATATAGAATTATTCAAATTTATTCAGTTTTATTTCTTGAGAGTTAGATTACGGTTTAAAAGTTTTCATCAAGATGAGAAAAAGTCGCATTTTTCAGTGGCACAAACGTGCGAAAGCATGAAATCCCTCAGATTTTCCCCTAATGAGAGGAAGTATTTTATAGGGTCAAAAAAAGTAGAAACAAAACAAAACACTTTGGTGTGATAGAGATGAAGGATAAGGATACCTAGTTTGGATATTTTTCACGCGACCGAGTAGATCAACATGTCCGGCGCTGTATTGCTCGATGACATCCTTAACGTCATAAGGTTTCAATGCTTCTTTGAATTTTCGTCTGGACACGAAGTACTTCATCTGACACGATAATTATATTAAAATCATAATTTTTAACCCGTTTTTTAATGTCATGACAATCGATCCTGCAACGATATTTCAAATTTAACAAACTAATTAATTTTTGTTGTTAAAATTCAATTTTTATTTTAAACAATTTATTAAATTGTTTTACAAATATAATTCTTGTCAAGTGTAAAGACAAATTTTGATGTTAAAGATCAATTTTACAATTTCTCGGTTCCATGAACTTTTTCGACCTTTAAAGAAGCGATAGTAAAGTCAAAACGAGTTTATCGCGATAAAGTTTTGAAAGTACCTCTTTGAGTCTTCTTTATAATTAGTTGAGAAATTTCTGCTTTAAGGTGCATAATTCCGTGTTTTGCACCAAGCGTGAGATGCGCCTTCATTTCCACTATCAGTTTCTTGTTAAGAGCACTCAGTAGACTGTGTCATTCATGCCTTTCAAACGAACCTAATTTTCTATTGTCAACTGCGTGCTTTTTTTATCATCTACATTCCAATTTTTGGATACAACATAACCAAAGATAAAAATATCCATTGCTTTTTTGCAAGATTTTGAATTTGTTATTCCGATTTAAAATTCTCGTTTTCTCTTTTAATCGCTTTTTCAAATTTTGTTTCTTTATTGTCGTTGCTGGATCGATCGTGGACTGATAATAATTCTTTCAAAAAGAGAAAAATGATACGTTTCTTATTCTAAAAATAATAATATAGTGAAAAGTTGGAAAATAAATTTTCGTTTATTCAAAACTCACCTTTCGAATAGCCCTAATAGCACCTTTATGTTGATTTGTCAATTGAACACACCGTCGAGGTTCGTCGTCTTCATCTGTACAAACAAATTTTTTAAAGAAAAATTTATGTACACATTCTGGGGGTCGATTATGTAAATCCATTTTCATTCCCACTTCTATTTTCACTTTCAGTTTTTCCTATTTCCACTTCCACTTTTTTTTAATTGAAAAAAGTTAAAGTGGAAATGGAAATTGAAATTGAAAAAGAGGAAGTGGAAGTGGATTTACAAAATCGACCCACTGTAGAAAAAAGGGGTGGTAACTACTGTTTTTTTTCCAAAAATTTCGTGCAATTTCATCCGCTAATTAGCATTATTCCTTCATTTTCATCTCAAGGAATATTATGACTATTAGTAAACTATTTTTTCCTAATAATTTTTTCCATTTTTGTAAATGAATTTTGTAACAAATTGTCAGTGGTATAAGCAGTTTTTGGTCGGACATCACCTCCAGATTGCCTTTACTTTCACTGTTGTTCTTTTGTCATATTGTTATCGTAGGGGGTTAGTAATTAAATATAATGAATTTTTATATAAAATATAAGAATTACAATTATGATAATAATAAAAATTATATTCGTAATTAATCAGTATTATTAGTTAGTAGAAAATGAAAAATATTTAATTTAAAGAACAAATGTTCTAATTAGCTTTTTTAAATTAAAGACGACAGCTAATTTAGTGAAAATTGGCTGCCGTAAGTAAGGTCACTTGATATTTTCATTCGTCAGTTATTACTGACTTAATGTACCGAAATTTCCCCTCCTAACAATTTAATATCTTTCTCGAGTTATTCGTAAAGGCAATTCTGAAAAGTAAATGCCAAGAATTGAGTTTGTGTTACTTTCAAGGAGGCGCAGTTAACATCCCTTTAAATATTGACGTCTAGAAAGCAGAAATTTTTTTTTTTTTAATTTTCAAAAAAAAAAAAAAAATTTGTTAATTATTTTTACAATTTTTAAAGGCTTTGATATTTAAATATTAAATTATTTATTTATATATTTAAATATAAGGTTATTGTTAATAATTTTAATATTTAAACGTTTAACATCTAAATTATATTATTATTTTATTTTTCGTGAAAGTAAAATTGAGAAATGAGAGTAAGTGTAATAATTCGGCAGTCCTTAATATTGGTTCCTTTTTTCTCCCTCTGGGGAGATATTAAATTTTTCTCAATCACCCAAGATCGTAAAAATAGGGCATGGGGGAAGTTAATTAATGTTTCAGGCTTGAGATAATAAGATCACCTATGCCTTTGAAGTATGATTTAATATGCAAATTACTTAATTCTGTTTTATGGCGAATACGTGAAAAACTCTTTTTTGTTTAAAGAAAAAATTTTCAATACCACTAAAAATATATTCCTTGTAATATTTATATTCTGTTTGATATGTATAATATATAATAAATAATACAACATAATAAATGAATGTGTGCTCAACAGCTATAATAACAAAATAGATAAATTAATTTGGTGCTTTTTCGTATAATTAATCATAATAATTCATTAAAATTTAATACTTTTAATATTTTATATTATATAATTTTTTTTATTAATTATTTATTTAAATAATACAAGTAAATAATTTAAGGTAATACAAAAATAAAATATAAATTAACAAATTTTGAAACATTGCAAAATAAAAATTTCAGACCACCAACATTTTAAGGGATGAACAGGCCTTTCTATATTTATTTATCTACGAAACGTACCAGACATTCAGTGATAGGGTTTAGAGCTTTTCACTTGCTATGAGAAACGAGCATGTCACCTTTTTGCAGAGCAGAACAGTTTGAATGCTTCAATATTTTTTTTACTTTTATGTTTTCAACGAGTATTTGCGACCGTCAAAGTTAAGCAAAAGTTATGGCTTTAAAAAAAAATTGACAAACAAAATCCTCTTTCGTTTAAAAAGCATCGCAAAAATAGAACAAAAAAATATATTTTCCATTAATTTGAAATATTATATATATATAATTTAAAAAAAATTATTAGAATATTTTTTTTAAGTATTTATTTTCTTAGAATTTTTAAATTAAAAGGAAAACTTTTGAAGGTGAACCGCAAGTTTCTGGAAACCATAATTTTTGCTTATTCGTGATTTCGGGAGGAAATTTCTCTAATTACAAAACTAGAAATTAGACAGCAATAATGCCAAACGACCAAAGCGTGAAGCAACTTAATGAGCGTGCATGCTAAAAAGCACAGCAACTTAATTACAAGAAGCAAAAAAAAAATGACTTTTAGTCAATTATCAAATACGAGATCGTGATTTATTTATTTATTTGTTTTAATTCTTATCGTAATGAGTTTTTTTTAAGTTTAAATTTACCTTTTAAATATTCGATTTCGTTTTTTAATATCAATAAAAATCAAAATCAGTTTTATATAAAAAAAAAAAAATTTCAATGGTATATTAATAATAATAAGTATGGGCTATTTTAGAATTCCTATAAAGTCTGAGGTATAATATACTCTAGAGAGAATCCAATGTGCGTGACTTGTGTGTAAATTTGATAAACGACTCAACCACAACGCACATTGGTACAATTTGGAGTGCTAATAAATCTTCAGTTTACAGTTAATGGTTTACAAGCAATTTAGCTCTATATAGATCTATACACACATCTCCCGTGAGATTTGACTTTCTGATTGCACGACTAAAAAAATACTCTATATATACATGTATACAACTTGTCTAAACAATGTTCACGTTTTAATGTCTTTAATATAGGTATATATATATATATGATGCAAAACATGCAAAAGTGGTATTTATAGGAAATTGTGAAAATTAAAACATGTGGAAAATAAATGCAATTGATCGAAAATGGCTTTAAAATGCATACGAATTATCGGGATATATAAAATATTTATCGAAAATTATAAGCACACTTGGGAAAAAAAGTAGGAAAAAAACTGGAAAATGGAAAAAATATATGGAAAATGGATAATATAGATAAGAATATGAAAAATGGCTAATGACGCGAAAAAATATTTTATTAAAAATTAGAATATTTAATGGGACCCTAAAGACTTATTTCTTCCCTTAAAATAATTTTATTTTTAAATATTATATTACATAAACATATGTAGTATATTAAATAAATAAATTTTTTATAGAATTAAATGAAATTATATTTTTATTTAAATAATAATAATAATGAATAACAGTAAAAATAATTGAATACATACATTAATATTAGTTTTATAAATTAAATGTTTATTTATAATTAAATCTTAAAAAAGGAAGTAGTAGAGTATAATTTGATTGAGGTAAACGAAACGAAGTTGTTTGTCTTGATGATGAAAAAGAAAACGAAAAGAAAATAGTGTCAGTTTTGTGATGTTTAGTGAGGAAATACCTGAAACCTCGAGAGGTGTCGTATATAATCAAGGATGGAGGGTCCTGAAAAGAAGCTAAATAGAAGAAGAAGAAGAAGAAAGAAGAAGAAAAAGGAGTGTTGCGTACTCTTTTCGGAAGTCGGAGATGTATTCGGGGAGGTCGGCGACCCTAGTAGTTCCGGTAGAGGGGGAAGCGGGGACACTAGACCAGCAAGTGCTAGTGGCAGGGTGGAAGTTTCCCCTAGACGACCGATCAGTCCGTCGATGCGCAGCTCACGAAGTTCAAGTGTAGATGACGATCTTCCAATCCGGCACTTTACTGCTTCGCAGGAAACAGCCCCAAGAAAGCCTTGGTCAGTCGAATCAAATTCAGGATAGCCTCAAGATTGCTTCCGGTGTTTATTTTATTTTATTTATCTTTTTTTTTCTCTTTTTATTTTTCATTTTTTCTCTTTTGGGTTATCAATTCGATTTGGGTCACACGATCAGATTTCAAAGTATACAAAAAGTGTGCGAAAAGAAAACAAATATCAAACTCACCAATATTGAGAAAAATTTGCCCCAATTATTTGTTGACTATTATTATATTGAATTTGAAAAAAATTATTATTTAGATTTTAACAAATAAAATAGAAAATTAGTATTTGGAAATTTAATTAATAACTTTAAAATTAATTTTGTAATTATAGAAATGTAATTAGCAACGTTGAAAATATCAATTAGCTTTGGAAATGTATATATAATTATTTTATGTTCAAAAATAATTACAACTAGAGAAATATTATATTTGCTTTAATTAGTGAAGATAATGAATTAATAATTTTTGAAAACTACTAATTAGAAGTTTTAATTTGTAAATTTTTTAATTTTGCAATATAAAATTGTAATTAATAATATATCTTTCAATTGTGATTCAGAACTATTCGTTTAATAGTGGACTTTGTAAATAACTGATAATGCGTAAATTAGGGTCAACTTTTTTTTCAAAATGTCAGACTACTTTTAGTAAATATTTAACAAATAAATGGTGTGAACTTTTCTCAAATGAAGGTGGCAAAATAGTTAGCGGAAATTTGGTGATTTAATTATTTAATAGAAACTTATTCACATCAAAGACAAACAATATAAAAAATTAAATTAAAAATATATATTAAAAATCAAAAATAGTTTTATTTGTTAGCTAATGAAATAAAAGAGCAACAAGAGAATTTTTATAAATAAAAAAAATTGTGGAATTTTATTATTAATTTTGAGAAATCGATGAAATAAAACTTAGCCGTGTTTGAAATACTTTAAGAAATATGTGCATTACGTGACACATATAATATTTTATAAATAATTACCTGATTATGATGTTTGAGAATATCCATTTTAAAACTAGGTATTTCCTCATATATAGATATACGAAAATATGAATTTTTTTTTAATAGAAAAAAAAGAGAACAGGCTTTGCGCGTCAGAGCCCCAATCAAGCACAATGAGAAAATAAAAAAGAAATTTTTTCTTTACGAAAGAACGATATAAATTTTTTTTAAAAAAAAAGTTATTGAGAAAAAAATACATTTTTTCTTATTAAAAACGATTCTACTATATACTAAAAAAAAATTATTTTGCAATACTGATTAAGCAAATTACAAAATTGAAATTATATAATATATAGAAAAAAGCAGTTTGAGCATTTTGCTGCAAATATGTATAAAAGACGAAAGTTTTTGATACGTGTGCTTGTGTTATCAACATAGACAGTTGTTATATAGAAAATAGCATTTGCACTATCATACGAGTTTAGAAATTAAAGACAGAAAAGTAATTTTTACGAACTATATAGCTATATACGACATAATAATATAAGCTCTGATATTTTAAACTTTCAATATTAAGGACTGTCACTAATTTTGAGTGTTAGATATACATATATTTCATTTTATGTTTTTCAAATTTTTAATTTTTAAATTGATATATTATGTTTATATGAATTTCATGTTGGATATTATTCCATGTTTAGTTCATTATTTATTTTATTCGAATTTTGACAAAAAATTTACTTACCGTCAGAATTCTTCTTCAGTAAGGCCGTTTCTGTCACTGAATCTTCCGAGTAACTTGCATTTATTCCAGACCCAGTTTCGTTGTTATTGTGACCATTATTATTGTTCATATTAGTTGGACCACCTGAGGGGAAATATTTTTTTATTATCATTATCATAATTATAATATTTATTATTAGCAAAAATGAATTAAAAATAATTACATGTTTGGTACAGTAAAAACAAAGTAGGAAATTGTTTACAGTAGCTTAAAAGTAAAAAAAATTAGTTTTAAGCCGATTTTTTGTCTTAAAATAATTTTAATCTTCTAACGTTTCGTAACTTTGTTTTTACCGTATATGAAGAAAAATAGCTTTTTTTAAGTGTTTTAAAAAGAGAAGTTTATGTACTAAACGATCTTTTTATTAGTACTAAAAAAAATGATGTCAACAATATTTCATAAGTTACGATTGTAGCTGAAGTTAATCGTGGATTGTCGAAAGACTTAATGGCAGAGTTATTAAAATTTGTATTTATTTATTTATTTTTTTTATTTGAAAGAAATTTTTTTCCCTATTTATAAAAAAAAATTACCTAAGTTTTCAGCTGATGATATAAAATCGGTGAATCCCCTCGTAACATTTCCTCTATTCGTGTAACTCGGATGAACTGATTTGTATAAATTGGGACTGTGTAATGATGTACTCTTGTGCCTTCGAATGGTTGGAAGACGACTGACGAATGATGCGTTTTGCTTAAAACTAGAAGAAACTCGACTTCTATCATAAAAAGATAGAAAAAAAAAATTGTTAAGATAACAATCTTTCATCTTTGTTGTCAAACTTTAGAAAACATTTCCAATTATTTTATAGTTGTTAAAACTTTTCCTTTTCTTCTCGATATTCTTAGAAAAATTGTAAAATGCGTTATTATAACATTGATTTTTCTCGTGAAAATGAAAATTTGGTTAAGGAAAGTTATTTAGACAATTAAAAAAATAAAAAATCGGAAAATAGTTAAAATATCTTGGGTTATATATTCTGAATAAGTAGCTTAATTGAGTTACCCTGGAGGGCTAGGAAGTGGAATTTGATGAATTTTCCAAGTGGCAACACTGGCACTTTGTTCATCAGCGGCATAACATCGCCAAAGCGCTTGAATGAGACTCGCAGCCGGTTGCCTTCTGCGAATCATGTGCTTTTGCCTCTGTTGCTGCTGGACTTTTAGAGCAAAGCCGGATCCCAAGATGCCCTGTGAAATACAACCTCGTTATCTCTCTGAGACCTCTCCTCCCCCTACATTTTTTCCTTCTTTTTTTTCTATATATATATATATACATATAGATATTTTTTTTGCGTCTTGCTTTTGACCTATGCGCCTCTTGATCTCTTTGTCCTATTCTCAAAAGACGACGAGCAACTTGGGTAGAAACGAGGCGAGGGTTAGAGGGTTGGTTTTGTCGGGAGAAAAATATATATCTGAAATTCCCACTACAATAAAACTGAATAAGACTCGAGAGTTCGTAACATGTGTTTGTGTCTGCATTATACGAGGCAAGTGACGACAACAGTGGTAAAATAGAAAAACAAAATTCGAGGGGAGGGAAAAAAACTCAATTGTCGTACAATAATTATCATAATTAATTAATTATTTAATTAAAAGAAGAGAGTATTTTTTTAAATATCTTCTTACACTTTAAAAATTAATTTGATTCCAATGCTTCATTTTTTTTCTGGCAATTTTCCAAAAAACTGTGTTTGTATTTTTTTTTTAAATTCTCATTCTCCAATTACTGTCTAAATTTAAATGTAATACGTGTCAGTTGAAAAGTACTTTTCATGAGACGGATCATTAAAAATATACCAGGACTTGAAGAAACACGTCCGAGTAATAATTAACAAGATGAATATCTTCTTCTCCCCCAAGAAAAGATTCAATTTTCGTATTATTCATACAATTTGTTAATTTACTTTATCATTTTCAATATAATAAAAAATTAAAATAAAAAGAAATCGATAAATACTTACAGCTGGTAAGGCAAAGAAAGATATTCCGAGTAGGGCACAAAAGGATGCGATGATTTTTCCCTGCCAAGTTTTTGGAACAGCATCACCGTATCCTACAGTACATAACGTGATCTAAAAACAAAGGAACAAATTTTTGATTGGAAAAAGTTGTTCTAAAAGAGAAAAAAAGAAAATATATTGAAATTGAATGCATTTTATTGCCTCGTATATATATTTAGCATTTTCTTTTTTTATTATGTATGTTTAAGATAATCAAGTTTTTCTTTCTTTCTCTTTTCTTATACTCATGACGTCAAACCCCCAACATGACCCTAGAAGTTGTTGCCTAAGGCCATCTCTTTCCCCCTTGCTTATTGTCTGAGACAAGCTCTCTTCATACAGTTTTGTTCCTTTCACTGTTATTTGCTAAATTTAGAATGTACTCTTCGTAAATTAAGTTTTCTTTTCTTTTTTTCTTTTTTTTTTAATTTTAAAGTTACATTTCAACATTTATTCGACTATATAATAATACCCACGTCATTATACGTACGTGTCATTTTTATATAAATGAAGAGCAAGAACAAATGAAAAGTACGTGTACTGCGAATAAAAATGTCCGCCTTCTAAATGAAAATTTATGTTTTATGAATAAAAGGGAAAAAATGTATGTCTTGTCAAATATGGAAATGACAGATTTGCAAAGACAGAAAATGTAGAAGCATTTTTATTTTTATTATTATTATTTATTTTTTTTAAAGATATTATTTCTAAAATCTCTATGATTTAATAAATTCTTTACTCACCACTCCCCACCAAAGTGCTTTGGCAAAATTATCAAAATGTACGTCATCCTTTTCGGCGAGGAAAACCAAAAAACTGGCAAATATTAAACCGAGAAAACCAATATATAAAGTTGTGATGAGTTCCTGAAACATATTGTAAAAATTTCCTTTATAAAAAACATACTCTCCCTCATTTTTTAAAAAAAAATATTTTCTCTTTTCTTTTTTACTCGACCAATTAGGTGACAATTTTTTTTTTTCATTGTCAATATATGATTCTTTCTTTCTTTCTTTTTTAATCTGAACATGATTCAAGCAGATTATGAAACGCAATTTCCGCTATGACAATTTTCGATTTGAATACTCAATGAAGATGTATTTCCTTCTCAATAACAAGTCACGTGTTGATCAATATATAGCTTTATAAACGAACGCAGTTCTATATTATGTATATATATGTTTATTCTCAAACTTGACGTTTCTATATATTCTCCACATCTATTTTTGGGATAATATACTTTTCAGTTCATTGCTTCACATCTTGGACTCTAATTTTATATGTACTCGCAAGGAAAATTCACCCCCAGACACAAATAATATGCGTTCGATTTTTTTTTTCTCTCCTTTTTGTTCTCCTCGTCTTCTCATGAGAATAATAGAGAATTTAAATTCAGCTCTCTCAGTTTCGTTCTTTTTTTGTAATTTAAAAAATTTTTCCACAAAAACAAATTACGTAACAATTTTTTAGCTGATCTATATATAATTTTTTTTTTTTTTAATATAAATTTGATTCACTTGGGAAATTTAATTAAGTGAAAAAAATAAAATTACCTGACGATGGGCATAAACGACACTTCCGAGAAGTTTCCATGTCCCTCCGCGACGATCCATTCGGACCATTCGTAAAATTTGGAAAAAACGAAGTCCCCGTAATGCGCTCGCCGCAAATACACCGCTGCTTCTCATAGCGAGGACAACAACACTTGCGAGAATTGTTATTACATCTGAAATAACATTTTAGTGTCGTAAAAATTTTTTAAATGATATTTTTTTATATTTTTTATCATAAAATTAAAAAAAAATTTTTTTTAATTAAAATAAGAAATTTTTAAATTTGAAAAAAAGTTAAAATATTATATATTGAAGTATATTTGAAAAAACCTTTGCCCTCGTTTCTTATTTTGACAATTTAAAATCAAAATATCCCTGACAATAAAACGCGACTGCAAACGCTGCACATTCTGCGGGCTCACATAAATAGAGAAAGAAGTTCCTGTCTAATTAGCACTTAAAAAGTCGCTACTGTAATTGCAATGAAATCCCTTTTATTTATTTATTTAGCTAATTAGTCTGGAATAATTGTGTCACAAGTTGAATTTTGAAAATATTTATTATAAGCAAAAAATGATATATCTATAATTTAGAAAAAATATTTAAAAAAAGATGACTTTCAAGAAATAACGATTTTTTCGAATTTTAGAATTCTAAAATTCGTGAATACTTTGTTGGCGATATCTTTTATATATCACATAAAGAGAATTTTAATAATTCATTACACATAATATTAAAGGAACCTTGATAACAGTGAAATTCGAATATTTAAATGCGAAAAATGAAAAGATGGATTTTCTTGAACGTTTTCTTCCTTGAAATGGGTTTCTGAAAAATTTATTTTCATTTTACCTTCTAGAGTGTTTTAATAAATTAGTACATTATGAGAAGAATAATCATCGCAACTATAAAGATTTTCTTCTTCATTAAAAATCTATTTTAAAATGCTTTCAATATGCAATAAAAGTAAAATCGATTTCAAAAGATATACAGTTTTGTTTTTAGCTGACATACAAAATGAAAAAAGTTTCAGAACAAAATTAGAACCAGATAATGTAATTTTTAATTATTTTCCTTATAAAAATAATTGAATAATTAAATTAAATATTAGAAAATTGTTTACTTACCGATGATACAAAAAGGTCTTCGGAGAAATTTTAATCGGCCAATGGCCGTTTGGTACCTCGATCGACATCCTGAGGACCATAATCTGGAAACCAGGAAAATGGCTACAAGCATTGTGAAAAAGAAACTTCATGTATTTCTAATTAAAAAATTGATTATTTTTTTTCTTTATTTCAAAAATTATAGAAAGAAAAAATATTGAAAATGATAAAATATCCTATATTCGTGAAGTATTGCACAATGTAAAATTAACGAACACATTGATTTTCTTACCTAAAGATAAATTCGACAGCAAACCAGACGACAACTACCATTTCCATGTAAAAAAGTAGAACGCCAGCCTCGTCTTGGTATTCGTCTATCGTGCTGAACACGGAAAGGACCAGACAAGTAAAGACCATACAAAATCTGCAAAAGATAATAAAAAAAAAAACTGAATCCAATTTTTATTGCTGTCAATTTCCGTCATATCAGAAACGGAATTTTAATTACAATATAAAATTGAACTAGTTACTGGCAATATTTGGAAATATTTTTATTTACATACGATCATAATTTGAATTTTACAATTTCTCGATTTTAATAATAAATATCATCTAGATGTTTTGAAAGAAAACTGTCTGCTGGGAATTCTTTAAAACCAATAATTTTCAAGTTCCCATATATACGTGAGACAGTTTTATTTTACGTCCCCTGTCAAATTTACGAAAAGATCTGAACAATAAAATATATCTACTGAAGATATATTGAGATTTTACATGGAACGATGGTTGAAAACGATAGAAGGAGGGTAGATTCTAAATGATAACATGACTCGTGCTGTCTAATAATTAATTGAAACTATATACCATTCGTATTAGGTATAAAGTCTTTTTAAAAATTTCTATCTATTATTAAAAATTAGAATTTTTTAATTATAACTAGTGACCTACTTTTTTGATAAAGATCATTGTTTTCATTATCATGTAAAATGAATAAACGAAACCAAAGGTAAAGTTTTTTTTTTTAAGGAAAAAAACTCAAATTAACGAAAAATTGTAATTAAGGGAATAATAATGAATTATCATTTATATATCTCCCTCTCTCATTGATTAATAGGAAAATTCTTTATGAAATATGAAATTTAGTGATGCATTTTATTGATGATAAAAGCAGTCTCGAGAAATGCCGGAAACATTCTTTGGCCCTTAATGATCAGAGTGCCACGCATGACTGGACTAAAGCAATTTCGATTCTATATTTGATAATGCGTTGCTCCCGCGAGCGCAGTAACATTTCATCTCATTTATCGTTATACGATGCGTTACGTCGTATTGGATTTTGAATTTTGATGTAAAAGCTATCCGTCGCTATTTATAGTGATCGATATACGGACATTTGTACACAAGGTTATTCTATCACAAACGAGAGAGAAATACAGAGAGAGAGAGAGAGAAGCGAAAGGGTCGTGCCAAATGGAAACAAGTGGTCTGTGATGCGAACGATAACAGATAAAAGAACAGCGCAATAGAAAAATGGAGAAAATTTTCGTAAAATAGTTCAGTGCATTATTAAAAAAAAGAAAAAGTTCTATAAACTTTTTCTATAAGAAACTTGGCAAGACTTTATCTTATATCATTGAAAAAAATTCTTAAAATAATGTCTTGTTTTGATAAACTCTGTCATTGTTGTAACTACAATTATTAAAAATAACCATCGTTCCAAAATTAAAATCATTAAAATATACCATATTGTCTTTTTTAATGTAATTATTTTCTGCTTTTAATTTAAATAAAGTATTTTTTTATCTCACCTTAATTAAAATACAATTTACCATGCTTGATTTTCGTTTACGCACGATATAATAAAAAAAGAGGGGAACTAGGTAAAGTTTAACGAAACCAATTTTTAATGATACATAATTTTTTCCTTATCAAAAAAGAAAGTATACCAAATGTTAGGTAAATTGCTCGGGCTTTAAATTTATTGCGTGATATGACAACCTTTTTTTTGTAATGAAGAGATAAGGGAGTACAGAATTCTTGAGTAGATTATATCTTTATTACCGTGAAATAAAGAAATAAATAAAAAAAATAAAAAATTTAAATTAGAAATAAAGTTTTTTTTCCAGGAGCACTGAAAGAAAATATGCATTGTCATGGAAAATTATTATTAGAGTAATTAATTATGAAGACAATTATTTATATTTGTGTATATCATAGATCATGTTCTTTGTTCCTTAAAAGAAACTTTATTTTATTCCATTCGGATCAGAAATATTATATTATTAATATTTAATTTTTCCCTATTTTTCCGATTGCGTTGCATTTGACATCTAGTGATTTATGAAAAATGAGAAAGAATTAGATATTTTTTGATTACATTTCAGATATAATTGATTTTGACTATGTCTTTAATTTTGGTTATTAATTAATTTTTTTCTTTTACAGAATTGAACAATAGAAGAATGGCCTAAAAGGAAAGCTAGTTGAACAACTCGATGGATGACTGGAAGGATCAATGGAACCAAAAATGGATCACTGGAAAGAAAAGGAGGCTGACAAGCAGAGGACCAATTTCATCAACGTGAAAATCAACAAATGTAAGTCCCTCTTGTTCTTTGAATAAAAATGGAAACAAGTTGTAATTTAGAAAATTTTTATAGCAATATTTGGGGTTAAAAAAAAAAAGAAAACTTACACTATCATGTGGTAAGTCACAGCATAAATGCCACGGGGTCGTTCGAGAAAATTATAAACACGGGCTTGGAGTCGACGATAGCGGGCATCGCGACGAGTCGCCCGATAATTGACCGGGCGTCCCAAAAGTGACATCCGCGGAGCTGCCAGACGTCCACCTGCGCCTCCGCTCCTGTAAAAAATCATGAAAAAAATACTTGTTAATTCCAAAGATGAATAGCTAAAGTTGTATAAGTTGGTAGCAATTCATCCTTTCAAACCCTCACAATACCCTATATATATACATATAATTCTCGACTGGAGAAATATATATATAATGACAAAAGGAGAAAGCACTTTGCAGAATTAAATTCTCTCTTATGTTTATTTAATATATTTCAGACTGATTTTCGATAATTAACACCTTTTATGCCTCATCTGTCATTCAAAAAAATGCTAAAGATTCAATTTCTTCTCTTCTCTTTTACTACCACAAAACTTTTTCATCAAGTTGAGTGCTCCCTTCGCCTATATATATAGGGTTTACATATACATAAATTATAAATTCTTCTCTTTTTACTTTTAAACAAATTATTGTCATAATTTTTTCGGAACACGTGCGATTAAGTTCTTAAAATCATTAATTAGAATTTTCATTCAATAAAATGACTATTAGATTAAATGAAAATTCGAGAAAATAAAAATTCTGCTTTTGTTATTTTAGATTAATGTTTTTTAGGACAAAAAAATTTTTTTTCGGAAATAATATTGATGATTATCTACATTACACTTTTGGGACTCGTATATAATTCACGCGAGAGACTTAAAAATATAAAAAGAGATATTAAGAACGTTAAGCACGTACGCTTCTAAAAGATCAGTCAACATAATCCTCTTTAGACGCGAATTTTCCAGTCTGATGGAAATATTCTATATTAGAGAAGTTCTCCTTTTTATGAAGTGCCATAATCCTTGATCATTTTTTACAGCCCAGCCCAGTATGGCTAATATAATAATCTTTTACCGTAAGTCGGAAAATTTTTTTCCTTTGACAAAGATTCGGTTATTTTTATATATTATAGATATTCATTATTATAATTAGTTTAGTTTTAAATAAATTGCAATGAGAAATTTCGCATTTTCTTCTAATTATGAAAATTATATTATATTGATTAAAAGTTGAAAATTGGGAAAATTGTCGCAATTAGGTAAATTTAATTACAGTTTTAGATTTATATTTGCTGAAGTGGATAATATCAGTCGAAAAGTGAAATTCCCTCGACATGAATTTTATAGACTAAAAAAGGCAAAGATGGGAAAATGCCGGGGATATAAATCTCGACCCTATCGCGTCGAATTAGAATTACGTCGATCAGATGTCATCAGCTGGAAACTTTACTCCAATTCTATTCAAAGATTTGTTCGGTTATATGGAAATTTAGTGATTCGAGTAAAGCCCGAGGACGTTTGGATTGAAATTCGAAGATCGCAGTTTTCGAGGTTCCACTGACAATTGTCTGGCATTGGGCCATGGGACAGTCAGAGGATGTGTCGTTCACATTTTTTTTTTGCTCATTACATTTTATTTTTCTTTCACTCTCTCTCTATATATATTTTTCTTCTATCGAGATTGAGGTCCCCTCATTTGTATTTGGGTCTACCTTGGCTCGTTTTTCGACTCATTGCGGTTTTCTATAAATACATATATATATACACACATCCCATATACACTTGTCTCTTAACTATTTTCCTCTGAATTCTGCCCATCACCTTATTCACATTCTCTCACGACGAAGACCCTCTGAATATTCCAAGAAGGAAGCTTTCGGAGGGATCTTTCTTATCTGCTGTGAAAAAGGATCACATGAAAAGCCTTGATCTAAAAAAAAAATTGCTGATGTTTTCCCTTTTTTTCGTCCTTCCGAAGTCGTTTGGATTCTGATTTTCTAGGGCGGAATTGACGAAGTGATAAATTTCTAAAAATATTTATCATCGTTTGAATACAAATGTCTGGGAAAGTTTTACAAGTTTTTTGATGTCGATGAATAAAAAAAATTCTTAAAGCTTTCGTAAGATTCCTTTTGGTAAATTCTTCTTAAGTTTCACTGATCCAGTGGTTAAGATCTTGGAATTGTAAACTGGATTTCCGGGTTCGATTCTTTACACCTTCGGATTTTTTTCTGATTTGTTTCTCCATTTTTTTAGTGTCCGATTATGGTTAAAAAATTGTAGTTTAGATTTTTGGATGAAGTTATTAGGGAAGAAATTTTGAACAATGGGAGCTTTTTTTAATACTTGAGGATTGACGTAATCCAACGTGTAGTGAGTATGGGTTTTGAGGGCTACAAAAGTCATAATCGTATAAAGTTTATTTTTATCATTTTACGTCAATTACGTTTCATTTTCTCTTTCGTAGAGGCGGATAATCAATTTAGCCGTAAACGGAACTTCCATTAGTTTCTTATCCGAGCAACAGAGTAACATAGTCTCCATTTGCCACACCCAGACTCTAATCTGAACTAGATGAAGGAGGTGTGTGGGGGTTGATTGGAATATCATGATCCTTTTCCCCCGAGGAAAAATTTTTCGTGGCGCACCTAAATACCGATACGTTGCCAATTTTTTCTGCTTGAGAAGTTTTTTTTTCCTAAAAACTAATGCTTTGATTTTTTTTTATAAATTCATCATATTTAATTAATGAAATTAAATTCTAAAAATCTAGTAGCTTATTATGGTAATTTTGAGAAGTTTACGATTTATATGGAAATATTTTATATTAGCAATAAAAGTTTTTCATTTTCTCTCTTTTTTGGCCTGAATGAAATCAATTTCCCGCAGGACATTAGAAGACATGGAAAAAAAATTCATCGATCAACATAGAATGATAGGATATGGTTTTATTTTCGAGTGGATGCGCGAAATCAGTATTAAAAAAAAAGAAAAATTGATACATAAATAAATATAGATCTCTACATTTCGATGGATTTATGATATATGTATTGCTTTTCCTTTCACATGAATATCAATTATTATCAAACTCACTCTATAGCTCACGCCAGTGAATCATCTTCATTCAGATTTGCTTTTCCTTTGATAATATATATAGCAGAGAGCCAGAAGTCTGAGGAAGTAACTTAGTACAAGTTGAACTTTCTTAAGAAATGCGGGAGTTTATGAGCAAAAAAAAAGAAAAAAAGAGAAAGGACGGCAACAGCAACAAAGCATAGGGCAGAGTCAGAAGTTTCGAGTAAGTTCACTCGTTGAAAAACGCTCTTTTGCCAATACTTGCGCTACTAACATTACCAGCTACATAAGATCGTTTCCTTTTCTTTGATTCTTTTACATTATTCTCGCAAAAGCAGCATAAGTAAAAAAAAGAGGGAGGAAAAATAAAAAAATAAGGGTCGGAAAAAAACTTAAAAGGCGAACTCGAAAACCTTCCAAGGGTATTTCTTAAAAGGTTTCTTCGTATTCTAACACAATCATATTTTCATATAATTTTCTCAATAGGCACGTTTCTATTTTTGAAAAAAAAAGAAAAGAAAAAATAATAAGGGTAGGAAATGAATTCAAAGAACTTTTTTTATTCTAAAATAAAACCTCCATTAAAAGATTTGAAAAAGCCTCTTATGGTGGCCCCCTTTTGTGTGCGCGGTAACATGTGTGACGCTTTTTATGATTATTTAACTCCTTAACAATAATTATTCTTTATTGCCTCGTATCATATTTCACCAACGACAGATTGTGATTTAATTGCAAATAGAGAGAAAAATTCCTGTGAATAATGGGGGTAAATTATTTTTATCAGATTGTAACTTTTCTTCTTTTTTTTATTTTTTAATGAAACAAGTTTGTGTGACGTTTGAAAAACGAAGCCAGTGCTATTTTTAAAGTACCATTGCTTTTAAGTGTCCTTGTTTGAGAGTTCTATTGATTGCACCGAGAAAACAATTTTTTAATTAAAAAAAAAAGTTTATTTTTTATTTACTTGAAGAAAAAAAAGTTCACTTATTATTTGTTTAAAACTACATCATATTTAGTAAAACTTTTTTTGAATTAAAGAAAAAAAAGTTAAAATTTACAAATTCATAAAGATTATTGACCTGTAATCGATTGTAACGATATGGTATGCAAAAAAAAAAAATATACATATATTGTTATTTTTTCAAAATAAATTAATTTTGTATTCTGGAATTTAACCAAGTTTGCAATCAATGCCAATCTCCTGATTTGGGCAAAAGAATTTTGTTGATTAAACGAACTTTTACATTTAATTAAAATTTCAAACCTTTTGATTAAAATATTAACTAAATTTTTGACAATAAATTGAATTGTTTAACAATACTTTTATTAGTGGATAAAAATTTATCTTTTTTAATTAAAAAAATGTATTTTTTTTTTTTACAAAATTATGCTCTTAATTTTAAAGAAATTCATTAATCACTGGCTTCCTTTTTAAGACTATTTTTTTTATGAAAATGACTTTATAAGCTCTGAAAGAAAACGCAAATGACGAATTCAACTTTTTAACCGCACTTTAAATTCATAAATTTAAAGAGACAAAATATTCTTAATAGTCGTGAAGTATGAATAGAATAAGACGTAGGTTTTAATGACACGAATTCATGTTTTATATCTATATAATTCCTCAAGGATTTAAATTTTCTTTTGAACCGTGCACTGGATATTTTTCAAGTTAGGAATGAAAATTAGCAGGTCGCTCACATTTCTGTAGTTATACTCAATTTCCTTTATTATTTATATAAGGAGTCGGTATATAAAGTCGCTGTGAAATCTTACAATTATTTTCACTTGGGAGAAATTTCTTTTGCAGAGAGAACGATTTTTCTACGAGAATATAAAACTTGAATTTAACCCAAAAATATTATTTCTGATAGAAAATTAAATTAGAATTATTTTTAATTATCGTTTTTTACCTTCTGATAAAAAACATTTAAAAAAATTACCAATTGTATAATTCGGATTAATTTTTTTTAATAAAATTATTGCGGTTATAAATTAATATTTATTTTTTAAAATATTTAAGTTAAATATTACCTTTTTTTTAATTCAACTGCAGATGGGAATATATTTTACAAGTTAAAATGTGAAGGTCTATTTTATTAAGTAGTAAAGTCAGTTTTTGGTCAGACACACACTGATCTATATCAAAACATCTTCCATTCTATATCT